ATGCACACAATTTGTTTCGAACAGTGGATTGACCAATTGTATCACTACAGTGGCTTTCACTAGCTGGTAGTCTGTGTATATGGGTCCGGAAGCTCCTAAGTACAGGATGTCCACGTACCTTGGCCAACCTGACCCCCATTCCATGATAAGCTAAAAAAGGAATGGACGGAACCAGATATAGCTCGTCACATTATATTTTGTTGGTCATGCATGAATGCAATGTCGTATGCCGAGGAGATAGCCAGCTTTCGATGGCACTCTCCGTTGAGAGACCATAGATTATCTGCTGGAGTCTGGCATACACAGCTCTCTCCAGCCACAGTGGCGAGTATCTCGCACACATTCGAAGAGAGCTACACTAGGATTGAGCGCCACCTTCTGCTTCTAGGTTGATTTTGTTTCCTTAGGTAATAACCAGGTAAATGTGGTGTCTTGGTTCAGCAAAACGCCGCCGGGTTGACAACGCAAGCCACCTGCTTGTGCGCATTACGTGGAGACCAAGAACTTCCTTGAGAAGCCATGCATAAAGTTTTTGTTCACAGAAGTAGTACTCTGTCTCTATGATAGTTTTTCTGCAGTGGAAAAGTGTCAAGACCCGAAGGAGAGATAGATAAATGATGTTGCTAGGAAAGAGGGGCGCCGTCCTGCAGCGCGTTTGTGGGCAGTACTAAAACAGAACAAGACAAAATGAGGCGTCCGAAATCATGCGATGCCAGTTCGTAGTTCCCGTGACAAACAGAAAAATTAAAAAAGGGGGTGGAGAAGCCATGCCGTCGCTAAATCCAGTATCCAAAAACAAAGAACGGGTATCCATCAGTGCCAAAACATGCCCTCCACAATATGCCAAAGTACCAAAAGTCCAATTTTTAGATATAGGAGATGGGGAGAGGGGGAAAGCGGGTGAGGAAAGTGAACAAGGTTACCAAAAGCAATGCAAGGGCCAATTGGTTAGGAAGCCCTCATGTGGGAGAAAACTGAAGGCGTGCCCCTCATCCGAAAGGCATGAGGCTCCTGTAGAACAAACGATAATCAAGCCCAAAGAAACAAGAACGAAATGAATCGGTTGTCCAGCAACCCCCGAAAAATGGAGCTCAGTCCCGGCGGCCGTAACTTCGAAAAGTGTCACGTAAATTGGAAAACGACGAGAATAGAGATGCGAGTGAACTGTCGTTAGAAGTCGTGAGTGCGAGCCGGCACAGTGGGTGTCGTAGGGCGGGAAGAATAGACATTAATATTACTAAGAGTGCGATCGAATCCAGTTCAGTATGGTGCTGAGAGAAGGGTCTTCGTTAAGCCAGTAGCCTGCGCGAACATCAGCAGAGGCAAGGGTGCTAAGGACATAACTATCCGTAACTCTTGAAAGCTCCTAGTAGTAATCATTAGAGCAAAAGTCAAATAGATAGCAGACACGAGGGCGGCGAGGGGAAGGGGTTGGCGGAAAAAATCTCTTACATTGCGAAGGGTATTGTCTAGGGCGGCAAGGGCAGCGGTATGGTGAGAGCTGGGGCGTTGGCCCTGAAGCACCTGTGCTCGGCCCATCGCCCACCGTCTGGCTGCTGCCATGCGCTGATAGATTTTGTGCGCCTGGAATCTGCGAGCGCTTGCATCAAGAATGATCCTTAAGGACAACTTAGCAAAAAGGGGATTCGGAGGTTAACAGGGTATGACGGTACTACCTTTGCAGCTGGACCTTCTCAAATTCTCCGTCACCTTGCAAGTTTTGTATAGACTGGATATCAAATTGCGATGCCAACAACTCCTGAGCTTCAGCAACACATTGCCTCATCAAGATGTATCCCTGAGCCACCTCTGCCATTTCTGTAGCGTCTAGCTTCAGCTGGGAGATATGGACAAGTAATGTTCGGAAGTCATTGATGAGTTCAGATACTCGTAGAGCACGTGCTTCGTTGTCTATTCCAAGGTGTCAGTAGGAATGCACTACGCCGCAGCGTGGTTTATCGTGAAAAAATACAAGGGAAGATAAACTAATGAATACATACATCCGTCAGACATGTTGGAAGGAATTGGTTCCGTTGAGGTATAGATAGAGTATTAAAGGTGCTTATATAAAACAAAAAAAGAATGGGTAAATCCTGCTAAGACACGGCAGGTGTGCTTGGGCTCGGCTGCTTGTTCAACGTATATGAAAGAAATGAAGGAATGTTGCTCTAGTCGAAGTAAATGTCGTTGATCTTGCTGATGATGGGGAAGGATAGAAGATTACCTCTAAACGGCGGGAAGAGCCGAGCTTAAAAGCACAACAACTCAAGGCCGGCCAACATGTTGAAGTTGATGGTATCTAAGAAATAGACCCCCTGGCCATCCAATGGCACTGGAGAGGAAGACATCGGACAGATCACCGAGTAAGAAGAAAAATGGGAACCAGGTCACCACCAAAGCTCCGTACGACGAGATCATCATGGTATAGCGATTGATAGCGAACGAATGGACAGGAGCCCAGCAAATGGGTCTGGCTTTCGAAGCTAGCAGGCATTGGCATAACGCGATGCATGTCTTGTTTACCTCTACTGCTGCACTGCTATTCCTCGTCCGCTTATCCTTCGGATGGACTCTTGACGAGCCAGGTAGCAAAAAAGCCTCCAGGAGCCAGCTCGCGCCTGCGTCAGCCACAGCTCGGTATACGCCACGGGGCGCCCGAAAGGGGCTAGCGCGACCGCCGCCGCCGCCAGCTGACTTTTCCTGCCATCGCCACGCTTACAAAGCCGCCTGTGTTTGCTTTTGCTGGATGGACAGGACGGGCAGGATGGGATGGGGATGGCAGACGGAGCGAGAGAAGAGGTCGAGAGTGGATATGGGTGACGACCCTGCAGGGAGCCCTCTGCAGCAGCTGAATAGACGTTGCTGTCCGGTCTGCGTCTACAGGCCCTGATCACAGCCGCTTATCGTAGCACAGACCAAACGCTATCCGTGCGCGAATGGCGATAAAATCGACCTTTCACTGGGCTTGCTTCGCAGAACTCCTTGTCATTCACTCAGGGGGGCTTGAATTGTCCCGAACTCCGAATGCAGCGGGATAAGCATAATCTGTAAGTCGAAGATGCATCGTCAGATGGCGAAAAATAGGACTTCAAGTTGTCCTGCTTCTGTACGTCAATAGGCTCCTCAGGCTCATGCAGGTAAATGTGTCCTCTCACAGACCTCAGGGCACGCGGATTGATTATCAGGCCGACTTTTGCTCATCTATACAAGATCAATTAATGATGCCAGCAGTGCCCTGTATAGATCAGACTTGATTGGAAAACACTCGGTTTTGATGCTGACTAGGGAGACCTGAGCTAAGGGGTTCACTCTCCAGCACAAAAGAAGAAGAAAATATACCTAAGGAGCAGTTGAGGAGGAATTGAGTTTTCGAATTGTAAGAAGTAGAAGCCCTGCATCATCAATTGGATCAAAGATGGAAATGAGATACGGAGCAAATTAATCCCTTTCACTGATGGCCTGTAGCCGTTCTTCAATCTCATCCTCAGTCAACGTGCGGAACGCGGTTTGTGTACCCTCATTGCCATCTGCACGGGGTCCACCAACAATGCCAACCTCTATCTCACCTTTCTTGAAGTCAACGCTCAACACAGTTCCCAATGTTGTTATTGCCAGCTCCACAACTTCCTCCCAACTCGCACCCCCATCTTCCTTGTTCTTCAGCTTCTTCTCCAGTAGGTTTGTGACCTCCTGCTGCTTAGGTCCTGAGGCGGTGGCGCGGTATCCGGCATAATATCCGGCAGGATCACACTTGAATAGCTGAGGGCCATTTTCGGAATCAACTGAGATTAGAGTCGTTGCGATACCCAGCGGTCTCATGTAGGCCTAAAAATAACAGTCGGCGTTAGCTGATGTGTTGTTGTCCCGGCGGCAAACAGAAAGTCTATGCACTGTCCCACACAAGGAGAGTATTGGATTTCGGATAAACAGACCCTTTGTGTGTACACCTGATTGATGTTAGCAAGTCGTTTTGCGAGAACATCACAGGGCATCTCATATCCGAACTTGTACTCGAACTCCGCGGCCTCACTCTGTGCCCGAGTAACTTGTGCCCTGCCGTCCGCTATCGAGCCAGTTACGACACATCCGACAGATGGGGAAATCTTGAAGACATGGGATACAGAGGACGGTTCAATGAGCTTGTCCTATACAGTGTGGAACCCGTCCGTGCGTTAGCAGCTGTGCAGAAAAACGTCCAAGGAGCTCGATCTCTTCAGGTATCGTATCTTTATCATACCGGAACTTTCTTCTGGGATATAATCACGGCACAGTTCTTGCCTCGAATCCCAAGTGATGTGATGTTGGCTGCTGTGATGGCCTTGAAAGCATACTCTGAACATATCATGATGTATTAGCACTATCCCCAGCACAACAGAGTCAAAGATGGTACCACTAACCGACTTGGTACAGTCTACCCTGGTCAGAAAATATGGTAATGTGTCTATCGTAGCCCGCGCTTCCTGTAATAGTTGTCGTTTAGCTGAGTGGGACAACGTCAACATCACCCACTTATCGGTGAACACTTACCAGACATGATGGCTGAGGATGGTTGCGATCAAAGAGTGGAACCGTAAACAGATCGTAAGCTCTATCTATGCAACCTGTCTAGAGAAATGGAGGATGAGGGACGGTGGAAGTTGCGGAAGCTAAGCAGCTGTCTTTGATCGTTGAACGCGTTGGCTGAGGAGCTGCCTTGGAGTAGCAAAAGCTCAGGCTGGCTCCATCTCCCGTTTAGGCTTAGCGCCACAACCTCCCATCATCAAAAAGTATCAAAAACAATTTTCTGCATTTTTTTCTTAAAGTCCAAAGATAGAGAAGCCATTTGGTTATTCATTTCTCGCACTCTACAGTCTTTTTTCTGCCCTTCTCTTATTTAGCCTGGCTCAATCGCATCTATTTCAGTACTATCAGCAAAGAACAGTTCAATTGTTAATTTATACCTGCTCTATTTAAGCTCTGCCACTTACTGTTGAGGAGATATACGGCTCAGGCTGCCTCAAATGGGGTCTACTCTACTTTCCGCCTCCAAAAAGATGGGAAAGAAATCAAAAGCTTCCAAGCATTCATCTAAAAAAAGCATCGACACTACCAATGAGAATGGCGAGGCTAACCAAGTCAAGTCAAAGAAGAGAAAGGCTGCGCTAGATGCACCCGAGGACCAAATGGAGAAGAATGAACCAAAGGAAGCTCTGATACCCGAAAATGAGAATAACAAAAATCCAAAACCTAAGCTTCGGAAGTCTGTCACCTTTTCGGAGGATACGAAGCAGGAGGATGAAGCAGCTATGGCTGATTCTGAGCTTACCGTGGACCCTGAGGATGATCCTGACTCGCTTGCAAATAGAAGAGCAGCTAAGAGGCGCAAAAGAGAGGAGCGCCGAAAGGATCGTAATACAGCTGTACAAGCGAAACCGGAGGAACCCAAAGTTTCTTCTGACCCAGTTTTGTCCTACCTTGAAACGTACTACAACTCCAGAAGTGATTGGAAGTTCCAAAAGAATCGAGACACAGCTATATTGAAGAATTGCTTCTCTATAGACCGTATACCGCCCAGCTACGACTCTGCGCTGAGAGCTTACCTCTCTAGCTTGAAAGGGGAGGCAGCCAAAAAGCGCGTCGTCGAAACTGCCAAGGAAGCAATATCGAATGATGATAAGAGCACAAGCGATCCAACGACGGCGGACGTTGAGACTCAAAGATCCATATACGATGATGCAGTCGATGAATTTAGGACTCGATTGGAGCACCAAGATAAGGGCCAAGTAGACGATGTAGTACCAGCGGAACTTAGCTCGTCGTGGCATAAAAGGCTAAGAACAAGGAGACGAGCTGAGTTGATTCTCTATCTCTTCTGTGACAGTCTTCCAAAGCCGCCTCCACCGAAGAAGGTTACGCGGAAAACCAGAACAGCTGTTGTTTCTGATTCAAGCAGTAGCAGCGACAGCGACAGCACCAGTGATAGCGGCAGTGATAGTGAGAGTACCAGTGATAGTGGAAGTGACAGTACTAGCGATAGTGGGAGTGACAGCGATAGCGATAGTAGTGACTCTTCTGGCCCCCGTTCGGCTCAAAAGAGTACGGCAGTCAAGCGGAAAGACCAGAAGAGTGTGGGCAAAAACCCCGAGCCAGACTCGGAAGAGTCTGAATCTAGTTCTGGTGAGTTACATGTCCATCCTCCCCTTGGGTGATCATAGTTATGTTTCGAGCGGAGGTGCTAACCAATTTCCAGAGGTTTCTGATAGCACATCATCATCTGGGTCTGACTCCGATTAAGACTCGGATTGATCAATACACGTCCGGGTCCTAAAATTGTTACATATCCCCTAAATTACAGCATGAGGATATCCTTGAAATCAGTGTCCTTTTCATTAACATTACCTTCAGTATTGACACTAATCTTCTTATTCTCTATTCCTCAATATCACGTACAAGCATTTCATTACACACGTTACTCTAAAGCAAAAGTTGTCATTCATTTGAGGGCATGGGCCTATTATCATGAAACGCCCGCAGCTTTCTCCTGGTCCCTGTCCACAGTCGACTCCCCGCTAGGATTACTTGTGCCTTTCCTCTTATCCCGAGAGGAAACTCCGCGTCTTCTCCTGGTAACTTGATATACATCATTAAAATTCATCACTACTCCTAGGAAACGCATGTCGACGTCGGGTTGGTACGCTAGGTCACCGAGCAGGGTGACTAGGCGCACGCGGAAGTCTGAGGATAGTTCACGTAAACGCTCACGTAGAGAGGGTAGTAGGTGATCTTCGCTCCCTAAAATTGCGTCACCACTGGGAAGAGGTGTCCCTGGTGTATTCGGATCCGCGGTCCACCATCTTTTCTGGTTTGGCGGCACATCAATGGTTCCAAAAGCAGGGGAGTCTACTCTCCGAGTGGAACCCGATCTGCTTGGGCGCGTAGCTGGTTCTTGTGCATCCTTATCAGTGACACCCCATCGACCTTGTGCTGTGCGGAGTTCAATCTTTGCGTTCAGCTCCTGTCGGCGGGTGAATTCTGCAACGGAGAAGGAGTATAAACCGTCCACTGCATCTTTGTAGGCAAGCATCACTTTGAGTATTTGGTGAAGTTGAGAGAGAAAAGAATCCTCTTTGCTCCCAGCGGATCGCGAGAATGAGGTTGATGAAGAGCCTAGCAGGCCTTTGTGGGTGATAGAATTAAGGTATTTTGTGTGCGCTTCAATGAGGTCGTCCAAGGTGCATCCCGGTTTGGAAATGGCAACTTGCAACTGATCCCAACTTGCTTCGATGACTTCGAATAAAATATAATATTGAAGTTGACAAACAAAATGTATCATCTCAGCAATAACACACCGAGCTTTTTTCCAGTCTGCTCCAAGTTTATCGTCAACGCCCCCTAATACCCCTCTTGCACCAGTCATGCACCGTCGCCAGGTGCTCCCGAGTGCAAATTCGACCCTCTTCACCCTCCAAAGGAAATTGAATACTTTGAGGTATTGCGTCGAGGCCCAAGGGGTAATTATGACATCTACTGGAGCATCGATCTTATACTCTAGCGTGAAGCAATCCCAGCCAATTTCGCCATGACTAAGCTCGAGCATGCGCGCATCTAGGCGCCTCAATACTTCAGGGGAATCGTGCTGGGCATTGGAAGACCGTATAGCATGTTCGAGTTGGGCAGTCAAGGTATGGCGATACTGGGAGTTAGCAGGTCGATCAAGATTTGAAGCTAGACTTTCCATAAGCAGTGCGATGAAGTCTCCCTGGCCGAGCAGCAAATATTTCTTCAGAGCTTTGAGATGGTCAAACAGCTTAAACTTAGTGTCCATCAGGAAGATGAGACGGGCCATTGTCGTTTTATATGCCTCATCAATATAAGTTTCAAGGGTAGCAGTGTCGCCATACTGCAGTGTTTTTGACGATTCACGAGAGTATGCCACAACCCACGCCGAATCACCACATCCATACCTAATGAAATTGAGCGACTTTCCAATCAAAAACACCTTTTTTGCGAAATCATGTGTCATGACAGTTGGGACCATGTCACTGTCCAACTTATATTTCTCGTCCCAAACGCTCGTTGCCGCTCGCCGTGGGTCAATGTCCGGTCGAGTTTCTGGCTCCACGACAAAGAATTCGTTGTAGGGGTCCGATAGTTCACCATCGTATATCCATTGCCGAAGCATATTGTAAAAAGGCCGTGTTACATGAGTCAAGAGCCGCTCGGCATATGCACCAACAAATGGGTCACCGTGTGAAGTCGAGAATTCATGAATCATGGATATCAGTTGTCCTCCTCTTTTATTCTGAGCTTCCTCTACCATTAAACTCATCAGTCGCAGTGCAAGAGTGGCATCTTTTACCCATATAACGCATCTTTTTAGAGTTACTCCAGCTCCCATGACTGTTTTCTGATCGGCCGAATCTTGCGAAACTGCAGTTAGAGCTCTCCTTATTTCTCCTTCCAAGCTCGCTACCAAGCCCAGGTACGAGCGCAGTTCGCTGCCTACAGCTGCTCTTAAGCTCTGTTCAATCAAACCACCTTCAGCCTGTTCCACAAATTTGGATAATCCTCGATATAATAGGCATGGCTCAGCAAGTGTGTGGAGGAGGGAAACTATAGGGGTAGGCAGCGTTCTTGGAAGTTTTAGAACAGACTGAGCCGAGAACTCCAGGTTCGTTGTCGACAGTCCCTGTAGGAAGAACGGAAGGTCACGAAGGATTTCTGGCTCGGATGGCTTGACCAATGTAATTTCTTGAACGGGGGCCTCTGGTTCCTGGCTTGGTTGTTCGGCAGGAATGAAATCGTCTATGTTTCTCACGGCTGATCCTGATGGTTTTGGGTCATCTTCAATTTTCCGTTTACGCTCTGGTTGTTTAGGAAGGTTTGGATCCCTCCACTCTCGTTGGGATTGGTTCAGCTCGATAGGCGATGCTTCTCTTCCAATTGCAGAAGCTGAAGATCCGGGATTAATACTCTCGGGGACATTCGTTCTTCTTACCCCAAATTTATCCTTCATCGACATATAATCCAGCTGGCGCTCGTCGAGTAACGGGCTTCGGGCTCCTTCTCGTAGCAGGTTTCCATCCCTTTGGTCTGCATCACCACCTCGTTCTCCGATGCGGTAGAGTAAATATAGGATAGCCCATTTCTGGCTTAAAACAGGCTGGGTAAGAAGCCGCGAGTACAGGTTGGAGAATCGAACGGCTTTATCCGGTGTTGTGTTCACTTTCAACAATCTGCGCTTGATCAGGTCAGGGGCATTGTTGATCACCTCAGCGGAGACCTCAGCGCTTGATCCAGGTTGATTCTTGTTACCACTACCATAATTCCTTATAATGCGCCAGGCATTCTCTAGTGCAAGCTGATGCCGAAGCTCATCCCTCTCTGCAGCTTCTGTCTGTGCGTGGCCGTCGCGATACGATTCAGAGCCGGTATCATCGTCAAGAATGTGAGGGCTGGGAGGTAGAAGGGAATCAACTAGCTGCGAAAGAGCATCTTCAATACGGCGGCTCCGGGGGTTTGCTGATTTCGGATGAGGAGGCATCGCGCAGATGCATAAGATGCTGGTATCTGGGCAAATATGTATGCGGTGGATGGTATTTACTACGTAATACCTAGTTCTCCTTATCAAAAGTCGCGACCCAAAAACTCTAATTACCTAATCAGGAACGCCCTCCATGTTTGCACTGTTTGCAGAGTTTGGTAACTTATACTTAAACCAAGCCGAGGTACACAAAGTTATATCAGGATGAGAGGCTCAAGGCTGGCGGCTCGAGATCAAGCTACGATTTGATACCATACAATTAATACATTCCTACTCCCGCACCATAAAGGTAGGCAAATCAGTTTGGCCGCTTGGCGTTTGGCATTATCGAAATCGAGGGTAACTAGCCTCTGACGTCCATTGGGGAACCTGATGCAGAGTAAGGCCGACGCCGCATGGCCGTTGCTGCTCTGCGACATGCCGCGAGTTACGCACTAATGGGCGGTCGACAACTTGGGCTCCGCTAAGGATCATAATATAGCCTAAACTCTGTTGATATTGGAAGGAAGACTTGAGGGAGAAGAGAAGAGCTTTTGAAGTGTGATAGTGCGATGAGAACGACCCAGCTGTCGGTATAGTTATCCACTTCTTCTGTACTGCGATATTTTTATACGCATAGTTACTATAGTGATATCCAATAATACTAGCATACACATCATGTCTATATGCTTGTGGTTGCAGGTAGACACTATTAGAAGCTAACGGCATGGGAAGACGGTAGAACGGGGTCACAATAAATGTAGACGTAATAGTTACATAGCTTGCACTTAGCAGTTAACTGGCCGAGTAGTAAATTTTCCGCTACCAAAAACCGGTGTTCCGAGCCTAGAGTCAGGATACATAAGGGCGCGCGACCGACGTATAGACTTATCATCGCAGAAACAAGAAACAGAGGGGATTCCCATGTATATGGACCGACAGGTTATGTTAGACGAGTCTAGCCCCGAGAAACACCATCTTCCTTAGCATCGGGCTTGGGATATTTCTGTGATCTATTGGCTTGCAGTTACCACAGGGGCATATTAAATCCTTGCCTAGGGCGGCATACTCCATACTAGATATGCAATGCACTTAACTAGGTTAAAGCTCCACATAACCTACGAGGCAAAGTACATCTTGCATAAGCGCGGAAGTAAAGGGATATTTGTAGCCTTACTTTAGATGGAAAAGCGTGGTTGTAGAGGCAGGATAGATGTCCTTTTATAGAGCTGTATGTGGTACTGAGTGTCCACTTGTTGACTCTTCATCCTGAATTTGAAACAATAATCATGAATATGGTCAAGGACGCCTGACCGTTTCACTGGATTATATAATTTTATTATGAAATAGCAAGATACTTTTATTACGAAATATTATTATTTCTCTATAAAACTGGAAAATTCTCGTTATAATCCTATTTATCGCTGCTTTCTTAATATAAAAAGAACTATCTACTATAATTTCATGTTATTAACTTAAGCAGGTACTAGGACTCTATAAATATTTAGATAAAGATGTGGCCAAGGTTCTACTTAGACGCTTGTTACTTCCATTTATCAACCATTTATCTAGTTTATGTATCTGTAATCAACTAGTTAGTTCCATATTCACGGAGACCAAGGTGTTAGTTGAATGACTGTTTTACTCCGGTAACCATAAAGCTGGAGTGTCTAGGGTTGCTATAAGCTGCCAAACGCTTCCATTGAGTTAATTATCTATGGTAGCTCATAAGGACATGCACCATATTAGTTAATCATGTGTATTCTCGCGGTAAATGGCCCCCTCCAATTCAATATTAAGGGTGAAGATGTAGTTAAAAGTGCAAAAAGAATACTTTTTTTTTTGGGTATTTTCAGATTTTTAGCATGAAACGCTCCCATTCATTGCCTCGCTATCCGAGCCGCCTCCAGAGGAAAGTTGGCCTGTCAAAGACATAATACTTTCAAATAATGATCGGGGTTGAAAGTCAACAGTAATATGGAAAATAGGGCGGCAGCTAACATCTTCGTCCAAGAAGAAAAAGGAGTTCGGGACTATATCTTGTTATCGCCCAATCTTTGTCATCCTGGCATACTGGAAAAGGAAGCGTACCTTGTCAATGCTTAATACCATGTACATTTACCGTTCCTGCAGCGCTGGAAGGGCAGACACTGGAGTTAAAAAAGGAACAGTTAGTTAGTGAGACTTAATGACAGGTCAGGGGGCATCTCAACATACTTTTGCGCAGTTATCACCACATGTTCCTAGAGGACAAACGCATTGGCCATATATACACTGCTTAGGATTTGGACATTTCTTGCAATCGTTCCCGCAGGTATCCTTAGGGCAGGCACATTGTCCGTTTATGCATTGTTTTCCAGAGGGGCATTTCTTGCAGTCCGAACCGCAAGTATCCTTTGGGCACACACATTGGCCGTAAACACAAACCTTAGGATACTGACATTTCTTGCAATCGTTCCCACAAGTATCCTTAGGGCAGGCACATTGTCCGTTTATGCATTGTTTTCCAGATGGGCATTTCTTGCAGTCCGAACCGCAAGTATCCTTTGGGCACACACATTGACCGTAAACACAAACCTTAGGGTACTGGCATTTCTTGCAATCGTTCCCGCATGTGTCCTTAGGGCAGGCACATTGTCCGTTTATGCATTGTTTTCCAGATGGGCATTTCTTGCAGTCCGAACCGCAAGTATCCTTTGGGCACACACATTGGCCGTAAACACAAACCTTAGGGTACTGGCATTTCTTGCAATCGTTCCCGCATGTGTCCTTAGGGCATACGCACTGGCCATTAATGCATTGTTTTCCAGAGGGGCATTTCTTGCAATCGTTTCCACAGGTGTCCTTTGGGCACACGCATTGGCCATAGACACATTGCTTGGGATAGTCGCATTTCTTGCAATCGTTTCCACATGTGTCTTTCGGGCATACGCATTGGCCATTGATGCATTGTTTTCCGGAGGGGCATTTCTTGCAGTCATTTCCACATGTTCCTAGTGGACAAGAGCACTGTCCATAAATGCATTGTTTGGGGGCCTTGCACTCTTTACAGTCATTTCCACAGGTGTTAGGTGGACAGATACACTGGTGATTTTTGCAGAACTTTGGAGGTTTGCACTATCGTTCAAGTCGATTAGTTTTAGTTTACTCGATATAACGAGGAACTACAGGATAGAAGGCCAGGAACGCTATGGAGAAGAGACATACCGGTCCACAGCAACATTCAAATCCATTGTGAGCAGCCTCAGAGACACAAGCCCCGACGTTCTTATATCCACACTTGGAATAGTTGTCCTTGCACCAGTTGGAACACTCGCTATTGTCATGGCCGGGGAAGGCCAAAGACAGGGCGGCTATAGAGTTCAGTTAGCCCTTGCAGGGTGGTGTGGTAGGAGCTGACAGCATGGTGCAACCTACTCAGGAGGGAAAGCAAAAAGAAGTAAAGAATCTTCGCCATGGTGAATTGCTTCCTGAGGTGATTATCTCAGTTGCTTGGATTCAGGTTTGAACAGAATGAAGGGAGAGTTGGCGAGATATCCATCCCCTTTTATATTCTTCAGGACAGCTCGTGGGGTCCATTTTGGGGTATTAAACTTCCTTGTACCTCAGCTACAAGATATTGAACAGCATGGACACCTGCCGACGCCGGCTGCTGTGGAATCGGTCAAAAGTGTCAAATATTAGCGAGATTTAGAATTCAACTTGTATTCCAGGTATTAGCGAGGAGAGGAATCCGATCCTGCCTGTAACAGAGTAGCAATTCTACCAGCAGCCTTGCCTGGGAAAAAAGAAGACATTGAAGAAAGGCGTGGTTGCCGAAATTCGCTGTAGAGAACCTTTTCTAGAGACCGATTGCAATTGGAGCTAGGTCTGCCTCCATCTTGTGCAGAAGCTTCTGTGGCGAAAAGCCAGGTAGCTACCTTGCCTAGCCAGCAAGCTCAAACTTGGAGTTAAAGCGGGCTTAATTGACGGATTGATTCAGACTCTATTCCAGACACCTTGGGTTACCCCGGAGATTTTGCGTTTGGGCTGCATGTCCAGACTGCTGGACGCCATTCTAGCCTGCTCTGGCTGCGTTTCAAGCTCTCAGCAACGCTTGATGCTCTGCTTCAGCTCTGTCTAGACAGGCAAAAGCGGCTGGTTCCTCTCGCTTAAAGGACTCCGTGCTGGTGTGTTGTTCGACCTGAAGGCTGTACGATGGCTTCTTGACTACCATCAAACAACTTGATTTGTCCGAAGTTGAGTTGGTTAATCAATCTAAATCAGTTGATATCCCAACTGTAAATGATCTATGAATAGAGATAGCCAAGCATTCCTATCCATTGGATAACTCTGTTGACGGCGGTTGGCTGCTGCCGTCCTTTCGATTCCTGGCTCCTCTGGTATACCAACCACCACCTAATTCTTCAACCGGTCAAGCCAACAGGGAGTGGAAGTAACTATAAGGACGGCTAAAGTATCGGACCTTGTTGCTGGTGCGGGATGGGTAGCCCACTGTCACTAAGATGTACTCGGTACAGCCGCAAAGTGTTTGTGTTACCCAGAGCAGAGTTCGAAGCCTTTCTTGCCAAGGTGGTATCTCCTCCGGGGTAACGAGGGAAAATGGAGTTGCCTGCATCATAACTCGGTATACATACTTGTTCATCGGTAAACCTGGCATTGGTCTCGCTTGCTGAGCATGTAGCTACTACCACGGCAGACCCCGACGCCCTCAAAATGCTCAGGCGAACGCCAGAACGCAGCCCCAGAAACATTCATACAGCCTGAACCCATCTTAGATGCCACTGGACTATGCGGGATGCAAGCTCCGCCTGGTTCTTTTCGTTTTGGCGGCTGCTGTTGTCCTTTTCCCTTCGTTTATCTAACTACCTGGGGTAGTTCTGATGTCGTTGGATTTTGATGTCCCCTTCCTCCCTTCTTGGCGGGCCCATGCTCGTCTCTCCACGCTAGTTAGTTAACTAACTACCTAGGCAGTTCAGCCGCCAGCCATCGGATAACTCTCGGCTAGCTATACTTCTAAAGCTGGACAGAAACAAACGCTAGAAGAATAGATGGAAACCATCTCATCGACGATGAGCCTGCCGCCTATACCACGAGGTGTTCCGTTGACCGTTTAACTACCACCCGTCCCTTATGTCTCCTCGGGCCGACGATTTCGCTGGCCAGTGTGACATCCAAACACTTCTGAGATGTATAAAACACACGGCATGGGGCCTTTCAGGGCCTTTGCCAATCTCTGGATACGTCATTTCGCTTTTCCTCTGGGATATACTTCTTGTCTGCAGCTACTCAATTCAGTTGGATAGCAAACTCTTGTTGACTTTCATGCATCCGTCCATACTTCTACCTTCTGCGGCTGGCCCTTGACTCGCTCCAGCTTATATTCATGCTTTTCTCCTCCCTTTCTTCTTTTTTCGTTCATCCACATTTCCCCCCTCATTCTCGTGTTCGATTCGATTCAGTACCTTTTCTGCGGCCTCGTTGGCTCGTGGCGTCAGATCGGAATCATTGCCATCCAACTGAACCGTGGTCCCGGGGGCATTGCCATTATATTATACTCTTACCTTCGGGGCCAAAGCCTGCGTTAGTTCATCATTTCTCGATAAGGGATTTCGGCTTGTCCTTGGCCCTGTGTGTCTCACAGCAAGCACATTCCACCAGTCTACCAACGTGCGGAGAGGTCGGCTAAGAATTGCCTTGCTTTGACCATGGCCACCGTATTCACGTTTCCGTCTTCATACACTCACTGGTGGATCATACTAGAAGGAGATTGGAATCCGTGTCCAAGCTACCCGATGGCTTACTCTCCACCATCTCTAGTATTCGATCCATCACTTTCAGCAACCTCCTCTCTGCATACGGCGAGACGAAAAGATTCAACACTTTCCTTCTATTAAGACCCCTTGGTTATTATTTTTGACATACTCATAGAATATCTTTACACTCTTTTTATTGCATTCCTGCCAACACCAATACCTTTCTGTCAAGCTGGCCGCCCTTTGATACCATGTCCTGCTTATTGAACAACTAGAAGTTGATTCTGGGCTGCCCGAGGGGCTTGATAAATCACCAGACATCTTTAAACTTATTCGATATGCGATGACCTCACAAAATGGATTCTCACATACATAGGGTGTCACGCCTGAAGCCCAATTCATGAATGGGTGCGAAGCAACCCTTGGGAACCTACCTGATTTTGAGTGAGTTCCAAGTAAGACATCAGGAAGCCACAATTTGCATTCCGCTGAACGGGCCTGTGCAAACCCACGCCTGAGAACAACGACCAGACATGTTGCATCAGCGCCACCATCAAGGTATTATATTCCCAAACTGATAACCCTCTGGAGCCGCCTACACGCCTTTCTAGCGTTAACTTCCTAGCACCGAAGATACGGTCCAAAGGCGTGGTAAAAACGTTGGCTGGACCTCGTTATGAACGAGATATGCGAACATCCACAATAGCGTATAGTATACTGGGGGCTTTACGTTCTACTGTATGATATATGACTAAAAGTTACAGATGTACAGCATAATGTTGAAGTCCAATGAGACAATATATCTATCATTCACGATGATGCACTGCCATGTAACATGACATTTAAAACTGGCCTAGTTTTCAGATCTAGATTTTTTTGGCTCTTTGGTTTAGCCAAAGCTGACCTGAGGGATATCAGATCTCTTTGGAGTCTATGCGTTCTATTTATTCACTTAGGGGGTGTGGGTAATTGATCAGCAGAATCCCGCGTCTCCCGTTGTCAACAAGTAACTACAACAGCAGTACGGAGTAGTAGCGGTCATTACCTAGCCCCGTCATTTACCGGGAAGTGTACATGTGGAGATAAATATGCATGGCTGGGCTAAGAAGAGCAACTGGGGTAGACTGAAATGGCCTCAGTCAGTGTCTTGCTAGCCATCCAAACTGATGCAGAAATGGGCTGATGAAGGACGGCGCGGCCCATGGTAGATTGAGTGGCAAAGTTGTTGACTAGGAACGGCCAACCCTGACACCAAAAATCATGCACTTGACATGGCCCCCTATTCTTCAGCCGTACCGCATTCCCTTAATTTATCTACACTCGACCTGCCCCCATTGGAATTTGCCGTAGATCAATTTTCTTTGGTATACGAATCGATATAAATCCTGTATTGAGGCCCAATATATCTGTTTACAGGTGATATTCTCCGGAAATGAGAACAGGGGATTCAAGTCGTGTAGTTTAAATAAGTGAAAGTCGGCTAGATATTAGCCCCGTTTTGCATTGATTAATTCCAATATAGGTAGCTAGGAGCTGAGGTGTTTCGTGAATAGCCCATGTCATTAGAGGTCGCCTCTTGGTTTGAACCGCTTGTTGTAATAGTTCTGTTCTATGGGATTATTTTGCACATCACATATATCGTACCGAATTGGGCTCTGAGGACATGAAACAGTGAGCAACAGCGAATGTGTTATTCTCTGACGGAATGGGGATTGAACTACATGGAGCGATTAAGGAGACTACCGTGTCTATATCCTGTTATTATAAAAAACAATGTCTTCGAGTAAACCACGGGAGCAATATGGACTGGAATTCGAGACACCAGACAAAACTTGGAGTTTGATATCGGTGGGGGTATAAATTCATTAGGATCTTTAGGGCCTAGGTGGTTTCTTCCCTAGCTGGTTTCGAAGCTCCTCTCGAAAATATTCGAAATACTTTCCGAGTCCTGGCCCTTTAACCGTAGCCATGTCAGTATGGCCATGATTGAAACGTGAAATAAAGATGAAGGCTGGATACCGTCTATGTTTGTTCCTCCCATGTCTTCAGGCGCTTTGCCATATCTTAGCTCTTGTACGGACTTGTGAATGCGCTGAACGGCTCGATGGAAAGTCGGACTTGCCAGAAGCTGGACGGAGTCAGTGGAACCAGTCTCTTAATAGGGAGGAAGCCATTTATATCATTATTACCCTGGCAGTAAGCCACACCTAGACATTCCGTAGCTCATGTCAGTTAAAAAGAAACATTTCAACCCAGTCAGGAAGCCCATGCCGCAAGTACCTCAAAGAATCTCAGCCACATCCCGGCGGCTTACCTCCTCCTTTCTATGCCAGTGTTTACCGAATCCCGCCCAGAGAGGAGCGATGGTAACGACAGCTCAGCATGTCTCCCTCGTCCTTCCGCCTTTCCGTTGCTGTGGATGCTTCTTCCTCCGTCTCCTTCCAGGAAATGAGATGAGAAAAAGAGGAAGGATGTCACTGATTATATAATAAACAGCATTATCTAATATAAATATCACGTGAATATCCACTTTTTCTTTTTTTGGGTGCGACGCTCGGGCCCAACTTTACTTTTTCCTTTCAACTTCGGAAGGAAAAAAAGAGAAATAAAAAGGGACAGAGCAAAAGAAACGCCTTTTGCTTGTCGTTTAGCGCGCGACAGCAGCCTCGTTCTCTCTCTGTTTCTCCCTCTTTGCGCCTGGAATCTGTTGTTTTACTGTGTGTCCCGTTTCTCTCGTTTCGCCTTGGTAGTCAAACTAGCTGGGCTGGGCAATACGGCCGCCCAAAGGGCATCCTATGTGGGATTCAGCTGCTGTGAAAATTAGCGCCGTTGGTCGTTAGTTTATTGTTACAGGGTAGCTTTGCTCCCTCGCATCTCATTTTGTTCGACGGTTAACCGGACATTAGGACCAGCACCTGAGATCGCGGTCTCGGCCTCTCACCATTTAGTCCTCTCATTATTTCTACCTCTGACCGACAATCCGGCTGCCGCCAACCGAACTATCGAGACGCCAGAGTTAGCCAATCACTATTGCACTACACCCCCTCATTTATCCATCCTGCTTTCTGCTGTTGCTGGAGAGGCAGCCAAAAACCGTCATTCAACAACTCTTTATTATTGGCTGATGATGCTGATAAGGTGCTGAGAATGTTGGGCTGACGGAATGTTAGCATAATATCGTTGGCAGGTCCTCGATTTTAGAATTTGTCGCTTCTTTCGGAATAAGGGGGTGCAAAGGATAGTTACGGAGGCAGCAACACGCGCCCGGAAAAGCGCAAAGTGCACAGTTTATCGGTTGAAAGCTGATAAATGAATTTACAATGGACGGACAACGTCAGCAATATATCCCTGGAGCTCCCATGGGAACCCTTCCGCAGGGTCATATCCCCTTCCCTCCTCCTCCGCCACGAACTCAAGCCTCTCATGGCATCACTATACCTCCGCCACCCGGGCCTCCACCATCTTCATCATACGCGCTTCAGGGGATGCAGCAGAACTGGTCAAGGCAAGGGATGAACCAACAATACCCGCCTCCACCTCCGATGCCGGTAAACCACGCTCAGAATCAGCATCTGGCAGCATACCAACAACAACGAAAACAAGGACCTCTTTCTATACCGCCTACCATGAGCACCGAAGAACAGCCTCTTACATCCGCTACCTACGTCCCAGGAAAATGGACATTCGGTCCAGGTGTAGGAATCCCGCCTCTTGTCCCGCACGAATCTCATTATCAGTTTGGCGGCCAGGATCCTTACCTTTCTCAACAACAACAAGATTTCGGGGCATTCAGACAACAGTATTACAAGCAGCAGCAACCAAATGAAGGGATGGCTCAGCACCACCTGGCTCAAAGACCATATCAACTATCAATACCTCAGTCCACGCAACTAGACTCGATTCCTACTGGGCCAACCGTCACGACAACATATATCCCGAACCCTCAGGCAGCGATTACTTCCTCCGATATTCAACATAACAACCAAACGTTTAACACTGCTAATGCGACCACGTCAAATGGAGTATCCCGTAATGGGGACGCAGAAAAATGGCCTTTGGACCGGGTGTTGCTCTGGCTTGCTGACCACGGCTTTTCGCAAGATTGGCAGGAGACATTCAAAGCATTGGACCTAAAAGGCTCTGCATTTCTTGAGCTGGGATCCAGGGGCAACCTTGGCAAGATGCATCAAGTGGTGTACCCTCAACTAGCAAAGGAGTGTGTCAAAAGCGGGACCGGTTGGGATCATCCCCGTGAACGGAAAGCAGGGAACCGCATGTGTAAACTTATTCGGCAGATCTCTAGCACCCCTGCGCCTGAAACCGGCGGGAACTGGCACTACGAGAACACGGCTTCACATAGTGCATCCACAGATGGTGGGATAGAAAACTCACCCATCCCAAACAGGGAGCCCATGTCGGCTGTCTCGATCAGTCATACCTCTGAAAACAGCCCTGGGCCCCAGTTTGCTGAAGTTGACACATCAAATACTGCACAGAGGCAGTTTCCGAGTCAACATATGATTGTTCCGAACGCTGATACTACGATAATCGATGGTAGTGGACAGGATGGCACTCTGCGACGAAAGCAAAGCCCGTCGGTTTCAAGCGACATTGGCTTCCCACCGCCAACATACTCTGACAGCAAATCTCATGCTAACAGCCCTGCGGCTCAATTTGCATCCATTACTTCTTCCAACCATCACAATAAACGAAATAGCTCTGACTCAACTATGAGCCGTGGCTTATCTTCTCAGGGCGGAGTTGCTGCCAATGGCCCAAATTCCTCTATTCGGACCAGCATCGGTGCTGCACTCGGAGACTGGCGCCCTGGTCACAATTCATCTCCACAAGAGCAACCAAAACTAGTGAACGAGGCTTCGCATACTCAAGGCAAAAGCCTGTTCCACATATTTCGGAAAAAGAATAACCATGAGATCCATCATCAATACCCCGATGAGACGTTTGATTCTCCAACAAGCCCTGGGTTAGGTGTCCGTAATAATTCATTATTTTCAACTTCCAGCCACATACCATCAACGATACCAGACTACGACAAACCCCAGGCCCAATCGTGGGGTACGCCAACACCTTCACCAGCCAAGAAATTTGTATTGGGAACAGTTGATGGATGGAACTTCCGTTTGATTGACGTTTCCGACGTTGATGCTGCTGATTCGCTCAGGGCACTTATCTGCAATAGTGTTGGTATCAAAGACCCTGGGAGTGCTTTGATTTACCTCACCGAACCCGGACAGATCATGCACGAAGAACCTCTCAGCGATACCATGTTGGTTGTCAATCGTCGTGCTAGATCTGATCATTTAGGGAGCTTGAAGTTTTTCATCCAGAGCATTGCAATGCCTGCGTCAGCTGGGTTAGGAGTCACCTTTGAACGGCCTTTGAACGGCTACAGAGTCCCATTCGATATGGTTGAAGATGACAATTCAACTCGAGTGTCCACCGCACGGCGGATTCCTCCAACCGAGAGACCTCATAATGGCTTATCCAACACAAGTGTCTTCCCCACTCCTAATGGAGGCCAGGGCCCTACCCCGAACTTTTCGTCCGATCAAGAAAAGGAGGTCCTCATACAACGTGCGCATGAGCAACATCTCCGTGAGGCAGAGCGCAAACAGAAGGCTTACCTTGAATCACGGAAGGACAGAATCCAACGCACGGAAGTAACTGCAGGGAACACTGTGGTTAGCATCAAAGGTGACCGCATAATTGATTTCAACGTCCCCCGCACTTCTCCGTACGAGGATAAAAGACAAGATACCCTAATTCCGTTGCGTAAACCGCCGCTTGCTCCATCGGAGTCAAATACTCTTACCAAAGTCAACTCTCTTAGCAAGAAACCCGAGGATCTTCGGATGAGGAATTCAAAGGAATTCCAGCCCGATTTCCACAGGCAAAGTTCCTCAGATGTCAAAACTAATTCTCCAGGAATTGGGTTTGGTCTAGGAGCCGCCTTGGCAAGTGTAGGGAAAATGTCAGGAGTAATTGGAACACCGGTGGGATCATCTACCGTCCCCAATCATCCTTCTGACAGTATAGGGAGACCGCGGTCCAGCCGCTCTGACTCTGGTGCAAGGTCCTCAGGTACAGCCCCATTTTCTGAGGAAGATGGCCCTGCAAAAGAATCTATACGTAGCGAGAATGGCGAAGGTAATAATAATAACGTTATGCGAAACCCTACCAGCGAATGGACCAGCCAACCAGATCAACAACCTGCCGCAACATCAGAATCAACACTGCCATCAAAACCAACATTACAAACTCGAAAGTCTTACGGCCCTGACTTCGATTTCCAGGAATCTACAGTTCCATTTGCCAAATCTCCTTTACCGCAAGAGGACTCAGATGATGACTCCGATTCTGGCCTTTTCGCCAAACCTATAGCACGACCTGCTCCTCCCCAGGCGAAGAGGAAACCGGTTGCAAACAGCTCTAAAGCTGAGGAACTGAAACCAACATTAAAGGTTAATACAGAGCCTAGGTCTGTCAAGGGACGCTCTGTGGCTTTCAAATCGCCAACGACGTCAGGTGCCTCAGGAGGAAATTTCCCGGCTAGTTCCATGTTTGATCCAGCTGAGAATCAAAACTCTGCTGATGCTGATACAAGCAATCCATCCACGGATGACCGCGAGTACGACAGACGTCGTGAATCATTTGTCAGGGACGATATTTGGGCAAGCAGACCTCCTGTGGAAGGAATGATTGATCATCTAGATGACTTCTTCCCAGGCGTTGACCTAGATGAGCCTTACCTAGATGGTAATGGCCAGTCCCCGCCCATGTCGCCCTCCGGACCATCCTCTCGAGATGAAACGGAGCCAGAAGCGGCAGATACCAGTGCCGCTACTGCACAGGCTACTAGTACAGCAGGATATCCAACCACGACAGACCTCCCAGATGTATTGGGATCAGCCGAGTCGACGCTTAAGGCAAAGAGAGTGCCAAGTACCGTCGCGCACCGGAACCTGTCACGCTCAGGAGGGTTAAATAGAATGAAATCCATTCGTGAAGTGGCAAAGGGAGCCCATCAAGTAAATAGACACCAGAGTATACAAAACAAAGGTGCAGCTGCATCTGGGATTCTTCGAAGGAAGAGTACCAAAATGTTTGGCGCTAAAATCATGCAAATTAGCCCAAAGCCAGGAACGCGGCTGAGTGATTTAGACCCAATGCCACAACAGCCATCAATGATACAGCAAGGGAAAATTCCGCAACGTCAACCTACTTTCCGTATCATCAGGGGTCAATTGATTGGAAAAGGAACTTATGGAAGAGTTTACCTGGGTATCAATGCCAATACTGGTGAAATTTTAGCTGTGAAACAAGTCGAGGTGAACCAAAAAGCCGCCAATTACGACAAAGACCGCGTGAAAGAGCTAGTTGCCGCAATGGACCAGGAAATTGACACAATGCAGCATCTGGAACATCCTAATATCGTTCAATACCTCGGATGCGAACGAGGGGACCTTTCAATTTCAATTTATCTCGAATATATTCCCGGAGGCAGTATTGGAAGTTGCCTTCGTAAACATGGGAAATTTGAGGAGAGTGTTGTGAAATCCCTGAACCGTCAAGTGCTAAGTGGTCTTGCGTACCTGCATGATCAGGGAATCCTTCACCGAGATCTAAAAGCCGATAATATCTTGCTTGACCTTGACGGTGCATGCAAAATCTCCGATTTTGGTATCTCGAAGAAGAGTGATAACATATATGGCAATGATGTTACCAATTCCATGCAGGGTTCAGTCTTCTGGATGGCTCCCGAGGTAGTCCAGTCCCAAGGTCAAGGGTATAGCGCCAAAGTTGATATCTGGTCACTTGGCTGTGTGGTTCTTGAGATGTTCGCTGGCCGACGTCCATGGAGCAAAGAAGAGGCTATCGGAGCAATTTTCAAGCTGGGCAGCTTAAACCAAGCGCCTCCTATTCCCGAGGATGTTGCGCTTGCCATTGAGCCTGCGGCTCTTGCCTTCATGTACGATTGTTTTACGATGTATGTTGTCGTTCTCATTATTAACTTACCCCGGACGTTCAATTCTCACGCATACTGACAACTGTTCTTAGTGATACTTTTGACCGCCCGACTGCCGAAACTCTCTTGTCACAGCACCCTTTCTGCACGGTTGATCCAAATTTCAATTTCCTTGACACCGAATTACATGCCAAGATCCGACATGTCCTTTAAAGGCAATATTTTGTTCTGTCCTCCTTGTGACCAGTAATATCCTCGAAATCTAAGGTCTCACTGGTATAGGCACCCATTTCTTAGTCTTTCACAAATAAGAACCAAACCCCTACCTTAACCTCGTTTGTAGCTCTTGTTTGGCTGTTGGTTGAATATTTTTTCTGGCAGCGCCTCTAAGTTTTTTCATGATTTGCTATATATTATGAAGCTAGGGCGAGCGTGTGAAGCATCGGCGTTTCCAAGATTTCCTGTCTAGTCTCTTATATGAGACCGTCGCGTTATTTCCTACGAGGTACTTACTCTCTGCATATATGCACGATTTACCCCGTACATAGGTACTGTTCTGGTGGATTTGCAGAATATCCAACACGTGATTTGAGCCTCTTCTTGTTTAGTCAGCATTTCGAGATTTGGAAATTCTTAAGCAGACGACGCGGCTTCAACCTCAACGACAGACAAGTTAGCCAAATAAATCGGTCTCATTAAAATATGGCCTCGTTATCCTTCACATTATTACCTGAGGCGCTTATGCAGCTCCGTGATGTACTTATTTGCCTATCTAAATTCAATGAAACTGTCTCGATTGAAGCAGACCCTGGCTGTGTAAGATACACCATGTTACTACCGTTTCACAATAACAGTGGAGATCTATGTTTATCATGCCGATGAAGAAATTATTAACCAGATATATCTAAATTATGTTCTCTAGCTACGCCTATCAACATTAAATGTTACCAAATCTGGCTATGCATCGTATAAGTTTGATGCAAGGTCCTTTTTTTCGGAGTACTCCTATAGTGCGTCAGGGAATAACGGCAAAAATGGAAAAGATAAGATCTCTTGTCAAATATATATCAAAGTACGGCTTCCTTAATAGTTATAAATGTTATGTATCCTGACTGACCAGCATTCTCTTCAAGGCACTGTTGTCTGTGTTCAAAGGGCGGGCCGTTGATTTCAAAGACAAAGATACTGCAATTGAACGATGTGAGGCCCAGTTACTTGACAGTCCAGATGAAATAGAATGCCGACTTATCGTGAAGATGATTTGCAAACATGGTGAGTGGTACAAATACTACTAACTGGGATGTTCCGAGATTGATGTGTATATATTTCCTAGGCGTTTTGAAGACGTACAAGCTCACCTATGAACCTGCTGATGTTCAGCACGCACTTTTTGGTAGATCAGATTCCCAAAACGAATGGAATGTGGATTCGAGGTTCTTACGTGAAATACTTGAACATTTTGGTCGTGGTGCAGAGCATGTAGATGTATATTGTGAGGATGGCCGAGCTGTATTCACAAGCTTTACAGAGAAAGTCATGGCAGGGACAGGTACGCTGGTGTTACTCATTCATATTCATATATGTTAATTCCGGCTAATGACGTGTAGAAATATTGAAACAGCCGGTTCATACGTCTGTGTCAATTGAGACAAGAGACTTTGCCCATTTTAGCGTTGAAGAAGGATTGCATGTTGCCATCAATGTGAGAGATTTTCGAGCAGTTATTCTCCATGCGGATACGCTTAAAGTTCCAATCACCGCTAGGTATACGCGGCCGTGTCGACCGCTGCAATTTTCCTATGGTATACCCGGGATGACTTGTGAAATCACACTGATGACGCGGGGGGAAGCTATCGATGAGACTGCGTCAGCTCCATCCCAGATAAATACGACGAAGGAGCTTTCGGCGCGACCCGCTCAAGAATTTGTGGTGAATGCTGGCGCAGATGCAGGTCTTAATGCTCGATTATCGCGCAGGGAGCAACAGCAGACGCAGGTACATGCGCAGTTGCAGCCCGAACCACAAATATCGATGCCGCCACCAGCCTCTCAGCAGCAGGGAGAAAAGCAGATCATATCCCTTGCGCCTGTCGCACCGATAGATCATGAGAGTTTGTTTGTTGCAGCAGACGATGATCGCCAGTGGGATGAGCCTCGCTACGAGGAGGAAGAGAAGGAAGATATGCTTCGATGGGACTCAAATCTGGACCAGGTATATACCTTTCTCGCATCAATTTGTTATCCTATATTGATGGAATTGTGGCATAGGAGGCCTTGCGGCAGAACCTTGGCGGTACCATCCAAGATATCCTACCCAAGGTGGAAGGGAGCTCTGGGCAAGGCAATATTGACGCGAGCCGGATGGAAGAAGACAGTGCAATGGGCATTCCGCCAACCCAGCGGATATCTCAGGTAACGCCGGCTAACATTCTTCTATATTATTCCAGTATAGTGCTTACTGAGAATATAGATACGTGGTCTATTCGACTGACCACCTTATTTGGCAGTTATACTATCTAACTTCAGGTTCGGATATCAAAACCCAGCTTGTAGCACACCCAGCACCGACAGCCTCGATGCTACTGTTATCTATCGGTAGTTGGATTTCATTCCAATGGCCGGCCACGTTGCCTTGCTTATCTGTTTTCGGGCCACAGTTGCCATGCTCACCCCATCCAAATGCAATAAGTGTCCTATGATCGATTGCGCCAACAACGTGCTCGCTCCCAACGGCAAGGTAAGCTAGGGCTGGCATCGTGGCGGTCGGCAACTGACCTCTATCATTACGACCCCAAGCCAGTATCTTGCCATCACAGAGATGTACATAGACGCCATGCCAGCTAGCAGTTAGTGAGTTGTATGGAGCTATCATGGAAGGAGCAGCAGATGATATGGCCCATTTATCTGGGCCAAGAATGTAAAGTGGCTCTGATGAAGTGCCGGAGGAAGGTGCAAATGCCGAAGAGGCGGTGGTCAGTACGGTAAATTCTCTACCACAGCTGATCCCTCGAATAGGGCCGGGCGGATTACCACCCACCATTATCCTTTGTGGCGACCAAACGACCTTTTGACTAACCTTGTCGGCTCCCAGCTGACCTTTTCTCGCTGCTCCCCAGCCGTATATCGTGCCATCATCTAAGAGGACTACGGTGTGGCCCATGCCGCTGGTAATGGAGATAATATGTCTACCATCTGGTGGGAAATTAGGTATCTTTGTTGGTACCGCTCTCTCAGAGACGTCTGGCCCTAGACCGAGTTCGCCCTTTGACCCGTGTCCGGCAACAAATATAGAGTCTCTGTTGATATCTACAAAAAATGACGCAGACCATGTTGCAGAGACATTGGAGAAGGCGGAGGTCTCGCGGCGGGCAAGAGTGTCATCGGCAAGCGGCTCGGCGATAATGACACGCTGAAAGCTAAGGAGATTATGGGTTGAAGCGTGCGTGGCACACTCACCATGCATATTCGAGCCAGCCGCGTACACTCTACCACAGGACAGTCGAATCAAAGTGTGATTCCCACCAGCGACGAGCTGCATGAGACTGGGACTGAGGCTGTCTCTATCTCCCGAGGCAGGTAAAGGGCGCTCGTCCCCCCACGAAAAGACACCTCGCTGGCCTGTTGACATCTTCCATGTGCCCGATCGCCAGCTGGCCTGCACCGTTCGATCCAAAAGCGTAAAGGTGCAGCATCGCGAGCCCACCACGTTCCTCAATCGGCAGCCTTTCGTTCGAGGTGAGGAAGAAGGGGAACAGAGTGACCACGGGCAGTAATTAACCCAGGGAGGACAGGGCAGGCAAGAGGAACCGCCAGGAATCGAATCCAGGACAGGCCCTGGAAGCCGCTGGCTGCTGTCTATGCCTAACACCAATCCCTTCAGCCTTTCCCCCTGGTCGGCCCAACCAACCTACAACGAAGCTAGAAAACAACAGAAGGGGGTAAAGTCAATAATAAATCCCTCACGCAAAAACGCAGGCAAGAGATATGAGGGAAACGAAGCAGGAAAGCAAAGATACTTTCCTCCCGGTACCTACAATTAGCAGGCAGGTTATTATTATTGGCTTATGACGGGAAGCTTGCGCTTAAGTATAGGTGACTAAGCGAGATAATGCAAGATGGTCAGCTCCATTTCTTCGTTATCGGTCAAAATAGAAACAGAAAGTGTCAGTGCATAGGCGATATGGATGTTTATCGCATCAGGGAGCAGAGAAGCTTGTTGCCTTGGATCTCTGCCATCCCGGAAACTGGAAATCGCCCTGCCCCCTTCGCTGCGGAAACTGGAACGTTCGCGATGTTACTAGCGGGGCGCCACCCGGACAACTCCCGAGCAAGGGGCTTGGGCAGCAAAGGGCGAAAAAAAAAAAGAAGAGAGAACCCCCACTAACTTGACTGGCACAGGGCAACCCGCGTTGTCAGGATTTCGGGATGACGGGGTGATATCACGAACTGCCCCCGGAGTAGCATCGCCGGCGTCGCAGCTGCTAGCCAACCTCCTGTCCACGCCGACGCTAGGCTTCACGAAAGATACATGCCTAACAAGTAACTGCTAGACGGGGCCTTCGTTTCTCCCGGGACTGCTGTTCACCCCTTCCTTGGCGAAGAGCTGGGATGGCCTAGGGACGGAAGCTAGTGGGAGGAAGGAAGCAACTTGATCGGAACAAGCAGGGAGCAGCAGGGAGTACCAGCAGTGCACAGGTTTGTTTCGAGTTGAGGAACACAGAGCGGGCGTGAAGGTCAATGTGACACTGGACGGTTATCTTATCTTCGCCTATCAGCTATCAGCAACAAAACTCTGGCGACTATCAGGTGCTACAACTGCAACCTTCAGGGAGCAAATCTGTTTGAGGGTACCTAGGTAGGAATCTCCATCTCGGAGGAGTAATCTTCTTTTATCCGGTCTCTGCGTTCTGATTCGAGGCGATGACGCAGGCCAAGGGGGGTACAGGCCAAGTGGGGAGCAGCAGAGCATGCAGGCGGAAAGCCAGTCAGACTGCTTCGACAGTTTCGACCAGGGAGGGGGGCGTTGCGGGAGATGATTTCATCAGAGGTTGCTCTGGTACTCTGGCTGGAGACATGAAGGTCCAGGCAGGAGAAGAAAAGAAGCAAAAAGAATAATACTTATATAGCTTGCCTCCCCAGGCGCAAGCAGGATGTATATGGTTGTCTCTGGTATACCCGGTATCTCTGGTACATTACTTCCCTTGCCGGCCCTGTTTTTGTTGCTTGCTCTACAGATCTAGCTTTGATACTACTCAATTGAAAGATAGGCATTCGCCTCGGAACCAAGTTTTCTTCCAAATCCTTCACTGTTGCTTGCTCACTTTACCTGCCCGTGGTTGCACCGGAAGCGAGCCTTGATTACACGAATCAAGAGCGTACTACAGGCGTAGAAGTGACGAAGAGTGACAAGCGAGTGACCTTGCTCAGCTCGAGGCGCCGGGAGCGACCTGCTTTGCAAACAAACCAACCACACCCAAATAAAAAGGGGACGCCCTGCACGACCGTCAAGCTGGCGTCCGCAACTCCCAACTTCCTTTCCTTTTTCTTTTCTTCTCTCCTCGCCCTGCCCACCACCTCCGTCACATCGGTATTAAAAGCCATCAGCACCGCTCTCTCGTCCGCTATCTCGCTCTTCCACGCGTCTCCTTCAACCAGAGCTCTCGCAAGGCAAAAGACCGCTTCATCAGCTGCCATTTCCGCGTCAGCATCCGGCAAGATGCCATCCAAGAAGGCCATCCATTTCGGCGGCGGCAACATCGGCCGTGGCTTCGTTGCCGAGTTCCTTCACGAGTCAGACTATGAGGTCGTCTTCATTGACGTGATGGACCAGGTCATTGAGAACCTACAGAAGTCAGAGTCCTATACCGTTACCGAGATCAGCTCCGCCGGTGAGAACGTCAAGAAGATCACCAACTACCGCGCCATCAACTCGAAATATAACATGGAGGATGTCATTCGTGAAATCGCCACCGCGGAAGTTGTCACCTGTGCTGTCGGACCTAATATCCTTAAGTTCATCGCCTCTCCTATTGCAAAGGGTATTGATGCCCGCACTATCGAGCGCCCTCTTGCCGTCATTGCGTGTGAGAATGCCATTGGAGCCACAGACACTCTGGCCTCTTTTATCAAAGAGCACACAGATAAGGACCGACTTGCCACCCTCTCCGACCGTGCTCGCTTTGCCAACTCTGCTATTGACCGAATTGTGCCTACTCAGGACCCCGATGCGGGCTTGAACGTCAAGATCGAGAAGTTCTATGAGTGGGCTGTTGACCAGACTCCTTTTGGTGACTGGGGCCACCCAGACATTAAAGCCATTCACTGGGTTGACAACCTTGAGCCGTACATCGAACGCAAGCTCTACACTGTGAACACCGGCCACGCCACTGCTGCCTACTATGGGTATAATTCTGGAAAAAAGACCATCTACGAGGCCCTGTCTGACCCCCGTATCAAGAAGGTGGTTGATGACGCCCTTAGCGAGACTTCCCGGCTCATTATTGATAAGCACGGCATTCCAGAACAGGAGCAGCGTGCTTACGTCAGTGCCATTATCGAACGTATCTCTAACCCATACCTCGAAGACGTCGTAGAGCGTGTTGGCCGTGCTCCCGTCCGCAAGCTTGGTCGAAAGGAACGTTTCATTGGTCCTGCTGCCCAGCTCGCTGAGAGAGGTCAGAAGGTTGATGCTCTTATGGGTGCCGTCGAGCAGGCTCTGCGTTTCCAGAACGTCCCTGGTGATGATGAGAGCACTGAGCTGGCCAAGATCCTTCGTGAGGAGAACTGCGAATCCGCCGCCCAGAAGCTGACTTCGCTGGAACCAAACCACCCTCTGTACGACCGCGTTGTGGAGAAGGTTAGAAAGGTCCAGAATGAGTCTAGGTACGTCCGGACATTGGGCAAGATATAATTCGAGAGGGGTATAATTAACGCCGTCCTACAGAGAAATGATGCCATCCGTCTTGTAACTCAGCACAAGAACCTTGGAGAAGCGATGCCTATCGGTCCTGTGAAGCTGCACAAGCATCTGCAACTCGACAGTCGAAAACGAAATCAACAAACGCCTCCTAGCATCAGCAAACAAACAACCAGAGGAGCGTCTCTTCCTCTATGAGATCAGAAAAAGCAACCGAATAAAAAGAACAAAAAACAACACCCTAACCAAGTATGATTAACGATGTATCTATTATGGCCCTTTTCTTCCCCCTTTTTTCATCTTTTATTTCGGACTCGGGCTGGGCGTCGGCGTACAAGGAGCCAGGCCAGCGTTCACAGCATTACAGACATGAACACATTAGCGATTCCAGCTAGCTAGTTACGAGACTAATCTCGTCATGCCGCCATGAGCGAGCTCACGCAATGAAATACAAATTTGTAACTCCTACTCCGTGCTTTGTCTTCGTTTCTTCGTCTTGAAATTTTTTTTTTTCCCTCCTTTGGATCCATATCCGTACACGTGATCGGAATTTGCAACTACCTTTATCCGATGACCAAGTTCCAAGTTACGTAATCTCATCGCATCGCATAAAAGCGACTCGGAAAAAGCTGACGAAAACAATGACAATAAAAGGGCAAAAAGGAAGGCGAGAGACGAGAAGGGAGGAAGGGGGAAAGAGGAGATACGGACGGATAGAGACAAGGAGAGGCCATGTCCATCCATGCTTGGAAAAGCAGTGAGAATGCAGGCAGGGATGACACTTGCATTCAGGAAGCCCTTTTTATAGGTTTAATATACTCCGTTCCTAGCAAACGCCCCAGTCGACTCTGGAATACTTTACATAGCCCTGGTATATCCGGCCAGAAAAAGGCTTAGAAATAGCCGGGCCAGCATCGAAATCATTTCTTTCTTTTACCTTGTGGAAAGAGAGAGTATCTTGTCCCGCTTCGAGATAGGAAGCAGGCAGAGGTCATCCAACCCCTGTCCTGCAGCATTGTCCATAGTTCCCTCTCTGCGGCGGTAATCCGTACTCACAGCAGCCGTCGATGCAACCCGAGGCGTTTTGATCGTTCCAGCCACAGGCTAACTAAGGTTCGCAGGGGGATCCGGAGGGCGGTGCAAAAAAGTCGAAGGAGCATCGTGGACCCAGATAGTGAACAGGCATGTTGATTTTTGTTGCTTTTTTCCCATCCTTTGCACAGCTGAGCGCAACCCTTTGGGCACAGACAGAGAAGGCGAGCACTGTCCCTCTTCCAGTTACGGTGGGAGAACTAGGAGCCTTTGTTGTGTTGTGGTTACATTCCCACAGCGCGGGAGAAGCGAGGATAACTGGTTAGCGAGCTCCCCCCTTGACTTTCTCGTAGCCTTCATGCAGGGCGGATAGCGGCATCAGGTGCCTCCAACGGACGGGTTCAACCGTTATTCCCGTATCTCTCACCCTGTCCATCACTTTCGCATGTTCCTTTTTGCGTGTCGAACTGCTCGTTAGGATGGTTCGCAGTTAAACAGCCCGTCGCTCATATCCCAAGCGTGTTATTGAATACTGTTAGTTGTCTAGACGCTTATCGCCTTATCGATGACCTCATAACGTGGGCCTCTCGGTAGGAAAAAGGGAAAAACAGGCTGTCACTCCAACCACACGCGACCGCACCAAGGCCAGCAGCCTATCGTGATTCTCGTCTGTATAGTATCATTCTCCTGTACGCATCATATAGTATTTATCTCCGTATATGTGTGTGTTTTTCTCTTCCTTCATTTGTGCAGATATTTTCTGTTTTCTCAGCTTCTCAGCTTAGGCTTTTTGAGCCATCACATTCGTTGTGGCCTTTCACAAAAATTGTTGATATATATATTGTACGAAGTACTAAGCATATATCTCATCCAGGAACGCTTTAAGTGTCTGACCAGACCTAATATTCCAGATTAGAGGAGGAGGACGGAGCATGGCTACTCTGCCCCTACCGCCTCATCGCTCCCTTCTCCATGGGGTCGAGCAGCTGCCGCCATACACTCCCCGCAGAACTCCTCTGAACGACCCCGAGACAGCATCTATACGTTCAGATGCGCCGTCGTACGTCTCCGCTGCTCCGTCATACCATTCCTATCTTCCAGCGTCCCATCGGCGAACGAGTGACGTGCTCACCAGTTCCCCTTCACCGGCTGAAAATCAGCAGCATCAAGCCAGTCTAGAGTCACAGCAGAGCCAGGAACGGCAGACAACTCGAGCACAAGCTTCACACAATCATAGCTCAAGCCGACATGGCCTCCCTCCTACACCTATGTACGCCCGTGGCTTCGAGAATCGCATAGGCCCAACATCCCCTTTCAGCAATTCATCTAACTTCACCGCTCGCTCTATACGCAATACCGCGTCCAGCCTTCGGTCAATATACAACTCGTCGGAATGGGTACCGGTAACAAGCGGCCTGCAGTCGCGCCACTATCGAAATGTTGCAAACAGGCGTGTAACAAGTTCATCCAGCGAAATTAATGCCATATCGAGGTTCATATTCCCAGGCCTTTTCCAGACCACCACGGATATCACGACGTCTAGCATTTCTGAGATGGAAAACCGACCTTCATCAAGAAATGTGGCTATGCCATCTCCCCTCGGACAGGCACATAACTCTTCCACCATCACGCTCGTCCGTTCTCCAACCGAAGAACCATCAGCTGTATCGACTGCAAATGAGACAACTTCACCCACGCATTCTGGCATACACCTCCCACTATCTCCACATGAAGACCCGGATCTGGTTGGTGAAGAAGCTGCCGCTCGCTTCCGGTCTCAGCGGCTTTACATGGCCTCTCAACAGGAGGAGCTGAATCGAGTCCGATATCCAACACCACCTCGAAACCCGGCACAGCAGCAAGACACGCCCAGCCAGCCAGGGTTGGTGTATCAGTACAGTTCATTGGTGTCCCCTGCATCTACTTCAATCGAATTCACACCTTCGCCAGAACAGCAACGGCGAGCTCGTATGACGGGTTCTCCGGTCTCATCTGATAATGTAATACTTCGGTCCAGGCCAAGCAGAGACCGCGTTGAACCCGCCAGGTCTCAAAGTCCAGAAACACAGCAGCTGAATATTCATGCTCTCACACAAATACCAACACGAACGCCTGCTACTGCAGCTGCACCCAATACAACAACTCCACCCAGTACAGAAGCAGAACCCGGCCCAGGCACGACTGCGAGATACAACCGCAGATCTCTAGTCGATCGTGACAGCGTCTTGCGCGCCCAGGAGGCGCAGAACTGGGACTTCATGTTAGCCCAAATGGCAGACGGAGAAGGACGCGAGCGTAGCTGGAAGAGGTATAAGGGACAAGTGGAGAAGCAGATTCATGTTGCGAGACATATGAAGCTAGGGCCTCTTCTCATGGTTGGATGGAGGAGGCGGTTGGAGGAAAGAAGGAAAGCAAAGGCAAGGGCATTTCATTAACGGATATCTCACGGAGCTCGCACCGATTGACTGTTTGGTTTGGACAATTGTTCCCTTTGCGTTTTCGGCTAATACGGTTCTGGTTCCGTTCATGGGTTCATTGTAGGCATTATAAGTTTGTAGGTGGGATATCAGATAGCAGCAAAGCATTTGTTGAATTCACACTCGGTCCATGAATTAACAACTTGGCCATTGCTTGTAGCCGCCCAAAGTATTTTGACTGGCAAACATCGGTGATTCAGTGGGCATCGGACTTGAGAATTTAGATGTCGACAAAATATGCTAGCCCTACATTGATTAGTGTGGTTAATCAGCTCCATTCTAATAGTCTTTGCTATTTACCGCTAGGCCGCCCTATGGATCATAGACCTTCTAGTTAGTACAGCCATCCGAACAGCCCTTAATGTCCAACCTATACCACATCTTTTCCGTAGACGGCTGCTTTCGGTAGCTGTAGGAGCATAGATGATGAGCGAAAAGGAGCTTTGCCGCTAAGCAAACTCAGGGCTGTGGCATAAATAGGAGGCCGAGGATGCCTGTACGGCTTCTGGGCGCTAGAGCAGACGATGGCTTGCGATGAAATCTTCTGCTTGTCGAGATGGGAGTTGAACGTTTGATGTAGGTTAAAGGAGCTCTCCGCCACGTGACCCGAGCCTCCTGCGAGCCTAAGTTGACGCGAGAGATCAGAATTGAAGAACGTACATTCAGCGACCCGTCGATGTTTCTGGGAACATATACGAAGTATACTGGCCCTATGTTACTCCGGGTAGTCACCGGCTAATATCAATATGCGCATTGCCTAGAAGATGCACAAGACTACAAACGGCGAGGGGACGGGGCAACCAGCCCTGGTCGCAGCAGAGGATGCATTGCGTGGGATGAAGAACGACCTCGAGTTCACGCAATGGTATGGTAGTGTTAAGGATGAATTGCTAGAAGCAAGCTACGAAAAGTACCAGTGCGTATTCAGTATATTATTCCTTTCCCAAACGCTTCTTAAACAACCACTGTATAGTTTACTAACGGGCTGGTTTATCTAGATCATGTCTAGACGATCTGGAATCATCGACCTGCCACCTTGACTCTCTACTCCAAGACACCTCACACACTTTGGAAATTCTCTCGAGACTATCACAATCATTTGAGGCAGTGGAGGATCGGACATCTGTCTTTCGGAAACAATGTGAAGGCCTTCTTTCCGCGCGGAACAGAAGTTCGAAATTAGCAGACGAGATTCAGGAGAATCTGGTGCCTTATGACTACTTGGACCCAATATCAAGAAGGCTTAATGCACCAGGAGCTAGCAACTCAGTTCGCTCGAAAGATTTCTCGGATATGCTGAGGCGTCTAGATGAATGTCTAGACTACATGCATGCGCATGTAAGTTAAGGCCTTCCATCATTGCACCGCAATGTTTTGGCGACTAATGCATGCACTCACTCGTAGCCAGAGCATAAAGAGGCAGAAGTATATAGAGCTCGCTATCGCTTACTCCTCACTCGTGCGCTCACGTTAATTCGCGGCCAGTTTGTCTCAACCGTGCGGGACATTTCCTCCGGAGTTACGAAGCGAATTGCCGATCGCCAGCTTAATGATACAACAATGTCCGCCCTTTTATATGCTAAATTCCGTGTTGGTGCCCCGGAGATGAAAGAGATGGGACTCGAAATTCAGAAGCGAGCGGTTCCTCCCCTAGACCCCGAACAAGGCGCCGAAGCAGAGTACCAAAGCCTTCTCAACGAACTCCATATAAACTTTGCAACTTCCCGTGCAAGATTAGTTGTTCCTCTTGTCAGGAAAAGACTAAATGATATTGCAAATGCGCCTAGCACATCAAAGGATCTGGTTGCGTTTGCAAGAACTAGCATCAGCTATGTACGTGGTATATGCCTTGATGAATTTGAATTGTGGGGAGAATGGTTCCATGGGCAATATGGTCTTTATGATTTTCTTGAGGCTATCTGTGAACCACTTTATGACCATCTACGGCCTCGAATCATTCATGACAACAAACTTGTTAGGCTATGTCAGCTCTGCATACTACTCCAAACCCGATATCTAAACGAGCCAGACGAAGACGGAGAGTGCGTGGTAGATCCCAATCAACTAGATTTTGCGCTATTGATCCAACCTGCGCTACAAGATGCGCAAACTCGACTTGTTTTCCTTGCACAGGCTATTTTGCGAGCTGAAATCGAGAGGTTTAAGCCGCGCCCAGAGGACCTTGATTACCCTGCTAAAAATAAACAAACGTCGACCAGTGCGCAAAACACTTTTGCACCAGTGGTTTCAGGAAGGAAGACATCATCAATTGAACCGAAGCTGCCAACTGTTGTGGATGAGGATACGGACTCCCCGGCGGAGAAAGATTCCCAATGGGACTTTACGTCTCAGGCAATGTTTGAAGGGTGGTATCCCACTCTGAAGAAGGCAATTTGGCTGTTAAGTCGCATATATCGCTTGGTTAACGTGGGTAACCCTTGTCTTTTTTCGGTATACATCTTCCCCATTTTGCTAATAGATTTGTTGATATAGTCGAAAGTGTTTGATGACTTAGCCCATCAAATTGTCCACCAAACAACTTTTTCAATTCAACAGGCAGGTACGGAGATCTCTTCCAAAAAGTCTAAACCGGACGGCCTCCTATTCTTGATTAAGCACTTGCTGGTACTGAAACAGCAAATTGTTGCTTTCGATATCGAATTTGTGTCGCCTGATGTATCATTTGACTTCTCCGGAGTAACCAATACATTTTGGGAACTACAAGAGCGTGGAGGACTCTTCAATACCCGAACTTGGATGCAGCTTGTAGGAGGCGGCCTTCTACCCCAGGTAGTGGAGAATATGTTGGACGCCAAAGTTGAGCTCGACGGTACACTTCGAACAGTAATCAATGATTTCACCAATACGTTCGCAACCAGAATGACTTCTGGTTTACCCCAAGTATCGGGCAAAACATTGACACCGACATTATCCCAACAAATCCAAAAAGGAGTCTTAACTATGCGTCATTCAATTGAGGAGGAAGTACCTAATTTACGTCGGTTACTAGACGATTATCTCGAAGACAAAAGAACAAAAGAAACGCTTGTCAGTGCTGTACAGGATAATGTCATCCAGCTTTATGAAGACTTTTTGGAAGCATACGCTGCAACTGAGGCTGGCAAGAGTCAGCCTGGTAGAAAGAACCCTGGAAGACCAGCGGCTTCTGGGGAACTCTGGGATATCGAAAAGTTCGGAGATTGGACTGACTCTATCTTCAGGCCTAAGATTGAAGTTTATGAGAGTGATCATGATGATGAAAGCCAGGATGATGGATCAGAGGAGGAGAATGGGGAGTATGATAGTGGCAGCAATCATGAAGAAGACAATAGTACTTAGCACATCTTACAGAATTAGTCTAGATATGAGAAAATCGAGCTTTCAAACCTGAACTACTGTAGGGGGAATATGCAAGCATAATTTGTTACGACGTCTCTTCTAAATGACTTACAAATTACGTAGGAAGGTAAAAATGCAACACAGATGATAGTTTCAATGTGAGTGTCAAAGTAATGCGCTATATTAAATCCACAATACATAAACTATTCCATACAACAATGCACGCACACTCTAGCGCCGGAATCTCTAGTCCATCAAGTGCGCCGTACGCCAAGCAGAATCAAGTTGCAAAAGATATTTCAAAACCCAGACAGTCTAAAGGAGGTGCTTCGAGCGATGCTTCCTTGAGAAGCATCATATACCATTGGATAAGGGGTATTTTAATAACCATAAAATCACAGTACCCTCTCACATTAATACTGCACAACCGTTCCCGCCGTCATCTATCATCATACTAGACATATGACTCGCCCGAGACTGATGGGAACCTCGATCCCTGTAAAGGTGAGTTAACCGCTATTCTGCTGTTTTGCAGGACTGGGTAGAAGGGTTAAACTCACAAGTCGTACGGATAGTTGAATAGCGCCTTCTTAGGTATACATTGGGCAATTGTTGGGAATGGGTTGGCTCATGTGCATAACGTGGCCCGCTGTCCAATCGCACAAACCGAGGACGTTGATGAGAGCCTGGATGGTTACTTTTGAAGCGTACTTCTGGCCAGGGCCTGGGATGCGCGGTTCCACAAGATCTTTCTTCACGCCTTTCAATGGTAAAGCTTTGAGTCTCCAATTTTGTTGTGATCCAAATTTGGCACATTGCAGTAGAAGTGTGCTGCACGGGGCCGTTTGGTAGAATAGGTGACGATAAGTCGAACACCGGCAAAATGACTGTAATTAATCGCCTAATAGTCTCTCTAAGTTTCGGATATTCTTGATTAATGATATTTGTTAGGGCCCGGGCGTGATAAATAGATATGGGTATTTAGCTGGCTAGAGTGTCACCGGCACTTTCAATAGCCCTTGGTTGATGTGAATTGAATAACAACATTGGTTGGAGGTATAATATGCTAGGTCATAGAGGGGGATACAATGGCATTTATATGCATTCGTAGTGAATGCTATATTATTGCATGAAATCACACGGCAGGGTCTTATCGCCAGGCAGACGCCACAGTCACCAAGGCATCATTTTATGTCCTTCCGTATAGGGTAAGGTTTGGCATTCCTGCTTGATTGATTGGAATCCAGCATCCCGCCATGATGGTGGCCTACAAGCCTGCCGCAACAAGCCAGGGGTTGAAAGGCTGCTAACGTGCATCACCCTCTTATAGGTAAGGCCTAAACGCGGGACACAGCCACATATGTTCCTAACAAAGCATCAATGACGTGAGTCTGGGTATATTTTCCAATGCATCCTCGGACCGGGCAGGAGGCAGGGGAATGTAGGATCAATCCATCTGAGCAGGCTAGATTTAAGCGCCAGTAACTAGCCACAGCTCACTAATTAGTCAAGGGCTCAGCCAAAGGAGCCTGGTAACTCAGCCACAGGCCCCATCATGCGCATTGGAAAAAGGTCTCTCCCCTCTTAAAATGACTGGTTCAGAAGGAGCAAAAATCGGAGACGTGACTTTCTACAACAATAGTCTCGTGTAGGCGAGGCGTCTTTTGCCGATTCTCAATAGAATATGTGGCTCATTATATGGTAGAACAACGGTCTTCGAAGCGCTTGTGGATGGAGTTTTATGCAAGTCGAAACAAGCTTATTATATAATCAATTGTTATGCGAGATGTGCACGGATATTTCCTAATACGGTTAGTTTCCGAGATGAAAGTTAATGACGAAATAGGACAGTTTTTAGCGTCACTTCTACGGAGTACCTATATATTTTCTTTCACTTCTCACTCCTTCTTCAGTTTCTCCTTTTTCTTTCTCACTTTCCTTACCTTGTCATGTCTGCGAGTCAACAGGATTTCTTTCCGAATCGTTATACTGTCCTTTCAAAAGCCCAGAGTCACTCGCTAGAAATCATTTTATCATCTGTTGGGATATTCCACTTTTGCTACGGCTCGCACACATTAGGCAAGGTATCCTTGGGGCATTAGGCCTTTTTGTCCCTTGTAGTTCAACACTGCTTATATTGGCTGACTGAGCCGCAAAGATGCTGTCCATGAACCACACGAAAGAAATGGCCTCTGAGATGATTGTCGTGTCCCCAACTGCCAGCGAACCTTCGCATAGTATCAGTGGCAGGCGTATTACACCACGGTCTGAGCGAACAATTTCTAAACAAATCACGTTTATTTCGCCTTTGGGCTCATTTCCAAAAGTACCCTCTAGCCGTGTCAGTTCTCACTTATTCACTCCATCAAGGCAGCTTTTTCCCGGTGGGGAGGCATCTATAGGTTTGCTACCCCGCGATACCATCCCTCTGCTACATCATGCTAACATTGTTATAGATGAGAGAGGGACAATATGCCCTGGGCACACGCACCCTGAGATACCTCCATGGAGGCACCAACTTGCAGGCAGACCGTTCCCGCGACAAATCATCATTGACTTTGACCTCAGAAGAGACGCAGTCTTTGATAAAAAAAAAAAGGCTGGAATTTTTGACGACATAATTCCCTCTACTATATACGTTATGTTTGATGGGTGGTTTTAATCTTCCAACTGGCCTCACTCCCGCCTAAACCTTGGCCGAAGAAAATAGCAGGGGTTCCCTGCTGTTTTACGACAGTTGAGGGAGACCATGGGCCAAGCCCTCCAATCGACCGTTCAAGCTTCTCACACATCCGCATCTCACATCACTTAAACTATTCGGGCGATGAATTCAAGGAAGAGGCACTGTTTCAAGTTGCAAAGACGCATTTTATGGAGATTGGTGTAAGCATAACCGAGATCCAGTTCAGGGGAAGGTTCATTGTCATAGTACTTGAATTCCGCGATTCGGATATATCTGTGCTACCACAGTTGATAGCCCGGTGTAATTGTTTCTATTTATATGATGACGAAATGGGCCGGCCTTCTAACCAGTCTGCCCTACGGCTTCTTGAACCAGTGCCGGGGAATCCAGATGATAGCGAATATGATAACTTGCGTCCTGGAGTCATGCTCAGCTCAGGAAAACACCCTACCGAGGGACGGGAGCTGCTTACTTCGTCGGGAGTTTTAGTCCAGGACGACAATGGATATCAATACATGACTTGCGCATCACATGGTTTTCCGTATGGAGGAAGGGTGTTCCATCCAAATGCCAGCAGGCAAGAGATTGGAACTGTCATAATAAAGCTCACGCATATAAACATTGCCCTAGTTCAACTTGACAATCAGATCTCCTATACCAATGAAATTTTCGAGAACACAGTAGTTCCAGGTCCGTCCGTCCGACTACAACGCTTTAATACTGACGAAGAAAATCGTTGCAGAGCAGGAAGTGACATTTTCATTAACAGTCCATTCACCGGGTATATTGAAGGTACACAGGGTATGCGAGCCATGTGTCGTGCCCCAACCGGCAACCCTCGTAAACCTGAACAAGTATGGATTAAAACTCGGTGGGATTATATGGGCCAGGGCTCAAGTGATACTCTTGCTGATGGAATTTGTGGCTCCGCGCTCTGGAACGATAGGGGAAATGTGGTTGGGTTTTTCAGACATGCACCAAAATCCGGTCATTTTCTTGGCTGGTGTATGTCGATATCTAGTAGCGAGTTGGAGGCGAGAGGTTTCTCAATCGTTTGGTGTGCACCTGTTAAGTGGCTATTGTTATTCCAAGACCCCCCTCTCTCCTTTATTTTATAAGAACAATAAAAAACACTGACGACCTGTTCTAGTTCAAGTTCTGCTTCAAAATTCTGGACGAGAGAGACGGTCTGAGGTTAGAAAGTGAAAGGTAGCTTCCAAGATAACCTGCTCTCTCATGTCATCTTCTTAGTGTTCATCGACGGGCAAAGGCCGTTAGGGGGAAATGACCGGAGAATTGTTCAAATAACTTAGCTAGTGATGGAATTTTGCCATCCTGTCTTGTTACCAAGGTTAATCGAGCCGCCTTCCAGTCCAAATAAACAAACTTTCCATTTCATATAGTTACCAACTGCCAGATTTCTATACAATAATGCTGCATGGTTTCTGCTTACATCGTTAACTAACTATTAGGTCTTCCCACCCAGGCATCTCGGACTTTTAGTAAAGCCAGTCGGCTAAGCGAGGATGCAAAGATAGGATCCTTTCGGTCTCGGATTATGAACATCGGCCTCCTAGACATGCCAAAACTGCACCCCAGCTATGCCTGCAGATCAATGACGTCGAGGCCGGCATGTCCACAGACACAGCGGCCCGAGGACTGTCAAAGAACACAGGGCAAGATAAGGAATCTCTTTAAGCCCGAAGGGTCCGCACGGTCGGACACCGGGTGATTAGTCGTCATATCAATGACTTTCAAGTGGTTGTCCGTTTGTCCTTTCACCCCGGCCGCTTCCCGCTACTCGCACCCCGGGCCCATTAAGTACCTTTCGTGATGCAAACCACATGCATACATAAGTTTCCTCGATCTTCTGAACATGCAGTTTGCGGGGGAGGGTGAGCCAGGGTTCCCCGGAGCTATATCCGTATCGGGCAAAGTCTCTGAGGCCGCAGAAAGATGACGAACTTGCTTATCTTTCATAATTCGGATGGCCGAAGAAGGGTACAGAGGAACCGCTCATATGCTATATATTGGAGTTCTACAGGGCAAGTCTTTGCTCGGCTAAATGAGGGCTACGTGGAAGAAAGGGCTATATTGCGGATACTATTCCGTACTGCCTTCCTTGGATTTGCTCTCGCATGAGACTTGCTGTCTACCGAGGAAGATACATAGAGCATACGTACTGTTCATGCAGTTATATATCTTTCCACACGTCGATCCCCGTATCTCCTGCCCGAGAAGCCCAAAGGATGTTCGATTTTCACAGGGGCCAGGATAGTATCTGAGTATCAAGAGAGTCTGCAAGATTACGGTATCCCTGAAGGTTTGGGAGATAAGAAGTTGGCGTCTTGACTTAAAAAAAAACAATCGTCATCGAACATACAGAGCAAAAGGTGTTTGAGAAATGCTTCACTAATTAACTATATATGGGTATCAAAATAGTCTCATCCAAAGCGCACATGTGATTATAAGCCCATCACCATCACATAAAGTAGATATATAGATAAAAGTAAGAAATGAAAAAGACATCGGTGTCTTGTCTAAGGGAAACAGGCCGTAAACAGATTAAGGTATCGAGATTCCCAAGGTACCGGTAGGAAAAGCCAGCTTCCCATATAAACTCATGTCTAACCGTGAAACACCAGTACATGAAAGTGTCACCTCGCAAGAAATGCTCCGTCGTAGAGAAGAATATAAACAAAGAGAGTCGTAGATTGGCTATAGATTCGGACACTAGACCGTCTCAAACCGGCGGGGGAGTTCGAAAGCCAGATCGGCCGCGAGAAAAGTTCATGAAAGCCCTTTTCTTAATGGTAAGGCCAGAGACCGAAGAGCCATAGCCCGTGGAGGGCCGCGAGGAAGTTAATAGAGAGAATCTTCCTGTGATTCCGTCGACAGGAGATGTGTTGCCACTACTGCCACCATGATTGCTATCAAAGCTACTGTTGCTCCTTCTGCGGTTAAAGAAATTGTCGGGGTCGCTCCTAGGGACAAAGATCGGCTCCTGGTTTGGGCCAGTATTGGCGCGAGGGCGATTGGGATGACGAGGAGGTATCATGGGCCTGCTCTCCAGACCATCTCCTTCGATTGACCTGTCCGGGCAGGAGTGTTGTAGTGGGGATGAAGTATGGGAAGTCGTGGGCTTCGAGTTAAATAATGATGATACCCGGCTGGGTACATACCAAGGGTGGGACGTGGGGACTGGGAGTGGTGGAAGGCTCTTCTGGCTTTGGATGTGCAAATCTTCCATCATCTCATCGATTATCTCAGCAGAGACATTGCCAGGGTGCATACTCTTATCATCAAACTCACCTCCGTTGTTGTTGACAATATGCACGTTCCATGGTTTTTGTAAAGTAGGCGGTGCAGGTGTGGTAGGGGTAGCTATATTCAACGGAGTACCGTAAATGGAAGAGGAGCCCGCGACGGAGTCCTCTGTGTAAAGCGAAATAGAGCCGTTGCTGAGACCGGTGTAGGCATCAGTTTCGGCACCACCAAGTTGTGCGGAGGACTCAGTATATGTAGTGTTAGGAAGGCTACTGCCATCCTGACTAGCCTTGTCATCGATTGCATAGCAGCTGTAATCTTCGGGGAATGCTGGCATAGGAGGTATTTGTATATCGCTCTCTACACTCATGTCGAAGGAGTGAAGGCTTCCAATTATACCACCGGATTGCTTAACCTGGCAGTGCGGTTGAGTAGAGCCGAAGTCAATCTGTAATATGGCCATTGCAAATTTATCGGCAACGTAAGAAGCGCGTGGTCGATATTTAGGGTCCCTGGCAAACATCTCCTTTGCAGTCTCTAATATTGGGTCGACTGCATGGAAATAAGATTCAGATTGTTTGGCGGCATCCTTCTCAAGGATAGAAATCCAAGAAAATATCTGTCGCGTATTTTGATCCAGGTGAAAAGAGGTATCGTTCGTAGATCGGACTGATGCCTTTGTCCGGCTCGTACAGCCGCGATGCTGAGCAAATGCTGATTGCTTCCGCTTGCATAAATGAGTAACTATATCAAGAATAACGGCGGCCAGAGAGAAGACGTCAGAGGCCAAAGGTAGTTGTTCAGCTGAGTAACAATGGGAATTGTTAGGGATAGTTTGCGGAGGCGATGAGAAGGTTGCGCTTTGGTTAGATCCATGTGTGCTGGTAGTTGATGTCGAATGTGCATAGGATGCTCTTTTCCTGGATGGGCCGACACTCGAGAAGTCAGAGGAGGATCCCCAGGAAGTAAGTCTGCCTCGTGAATCGTACGAGCTCTTTTGCGGCGCCAGAGGAGAAAAGGAGAGATTGTCGGTGCGGGTTAAGGCGTTCTTGGTGCCGCCGGGAGGTTGCTGCCAGGTACAATGTTGGTTTGACCATTGCTCTGGTGCAGCGTACTCGTATGTTTCGGCAAACTCCTCCTTTCTCAGGCCAACAAGCAGGTCGTGAACATCGAATAGGCCTAGGTATATGTGCATTTTGGCATCAATAAGAATATTTGATGGTCGGATAGCTCCATGAGCGTAGCCCTGCTCGTGCAACCAGGCGAGGCCGCTGGCTAAGCAATTTGGCCAATTCACGAGCCATCTTTTCTGCTCTAGTTTTGAGAACTTTCGCAAAGCGGATGTGTGTCTGTCATTGATAAACGACCGTAGGTTGCATTCAGGGAGGTGGAACAGCACATTGACTGTGCTCTCAGCTGTATATGTGCCAAAAATTGATAGAATGTGTTCATGAGAGAAGCGCTCTAAAGACCTGACCTCCCTCAGGACATCCGACTCACTTAGGAAGTGAGATGCAGTATCCTCGCCAATCGCGATCCTCAGGCGGAGGTATTCCTTGATCTCAATCCCAGGAAGAGAGACCTTTTCAACAGGCAGTCTATCAGACAGCACGACGGCGGGTCGTTCCTTGCAAACGTCAACTGGTATAATTTCATCTTCATCGTATGTAATATGCTGTCCGGCTTCAATTCCTCTCGCTAAGAACCGATTCTGAATTTCAACGAATCTCCAATTCAAGAAAAGGTCTTCGCGATCGGGAGAAAGCCGAAGGAGTTCTGCCTTGTTAGAGTCGAAGGGGAGATCTGAATCATCATATGTCTCATCCACTAGGCGAAATATGCGACTCGGTACCTCGATTTCCACTAGGATTAAGAAGAGCCTGCGACCTCGTTGTAAGATCCAGTCGATATAAGTGTCGTCCGTTAATCCTTCGCCAAATGCGATCTTACTGTTCAGGCGTTGATGGAGGATGGGGTCCACATGCTTCAGTACAAATTCTCGCGTGACTGTGAAGTCTATCTTCGCCTCCGTCCATAGAGCAGGTGCAGGGCCCATGATTCCTCCCGTTCCAGCGCGGACACTGTCAAATTCTTTCTCTTCTAATAGTAGATGTATATCGAGGGTTGCATAATTCTTGTTGTTTCCATCGCTCTCTTCCGGTAGTAACTAGCTATGTATGATCGAATATTAGGATGTCCAGGGGGACAAAAAAAGAAAGAAATAGCGATCTCAGTTGATCAGTCGTTGGGTGAAAAGTCATGGCCAAGGAGAGGAGACAAGTGAAAATAGGGGAGTATCACTGTATATCTAGTCAATGGTACGGAGTACCGAGTGATCTCTCCCCCACAGTCACATTTTGCATGAGCAAACGCTTTGTAAGTGGCCAGCCAATTGCTGAGATGCATCGGAAAGACGACACTAGAATGGCAGGGATTAGCCCAATTCTGGAGTTTCGACCGGGCTGAGCAGGGGGGCCTGGCTGACAAGTGGATATCTTCCCCGGTGGGATCTGTGTTGCCCACATGAAAGGACCTTGTTCATCCGCGCTCTGGCTTGCCGGGCTTTTCCTTGTTTGTTCTCCTGTGCCCCTGCCAGTGCTTTTAATAACATGATAGCTAACGTCCTAATTGGTGGCGCCTTGCATGCATGACGGGGGGAGAAATGTCAAGTTCCATTCCTCCATCCCGTCAAAGGAAGAGAAAGAAGAGGGGGTTTGTTCGAGAACAGAACACACGGGAACAATTCTAGAAAAAGAACTGCTTGTGTGGTTGCCCCATGAAACAGCGGGCGAAGCGAGCTAGTCAAGGAGCAAGACGAAAAAAGCGTGTGATCAGACACGATGGTGTTCTCGTACCACTCGTTCCTCCGCCCCAGCTATAGCGCCATGCCCATTATACGGATCGATGGAAATATCTGGATCCTGCGTCATCGGAGAAGGCGGCAACTGTCGCAAGAAAGTAGTGGGGAATCCTGGACGGCTTAACTAAAGCTGTGGTCGCGGGCCCTTGAAGGCGCTCAGAGAGGCGAAAACGGCTGGCGAGTGGTCTTTTCACCCCCTAGATAACCGAGCTTCTCGTCCCGTTGTATTGTATCTGCCAATAACAAATACGAGGTTGCGTACCCAGATGGATGTCGACATGGTCTTTCGCCTATCGCAGACAGGCTGTCCCCTGGCTAATCTCTACCTTCGTTTGGGCTTCTTCTGCTTCTTTTTCTTTTCCTGTTCCACCCCCCGTTTGCATGGCCGTTTTGATCTCCACATCGCCCATCGTTGGAAAATTTGCTAGCGGAGACGGTGTCGTACGACCTTACACTCAAAGAAGCAATAAACCAACAAACCGTGGCTGACATGTATTGAATATCAAGCCAGAGTCAGGAGTCGATCACATCGTGTCGATACATTCCAGCCAGCCAGCCTAAGAGGAACAGATCCTTCATCGCTCAAGGATAGCCGGCAATAGTCAGAGAGACCGGAAAAATAAGAGACGTTCAAGATAATCCGCTATTGGGTAACTAATTAGTTATATATATACCAAAAGAAAAACATCCAGTCACCAACAGTTAGTTCGGCCCTGTAACTAAACGCTAACCAAATCATGCAATTCCTGCCCAACCCAAGGGATATCGAGGGCAACGCCAAAACATCCTTTCCAATCCAATCCAACAAAAACATACGGTAATTCTGTGCATAAACTAGCAGCCAATAAAAATAACGCCAATCAATGGTGCAGCTGGAGGTGCGGTTGTTGCTCCTTTCTCTGCCTCCGTATCTGCTCTCCAACGATGATACTGAATAACCTCCATAGGATATCTTCTTCACTCCATTCCATCTTTCCATCGCCTCCATGTCGGAGATCATCTGCAATTAAATTCTGGCGAAATCGTTCAACAATCATCAGCTGGATCTCTGTGACCTGACGACGGTGCTGGCCGTCTGCAGACCACATCCACTGGCCAACCATCTCATCCCGGTCATTTGTGGGATAGTACTTGAACTTCTCTGGTCGCATCTTCGCTTCTCGATAGATTTCGCGAAGTTCCACATAGTGATCGTCAGTAAAGTACCCTGAAATCGCGAGTGGTTTGACAAATGTGTGTCTTTCTGGATTTTTGCCTTTCGCACGACCCTGACTCTGGCTCCTGGCCGGAGGCTGTGTAGCAGGGGCAGCAATCTCAGAATTAGAAATCGAGCCAACGTCTTGCTGGGGTTTTCCGGTAGGCCTGTGTTTCGAAGATTTTGTGGGAGCAGGGGTGCTGGTTAGCCATGCTGGTGCAAGGTTGCTGGTCAATTTGTTAAACCATGTCACCGTGGATGTCTGCTCCGGGGGGTCTGGGATTGAAGGGCTAGTGATGTCACTTTCAGCAATTTCATTTTCCGACCCCTCTTCTTCGCGCACTTCCACGTAGACATCGCTTTCAGAAAGAGCTTCTTCCTGAACGACATTCGCGCCCTGTAATACATCGTCCCGGTCGCGCGGCAGCACTGGAGCGTTGCTGGCTTGTCCTTCAGACTGGGTATATAAGGGTTGGCTAATATTTTCTCTATCCTCTTCTGGATTGAATTTCTCTTGGTCCGTTTTGGTGTGCTTGTTTCGTGATCCTGCTGCCTCTTCAGGTCCACGGCTATTATGTCGAGGTACAGTCTCTAAAGTTTCCCGCGGATGGTGATGCTGTGGATTTCCCATACTTGACCGCTTGAAATTCCCCTCATAGAATCGAATCGTGGCGCTGTCTGGAGTCCCGAGTAATGGCGACAGGGATGCATCCGTATCCCTGTACTGATCCATCTTCGACTTACCAACAGCCAATTTGGGAAAAGCGTCTCCGCCGCCGGAGAGGTCTGGAAGAGGGACACTTTCATAATCGTCCGTTGCGCTATAAACCTCTTCTTCCGTCCCAGCCCGAGGACTTGGGAAGCCAAGCCTGCGCGGTTGAGGTAGTTCTTTGCGCGCAGTATCAGATAACGATGGGGAATTGGCTTGGGCTTTGGGCTCACGAGCCGCTTGCTGCCAAATGTCAGTCTCATCCCCGTAATCAGCCTCCGCTTCCTCTTCCCCTATACCTTGACTGTCAGCCAGGACTTGTTCATCTCGCTGCTCAGGATTGCTCTGCGTGCGACTGTTCACCGCCCCCGTGTCAGCCACACGCTGCCTCTCTCCTTCATCACTATCAATAACAATGACTTGGCTCTCATTGGCCATTTCGATCTGTCGGCTAATAGCTTCCCTTTCGCGGCGCCATTCAGCTTCACGCCTGGCCATCAATGAGTCCATTGAACTATCCTCTGGGTTTTCTTCTGCTAGGTAAGTCTCCTGGCGTGGGCCTTCTGTAATCTCTTTTTCCTGATTTTCAGGGGCAGACGTTGGCGCTGGCTCGAATCCTTGAGATGCGCCACCTAACTCCGGGTAAACCACGTTTTGGCTTGGCCGCATAGATATTATCTCCTGCAGCCTAGTGCTCTCCCGTGTTACGGGTAGCTCTCGCTGCTTTCTGTTCGGTTGACGGAGTCTTTTCGCAAGCTGCTCTCCAAACCGTAACCCTGCACGTAGCTCTCTCCTAGTCTCCATGTTGAAATCTTGGAATAGATTGTCTAGCCTCCGCCGTGTGGCCGCCATATCGTCGGCAGTGTCTGTGTTCGGGCTTGAGAATGGAGTTTGGAGGTTACCACTTTGTCGCCTGCGATCTAGAAGGCCATGGAGAGCAATTCCAGCCCGTATTACGCGACATAATCGAGCCAAGGGACGCCTTTTAGGGGGTATAATTTCAGGTGCAGGAGCAGGGGCAGGGGGAGGTTGAGCTATTGAACGGGGATGGTTGAGCCGTGGGGTGCGATGAAGTCTAGAGGTCATATCTCTTGGTGATGATTGTTGGAGGGAGGAGATAGCTTCGTATAATTGGCTATGCGGACGTTTAGAAGATGACTGGGTAGCGGGAATGTTAGGCGATAACTCAGCCGTCGAGGTAGGTTTCGGGGAAATTTGCTGCATTGTCCGGGGTGTTGCATGGGATTTTGGTGTCCTCGTTCGGCTGGCCTGGTTTTCAACTATTTGGCGTAGTCGCTGTCTGGCTGAGGGTAAGGTATTGAGCGAGACCATGCTGAATCCCTCGCTTTCCATAATTGAGTCAAACTCACGATGTTCATCTGTTGGATCTGTTCTGGCAGCATGGGTTGTAGGTTTTTCTAGCGTTTCGTCTATCAAAGAAGATGAGGTTGGTGTTGGATATATTCGTTTGAGCCGAGGTGTACGACCAGCGTTTGTGACGTTGACAGAAGATGGAGCCGTCTGAGTAGCAGAGATCTTGGGATTTTCCAGCGACATCAGATCTTTCCTTTTGTCTAACGATGTGATTCCAGTTTCATTTGCTGAAAGCTGCGGTGGCCTAGGGTCCAGCATTTCAACATGATCTCCCATAAAACTGTCACCGTCACCATCGTCACCGTCATCCATATCTCCATCGGCTGCTAGGTCCAAGAAAACATCTCCAAAATCCTGAGTCGGCTCGTCTAAATCTTGTTGAAAGGCATTATCCTCCACGCTTGGCATAACATCTTCTACCATCTCTGCGCTCTCTTGGGCCTCAGTAGCTTGTCCATTCTCAACTGCAACTGAGGCGGCTTCTATAGATGTATCGCCCTTTTTACGCCCTGGAGTAGGAGGTCTTTCTGCAATCTCAGTCCTGCTCTTTCGTCGCCGGCGCCTCTTCGGTGTTGGTTCGGTCGATGAAGTTCCCTTTAAAGGGACTTTCACTGTTTTACCATCGACCCAGGGCCCGAGTCGCTTTTGCTTCGTAGTACGAGCCCCGTCTTCTTCGTCTTCTTGTTCAGCTTCAACTGTGACCCGTATACGCCATGGACTGATATTTCCGTCTGACTGCAAGATAGCCTTGGTAGGGGACAGCGACCTCCGGTCAAAACGCGTGGCTTTCGAATTTCCCGATGGTGTGGAGGGCAGTATAATATCTTCTAATCGTATTGTTTGACTGTTTTTCTTCGCGCTCTTCTTTGGAGACTGGTAGCTCTTCCGGTGTAGCGGTGGCCGCCCCCGTCGTGGGGTTACGCCCTTTTGCGGTGACATGATTCGTTGAGGGAACGGCTTTTTGGCGGACGAGAGGAGGTATTCCGGGTCGCCTGGGTATCCCAAAGGATCTGGAGAGGAGGTACTGCTTCGAGAGGCCATAGTCGACACTCCTAGGTCTGTTCGTCTATCCCGGCGCCGTCATGCGCCTTGTCGCAAGGTGGTGTATCGCAGCGCTTTGGTAAACAAAAAGTCATGCTTTGGCCTCGAAAGAACCCAAATGGTAGCCGAGGCACCTATAGCTTTTTTGCACTGTCTGTCTTTTTTTAGAAGAGCAAAACCACTGTCTTAACAAAGCAGCCTACCTGTATACCAACTCGTCTGTCTGCTTCTTCTTCTTCTTCTTCTTCCTCGACCTTAAACTCCAAATGTTGATTGTTGATTGACGTTATTAGTCATCATTCCACTAGCTGAAAAAGGAAATCTGTTTATTCGGCTCGGAAGAATATTTATACGGGATAATGGGTTCAAGCGCAAATGATCTAGCCTAATACAGCTGATTTTACGTCGATCTTTTGCTTGTTTGCATTATGTCATCATGTTCTTTTTGTGTTTATCTCGTTGATATCAACGACGACGTCAGAAAATAGCTAACAGAAGAAGGCGAAATGCTGGTAAGATGCTTCCGGTGAAAGTATAATAGACACAAATTTTTGCCTGTGTACCACTGAAACTACTACTAGGCTCTTTGAATTGGAGATGGCTTGATGCCACATGGTCGTGATGTGCTGATGGATGTCACATTGACAGGAAGGATCTCCGCATAGAGTTGCGTCATAAGGATACATTCAATAGATGGAATGGATAGCTTCGCCAGACCATGGAACAGTTTTCACGATATTAAGAAGTGCCGTATCAAAGAGTGCTTGGAGAGGAAAACTAGGGGATCTCGAGCTAGAACTGTGCTCAACTCTCACCTCCGGCCAAACAAACATCGCCATGAGGCATCCCCATCCATGCTACATTATGCGGGGGAGGCTACATTCCACTAAATAATAAGTTGCAATTTGCCTTTTCAACGTTTCATCCGCGCAGTTGGTAGCAGCGGTTCATGATTAATGCTTGCAACGGCAGACGCAACAGCCTCTCCCCTCCCGTCGTCATTGCTTTTGCCATCGATTTTACCGAAAATAGTTGGAAACAAAAGGTATATAAATCTCCCCGCGAGCTTGAATAACGCCTGGCCTTCTCCTCTTTTGTCCTATTTCACCTCAGTCTACCCTGCTTCTATACATATATTAATAGTTGACACCCACATTCACCTCCCACTATGTACATCCTTCAGCAACTCACATTTCTGCTGGTAGCTTTGCTCAGTATAACACCAGGCTGCTCGGCATGGAGCTTTTCTCGCCAGCTAAATGGTACCACCTCCTTTAACGGGACAGCTTTGAACGGCTCATCTAGCTGCCCCTTAGCTAATGGAGCAACATCTAACCCACTTCAAGTATATACCATTTCTGCAAACAACATAACTGCATCATTCATCCCATACGGTGCCCGTCTAATTTCTCTCATGGTCCCCGATCGCGAGGGTAAGATGCAAGACGTTATTGTGGGCTACGATGACCCCCATGACTATGTCAAGGACACACTCACAAATCATACGTATTTTGGGTGCATTGTCGGACGATACGCCAATAGAATTAGAAATGGCACATTTGTTTTGGATGGGACTACATATAACACGCCAAAAAATGAGCTAAATAAAACCCAGACATTACACGGTGGGAATGTTGGTTATGACCAACGTAACTGGACTGTTACGGCTCTGTCGAATCGCTCTATAACCTTCAGCTTATTCGATTCCGGCTATGAGCACTTCCCGGGGGATGTCCTTAATCATGTTACGTTCAGCGTCAATTCCTCCTATGGCTCGAAAAGCCCTAGTCCACAGGCCGAGTTCACTGCTCGAACTGTTTCTCTCTCTTTGACAGAAAAGACCCCCATCATGCTGTCGCCCCATATATACTGGAACCTCAACGCTTTCAAGAACAAGACCGTATTAGAAGACACACGGCTTCAGCTACCACTATCTACTCGATACGTGGAAGTAGACTCGCGACTTATCCCAACAGGGGGGATAGGCAATGTCACTTCCTCTCCAAACGGTACTCTAGACTTCACTAAAGAGAAGTTGATCGGGAAAGATATCATGTCTGCAAATGGAATCTGTGGAGCAAATTGTACTGGATACGACAACTGCTTCATCATCGACAGACCCAGCAACGCATCTGACTGGACTTCTTCCCCTGAAACAATGGCCCCTGCTGTAAACATGTCCTCTACCACTACCGGTATAAATATGCTTGTCACAACAAATCAGCAGGCTATTCAAATATATTCCTGCAATGGGCAGAACGGTACGATTCCTGTCAAAGGCTCACAAGTGGCAAGGAATAAGGCGAGTGGTGATGGAAAGGGTACTATTGTGGATAAGATAGAAAAGTATGGCTGCCTCGTTATTGAAACTGAGGGTTGGATCGATGGCATCAATAACCCGAAATGGGACCAGGATCTATTCCAGATATTCTCCCCAGAGTCAGGGCCTGCAATAAACTGGGCAACGTATGTGTTCAGCACTTCTTGATTTTTGCCTTGAAGGCGTAGGTTTGATTCCTAGTGGAGAGAATATAAGGGGCTAAGAGAGGAATTATGGATGTAAGCGCAACCAGAATATTATTCTTTTTTTTTTTTTTTTTTAGCTTTTCTTTTCAATTCTTGTACACAACATAGAGTATAGTTTTGCCAGTTAGCCTTTAATTTGATAGTTCATGAACTGAGCAAGGCTTGCTTCAACAATTTAGACTAATGAAAGGTACCAAGGCTTAAGAACGAAAGGGTAAACCAGTCTCACATTATCCCTGGAGCAATACGCGTGAATTATTCCTTGTTATCCTGTATAAAAATACCAATGTTTAGACATAAAGAGTCAATGCAATATACTAATAGCAGGTGACTATCAATTTAATAAGAGAACATGTCGTTCCATTCACGCGACGAAGGGAGGTTTCGGCAACTATAGATAGAAGAGTTAGTTGGGCGCACATAAGTAATAACTAGTATCACAGTATTATAGAAGCCAACGCGTTTAGAAAGAGAAGGGAGGTATTTTAGAAGAAGAGAAACATAACTTACATCTCAAGGACATCATTCCCACCCATCTCTAGCTTTAAAGCAGAGATGCGGTCAATCTCCTGCAGGTGAAAGGCAACGAATTTTGCTAGGAGGTTTCTCGCGTTTCTAACCCCCTGAAGACGCCAATTCATGTACATAGCAGCATACTGAACCTCTGGGCGCGTGGACATATTGGCTAGTGTATAGCCCAGCTGATCAAGAGTGGTGTTGTGCTCTTTGATCTCACTCTTGATACGATCCAGTTGGCTAAGGTGATAGTTCAAAAGGCCATCAAGGGCAACGAAATCCTTGGGAAGCTCGTCTCGAGGAGAAGGCGGAGGGTTTGACGGAGTTGGCGAATGGGATCCTTCGCGGCCGCAAGGTGGAGTAGTAACGTAGGACTTTGAGCCATCGTCGGTGCTGAAGTGGACTGAGACGGGCGCTTCTTCATCAGTGGTTGGGATTCTAAGAAGCGAGCTCGTTGAGATCTTTCGGCGCAGCTCCTCTGGCTGGCGGCGCTGTGGGGTCTCCATGGCTTCAGCGACCTAAAGCTTGCTTCTTGCTGCTTGCCTGTTGCCTGCGTGGGATAGATAGGATGAAGGAGATGGTTGATGTTGGTGATGGTTGAGAGAAGTGGAAAGAAGAAGAGGAAGTCACTCGTGGAGCTTGGTTTTTTAATATAAAAGAACCACAAGAGGCGTCGAAGAAGGAAGTTTCCAGCAACTTCAACACAAGGAACACACAATGAGTATCGAAGTGAGCAGGACATCTGGACCAAAGTGACAGGAGGACGAAGTGACTGCGACGGTGTCCTACCACTTTGTTCTGGACAGGGCTCACTCCGGCGTGTGTCTGGATATCTGGATATGGTGACAGTAGGTTTATATTGCCCCAAGGAAGACTATCTAAATGCTGCTCTATGTTGCCTTTCCAGTGCCCGGGGCAGAGGCTCTATAGTTAGTGATAAAGGGCTGACTCTCACCTTTGCATGTACATGTAGTAGCCCCCCCTGAGAAGTATCAATGTATCAGCTTTTCCACCCGCGGAGTAGACACCTGTACTCATCCAATCAGGACCACAGAATACCAAAAGCAGGGATAACACGGAGTGAGGGAGAGAAAGTAGAATATATTCTAAGGGTATCTTATAACAAGCAAATCAAGCTGCAAAGATATGACAACCCAAGTAAAGGCAAACAGATAGTATCATCTCCATTCGCCAAGGGTCCAGCTGGACCTGTCTCCGCCTGCTCGAGCAGCTCCTGGTCCATGACCGGATCTCCGATCAGGTGGGTTCAGTTCATAATCACGGTTGGCGCCAGCCAGGCCATGTTGCAGATATTTCTCACGTTCAACTTCTACCATACCCCTGACTTTGAGGCTGGCCAGAAGACTAGCTCCAGTCCACGGACCCATCGATTCTACTTGGCGAAGTACTCCGTGAACATGTCTATCATCTTTCCGTTTTAGATCCATTTTCTCATCGATAAAATTTGATTCTAGCTCGGGGGGCTCCCGGAACGTAGGGTTGGGTTCGTCCGTGGTTGATGGCGTGAAGTTTGCGTTTTGGCTCTGTTCGTATAAACGGCTCTTCCTCTTGTTTAAGAATTTTCCCCGAGATACAGACCATTGGTTCTTTTCAATCAGGGCATTTACATCATCTAATATGCGTTGTCGTACTCCTGGAATGTTCGCACCGCCGCCTGTAAACACTATCCGTGACATACAGGTGCCTCGAAGGTCTGGTGGTAGTGACAGAAGGAAGTAATATATTAGAATATCCAAGGGCATGTCTTCGTCATCCCAATCTCGGGTTTCATATAGCCCACCGAATAAAGTAGTTTCCGTGGGCTGTGAGAACTGTGAAAAGGGTATTTCCGTGTATTTCGAATCAGATCCAACCGGCAAGGGAATGGACACTTTTGAGTCCAATGAGCGAGAATAAGTATCCCTATTGCCGCCGTCTGAGACTGTAGATGGAGCGGAGTGCGCACTCATAAACTCTGAGTCTTCATTATTCTGAGAACTTTTCTCGCACCAGGCCAGTCGTACCAAAATTTCCTCACAAAGCTCAAATGGAATACATATTGAGCCTTCTTTCCCCCTAGAACTAGATCCCTCGATATCATAAACAACACTGCTGAGCATCTTCCCCATTTCATACATCATCATCTTCATGGCGCGAGTACTTCGTTTTGACCGGATTTCTCGATATTCGTAAACAGCAGTAACAACAGTTTCCTCCCATCCAATGTCTACAACAAGGGATGACCGTAAACCAGCTGATACAGTCGCCATCGCTGCAGTTGGCAATAACGTAATACTAGGATATTTCCAGCGGTGGAATATAGTTGACAAAAGTGATGCCAGCAATGGATGAGGGACAATTGAGGGTATAACAAGCACTAGCCTTGAGGAACCAGCGTCCGTGAGCAGATATTTGTTATACACTTCTCGAATAGCACGCTCGATCCTATCCTCAAATAGTTGGATATCAAAGCCCCGGAGATCTGAGGTCCAAAGCTCATAATTCTTTGACCATGTCTCAACATCATAAGTAAGTCGTTTCCTCACAGTTCTGTTGTTGTTCCTAATCCAACCTCGATAATCACCAACCCTTCTACCTTCTTCTGTTCCGAACCCAGTCACACAGGTAGGCATGCTATTTCCTTCAAACCCGGCACGAAGCCACCTCGAGCCAATTTCTAGTACTGCTGCATCTTCCTCCTGACGAAACGAAGAGCCCGGGGACGAGGTTCCTGTATAGGGAGATAGTATCGGGCGTTGTTGTTGCGGCGTATGGGGAGATCCAGGGATAGAGACAATAGAGCCGCGAGCTTGACGAAGGCTTCCTCTTATACTGGCGCCCGATAGGGATGGTCTCCTCTCAGAATCGGTTGCTGCTGACGGAACCGCTGCCATCCTCGAGCTGTACCAATTGAAGGAGAGTTTCTCGCTGGTTAACAAGTCAAAGGAACAACGAATTACCTGAAATAAGGTGATTTCTCGCGTCTCGTCATCCTATAGCCAACTATCTAGCTAGTAGGTTAGACGATACCCTCTTCGGCCTGGGTATTCCGCGTTGCTTCTGCTCGAGAGTTGTATTATGAGAAGTTGAGGCTCCTCGAGCAGGAAGTCTATTTTTTGACCCGGTGCCAAGATGTCCAGTGTTTACTTTTCGAACCGAACAACAGCCTCTACAGAGGAGTGCAAAGTAAACAAAACTCCAGCACCATGAGCCGCAGGACACCTTTTCAATTTTGGTTATGCTGATGTCATGAAAATATCACAGCTACACTCGGGAAATTACCTATCGAGATCTGTTTTCTTCGATAATTGCTGGAACATTTGCGCATCTTTGTCGACTCATGAATGGGGATTCCTGGGTAAAGAACAATAGCTATTATTTCCCGAAGAACGAAAATTCGCTGATGCGTATTTAATAGCCTGAAAGATGAGCTCGGCCCGGGGGAGCGTGTCTCCTTGGCCAGATTCTCGATTGGCCATCTCCAGCGCACGAGAAAGCCATTACGCATAGCGGTCGATATCTCCATATGGCTTTTCCAGGTCCAGGCAGCACAAGGCGGCGCAAATCCAGCTCTTCGAACCCTCTTCTTCCGTTTAACAAGGCTGATCTCCTTACCAATCCAACCAATTTTTGTTTTCGATGGGCCCCATAGACCGGATTACAAAAGAGGTCGGCTGGTCAGCAAGAATGCTGCTGCCGCGCAAATAGACCTTTCAAGGAAGCTAATTGAATTATTTTCATACCCCTGCCATGTTGCTCCAGGAGAAGCCGAGGCGGAATGTGCTAAACTACAGCGTACAGGCGTTGTTGATGCCGTGATGAGCAACGACGTTGACGCCCTTATGTTCGGTTCCAAAGTTACACTTCTCAATTATTCCAAGGGTTCGGCTAAGCAGTCAGGGGCGGCAACTCATGTTGATTTGTACAATACTGAGGCGGAGGATGGGGACAGCAAGGTCGCACTAGACACTAGGGGCATGGTTTTGGTTGCATTACTGAGCGGCGGAGATTATTCGCCTGCTGGCGTAGCCCTCTGCGGTCCAAAGCTAGCAGTTGAGATTGCCAGAGCTGGCTTTGGCGAAGATTTACTTGCAATAACTCGAGATATGCTATCCGGAAGATCAACAAAACAAGCTGAAGAGGCATTGTGCGAGTGGAGAGAGCGGCTTCAGTATGAACTCGAGACTAACGAGAGCGGCTATTTTAAGACAAGGCACAAAGCTGTTAGGATACCTGATGACTTCCCTAACATGGCCGTTCTACGAAGTTGTGTCAATCCGCTCACCTCGTCTCCAGAAAAACTAGATGCATTTCGCCGGTCTGAAATTTGGGGCAGAAGAATCGACATTGACCGGCTTCGAGGATTCGTTGGCAGACATCTAGGGTGGAAGAATCTAATAGGGGCCAAGAACTTTATAAGAAAACTTGCGCCGTCCTTGTTAAGCTATAATCTATTTTATGGCACATTTGCAACGACACCCATGGATGAACTAGCACTTAAAGTATTGGCTCACAAATCAGCAGACTCCTTCGATGCATTGCCTGTGTTGAAACTTGAGTATGTGCCACTCAAAATCGTCAATCTAGACTTGGACCAGGAATTCATCCCCGCAAGCCCACAAGAAGAGGAAGTTATCAACATCGATTCGTCCGATAACGATGATACGGTGAAGGAGGGTACTGTTACGACCAGAAAAAGCACTCTGGCAGAGTATGACCCATCCGCCGCTCAAAAATTATGGGTGTTTGAAGCCTTAGTACGCCGCGGTATTCCAGATACCGTGGATGACTGGTTTGCGGAATGCAAGAAGAAGAAAGCTCCCAAAAAGCGACCGGTGAAGAAGCCTGAGGCACGGAAGAAAAAGCCCAAAGTGGTTGACCCGGGAATGAAAGTTGGTTCAATTCTCCGGTACGGAACTATAACGAAAGGCCCCGTTAGAAAAACGAATGCTACCCGTTCGCCGGCCAAGGAGTCACCTCCTTCTAGCAGTACCGGCCTTTTATATAGCGATACTGCGGCGACACAAACGCCTCCCGTTTCGTCTGCGAAAAGTACAGGTTCCACTCCCGAATATGCCGATCTTACATTTAGTGATCCGTTTGATGGCCTACATAACGAAAAAGGTAGGAAATAATATCCATACGTCTTCGGCTCTTGCGCGTCTCGCCAGGTTCTAATTTACAAGATTGCATTACTAGATCAGTCCAGGAGATAGAACGGGCACTTAGCCACGTACATATTTCGGAAAAGCTATCGTCATCACACACTCAACTGGAGAAGACTGTTACTGCTTCTCAAAAGCCAAAAATCCCAAAATGCGCGGAACGAATTCCAGCCCCTTCCAAGCGGTCCAATAAGCTGAAGTTGTCTAGGGGGAAGAAAGGCATCCCGAAAAGCCCACCACCAACTCCTCAATCTTCTGCTTCTCAGGAGTTCCCATCTTTGAATCAATTGTCAATTGAATTGGACGATATTCACTATATAGAACCCCCAATTGATACCAAGGCACCACAGCGAAAACCGGATCGCCATGTATTATATACAGACAATTCTCCACCTGCATTGGAAAATACCATGGATGCTTTCCAGTCCAAGGAGATACCTAGCGAATGCCATCCGCCTGCTTTACATGTTAAAATTGAGAATGGATTCTGGTACCAGGTTCAAGGTGAAGTCAAAGATTGTCCCTGTTCGCTGACGTCGGATGAAAGCCCGATTCTGGATTGCGTATCAAGTAAGCCAATATGCCTAGGGTGCGTCAGTGTAGTTGACCTCACCTAATTGGAATCACTGTGTTGCTATTTTGAATATTCCAACCAGGTGGAATCCCGATTACCTACGGGCAACGAACTTGAATGATTATATAACGATTGAATATGCAGGTTTCAACGGGGCATAGCATGACGAAAATAGCTCTTCTGGTGTAGGTTAGGCGAGGTTATTGTATTCATAACACAATGTATTTATTTGATCTTGTAAAATTGATAATTGACCTTAAATGTTCGGAGTGCAAGGCAGTCTATAATTCGAATGATTTCTATTATCCTCTTCGTGAACCAACAAAAGAAAACCTAGCCCCAGATATTCAACGTGGAAGTCAAGCCTTGGAAAGTAAAACATTAATCATTACAAAAAAAGGGGCAAGTAGAGGCAAATGGGGTATTGCATAGTTTAAAAGGCGTGAGTAGGCTAAATGTAGGGTAAATAAGCATTGAACATTGCTTGTAGATGTAGGTGATCGTCAAGAAAAAGGGGGAGAAAGAGAAATGTGAAACGGGACTCGTGGAATGTAGGTGGATAGTTACCTCTAGACACGGATAATTGGGCAAGTATAGTACAGGAAGAAAAGAGGCATAGAAGAGCGTGTTTGAAACATGACCAGTGTGCGGAAGCATCAACATCGAAAGGGTTGGGGTGAAAGTCTTCAAAATAAGGGCGTGATGAAGTATAATGGGATAAATGGTGAGAGATAGGGGGGAAAGGAGTAGAGGAGAGGTAGGTAAAATGCCATATATCACAAAACATGGAAAGTGGAAAAAAATTTAGGCACCAAAGACTTTGAAGAAACCCCATAGCCCAATTCCGCTCAGAAGTGGGATAGTCAGGTTATCGTCGAAGCCAAAAAGGTCGATCAACTCACTCCCGGCGCCAACAACCCCGGTCCACAAGCTAACAATTCCAAGGGCAAGTGGGCCAGAGACGATGGAGCTCTCGGAGGTAGGACTTGGGAGGCCAACCCACTCCAACAGCTTAGTTGCAGCGGAGGGCAGAAGCCGGATAGAGCCAGAAAACATGTTGGCATCTTCCGGATCGTTAGGGAATGATCCTACTGCGGGAACGACGTATCCCCAGAAGGCGACCGCGGTCATCACACCAACAACCCATGCAGCAAGCGTGCCAGCCAAGCTCTTTCCACGTCGAAGACGTGGTGTATAGCGACCGTAGAGACGACCGAACGTGGAGGCAGCTGTGTCACACCAGCTAAGAAGCAGGACAGACACCATGGCAACATCCTTGGGGAGGAAGTGAAGGACGATAACGACGCCCAAGATGTACCAGATCACTCCGTTGAAGCCCGACACTTCAGTCTCGCGCATTAAGGCCCCAAGACAGCGAATATAGAACTTATTGACAGCCGGGAATCGGTGGCGTAGGAAATCTGTTGCCGAAATAGGAATAAAGGCAGAGAAAAGCCAGGGTGTTAACTGGTTTGCTTGCACGCCCCGGCGGAAGAAGTCGAGGGCAACAAAGCCGATAGAAACGTGTAGCAGTTTCCGTGGAATTTCATGGCGATGGATAAAGGTTCTGTAATGAGAATGGAGAGGAATCAAGCCGAGGGGCGAAGGAGACCGCGAAATGACACGCCAGCTGTCCTGGGCGCTTGAGTATGGTGATAGATGGCCATTTGCCGACGTGTGTCCGTTGGCTACAGGCGCAGCCTTTTCGCCAACAACTCCAGCGTTGGATTTGCGCCTGCGCTGCACAGAAGACGAGAGCACCATCGGGCTTCGAGATCGGGCTCGGGACCGTTTGTTCAAGCTAGAGTCTGAGCTGGATGCATCGTCGTGGACGGCCTCTTCTTCCGGGATGGCCGGAGGAGACGCGAGCGGCCCTTTATCTGAGATGTGCTCTCTCGACTCTGAGAGATCTGAAGGAGTCGGTGACGGCGAGATCACACGCGGTGTCGGGGGAACCTTATATTGATTTGACATGGCAACGAGCGGCCTTTGCCCTGCTATCCGATCCCTGAAGCTGGTGATGGGCGAACTACCAAGCTCTCTCCGCCGGTCGTAGGTTATCGTTATCTGGCCGGAGCCTGCGTGATAAGACGCTCGACAGCGCACTCGAGATGCCGCAAAGGTGGCCCACTCCGCGATAGCAGACGAGCCCTGAGCTCGCTCTTAGTCGTACGGGGCGAGGCTAGATGCTTCTTGCCGGTCGAGACAAGGTGACCGACTTTTCGTTCGCGTGAAGTTGTGCTTGCGCCAGCTGTCCGTCTCCGGAAAAATTCGAGCCTAACCAACTAGTCCACGAACCTTGGAAAGGAGGCGGCGGAGGAGGAGTCGCTGCGGTTGTCACCCAAAACGACTGCCTGGTAGCAAGCTGCAGAGGAAGATGAAGTCCTGTTTCACTTCCAGCCCTTCTTCTTCTTCGTCTTCGTCTTCTTCGTCTTCATCTTTTCCTTCTCCTTCTTTTTATTTTATTTTATTTTCTTTTTTTTTTACTAAAAATCAAAAAAAGCTGAAAGATAGACACGTGATAAGTAAGCACGTGAAAGCTTATGTAACATATCTCTGAACGTTAAATATGTTTGCACTGTTTGCTTTTGAATATTCGAACTTTTTTTCTTTTTTGATATCAAAAAGCGAAAGCGCGAAAAAGCGAGTGACAGAAAAGCTGGTGAGAGCGATGGAAAGAATTGAAAGGAGCTGGGGGGATTTTATACCAAGAGCAAGTGTTGCTGAGTGAAAAAATTGATATAATTTTACTATCCGCGGCTTGGTTTCCTCCCCGCGGCTATCGCCAATGGCCAACAGTAGCAGCGTTCCAAAGAACCCCCGCGCATGGGAAGCTCTTACACCCTCACTCTCACAATGGATTCTCGATGCTGTTTCGGCCATGGGCTTCAGTCGCATGACGCCCGTACAGGCATCTGCCATACCTTTGTTCATGGGAAATAAGGATGTGGTCGTGGAAGCTGTCACAGGAAGTGGGAAGACCATGTCCTTTTTGATACCCGTTGTTGAGAAGCTACTACGGCTGGACTCTCCTGTGAAAAAGCACCATGTTGGAGCCATAATAGTATCGCCGACTCGGTATGGTTGAGCCATTCAATATTTCGTTGAAACCGACCTTTATACTAACTGCAGTAGTGAGCTGGCGGAACAGATTTATACCGTACTTCTCTCCCTCCTCGCTTTCCATGCACCTTCAGCCTCAAAGCTCGCCCAGCTAGAAGGAAAAGAGCCACAGCTAGATCCTGAGACAGGAAAGCCATATAGGTCCTCTACTCTCACAGTAATCCCTCAATTACTACTAGGAGGCACTTCGACACCGGCACAAGACCTCAGTATCTTCCTCAAACGCTCGCCGAACCTCCTCATATCGACACCCGGCAGGCTGCTGGAACTTCTATCCTCGCCTCATGTACACTGTCCACAATCCTCATTTGAAGTGTTAGTTCTTGATGAGGCAGATCGCCTGTTAGATCTCGGGTTCAAAGATGACCTACAAAAGATCCTCGCCAGGCTACCGAAGCAGAGACGAACAGGCTTATTCAGTGCCAGCGTCAGTGAAGCTGTGGACCAGATAGTACGTGTTGGATTGCGGAATCCAGTTAAAATTGCCGTCAAAGTCCGTGGAGCCGGTGCAGAGGATAAAAGAACGCCAGCTAGGTATTACCTCTTTGTTTTTTTTTTTTTTTTTTTTACTCCCGATTATTCAAAACTAAAGCTCTAATATCTAAACGAATATAGTCTCCAAATGACATATCTCGCCACTCGCCCTTCTCATAGAATTCCTGCCCTATCCAAGCTTCTTTCATCCATCTCTCCAATTCCGCAGAAATCAATCATCTACTTCTCCACCTGCGCAGCCGTGGATTATTTTAGCCTAATTCTCCCTTCTCTGCTGCCATCTTCGTTCACCATTGTCCCTCTACACGGCAAACACGCTCCCAATGTTCGCCAACGGAATTTCACCCGTTTCACCCAATCAGTATCTCCAACGATTCTCTTGACCACCGACGTTGCTGCCCGAGGACTCGATATCCCCCTGGTCGACCTGGTGGTACAACTTGACCCACCCACAGATCCGAAAGTATACATTCACCGATGTGGACGAGCTGGTCGCGCCGGCCGTCGTGGATTAAGCGTTCTATTTCTTACTACCGGCAGGGAGGAAGACTATATACCCTTTCTCGATGTCCGAAAGACACCAGCTGCCCCCTTCTCCACTCCACCTATTATAACAACCGATGCCGAGGCGCAGATTGCAACGGATACTATTCGCCGTGCCGTATTGGCTGATAGGGCGGTACATGATAAGGGACAGCGTGCATTTGTCAGCTGGGTACGGAGCTACAGCAAACATCAGACTAGCAGTATATTCCGTGTAGCTGATATCAACTGGGAAGACATCGGTCGATCCTGGGGCCTGCTTAATCTGCCCAAGATGCCGGAACTGAAAGAGTTCAAGGGAGATAAAATGCTTGGACTCGGCCTGGAGGGTGTGGATTGGGATTCCTTTGCTTATAAGGATAAACAAAAAGAGAAGAGTAGGCTTGCGGCTCTGGCTGAGCTCAAGGAAAAGGGGGAAGGACCACGGCCGTCCAAGAAACGTGCTGCTGCACCGGGAGAGAATAGTACGGTGGCTTGGAGCAAACAGTTGGAAAAGAAGGGTGAAAAGGAGAGGAAGCGTGAGAACAAGCGGGTGAAGAGAGAACAGGCTAAGATTGAAGCCATGACTGAGGATGAGAAGGCGGAGCTACAGCGCACCAACGACATGCTGGAAAAGGTGCGCAAGGCGAATATAGAGGCTCGCAAGATGAATTCTGTTGCCTCAAAAAAGAAACAGTCAGAGTCTCATGATGCTGATGGAGTAGACGATGATGAGCCCTTTGAAGGCTTTGATTGATCCTTGTTATTAGGTATATATACGGGTCACCCATACTCAAAAATAGAAAGGTATCAAACACCAGGGAAGAAACAGACGACGTCAGTAACAATATATATTCCGTATTCATGTTCATGATGGGCATTTTATGCCATGGTAATAATCTATGCAACGCTCTCTCGCTCTCTCTCAAACATTCTCATGCTCTTTTTGAAAAGTCACAAAGCAGGCTCCTGTCATCCTATATACATACCCAGCCAGAAACATGAACAAACAAACAAGAACGCCCAAATGCATACAGACCCAGACTCCACGTACAAAAACTCCAACAGAAAATGAATGATGACTGAGAACCCCCCTTTTGACCTGCCTGACAACGCACCATCAACCCGAAGGGAGGCGCAGAGTAGGAGGAGCAGCCGGAGAGCCTCGAGCGCTAAATGTACAGAACCAAATCCCTTCCACCATTGGATCGTAAAGCCGTCCAACAATGGATGCAGAGCCAGTCCAGCACCCAACCCCAGACGGGGGAAAACCAGGCTGGTCCTACTAGGGAAACACGGGATCACAGAACGCCCAAAATGACAGGAGCCGCAACTAAGTGAGTGGACGTAGGACAGGGATGGTCTCTTTATCGTGACACGCCTTCTAAGACAGGATTACTCCTGCCTTAGAATCTGCCGGAAGCCCACTCTCAGCCGTTCGTGACTCGGCTGGGCCTCAAAGGTGAAGCATGTTTCAGCAGCTGGAGGCCACTGAAACGAGTGGGAAAGAGGTCCCTGTCCTACTACCCCCTGGAGAGCCGGTGACGAAGCCGGCAAGGGGCTTGACGAGTATCGCTCCGCGGTGCGCAGGCTGCTAGGAAGCCGAGGGCGGAACCTTTCCATGTCCGCCATCTGCCTCTCAACTGCCGCCGCTCCTATCGATGCGGGGCGAAACGACGGTACAGGCATTGTCGCGAGGGCGGGCCGCGTAGGAGGTGCAGCAGCGACTTGGCCGTTGGAGTGACCAAGAAGTACTCCCCGTGGAATTGGCTGAGGGAGTACCCCGACTTCTTGGACGATATCGGAGGACGACGAGGCTCCGGCCCCAGAAGGGATTGGATCCTCGTCGATATCGTCGAAGAAGTCGTCGCTGTACAACTCTTCGTACGTGAACCCGTAAGTGCTTTGCCCCCGGGGTTGGTTGTCGGACTCCCGCTCCCTCAGCGGGCTTGGCGATGTCATCTCGACGTCCTGGGGTGACGCGATAGTCGAGACTGGGAGGGAAGCGGGAGTGGCCTGTGCCGTCGTTGTTTGTGATGGAGACTCTGGGGTGTCGTCCACCACTGCCGATGTGCTGAGGTCTTTCGACCGGGACTTCGATGGTACGTTTGGCGGGCTAGGGCCAAACCGTACCTGTTTTCGCTGTCGAAGTGGGCCGCGCGCAGGGGTTCGGCTGTCTGCGCCGGTCGTGTCCTTCAGCACACCGGGTCGAACGCTGGCCGATGGTTCATCGGGCTGTTCATTGTCAGACGACTCAGCTTCGGAGCTGGAAGTCGACCCGAAGTAGCGAAGGTCCATTCCGTAGCTGCATCCTGGGGGATTTGGAATGGGTTTTCGCTTCTTCTCCTTGCGTGTTGTCGTCTTGGTTACTCTGTTAGCATTCGCCTTTGACGACGTTGGTTGATATATCTTTACCGTCTCTTGGGCTTGTCGTGCTTGTTCCTTGGCAAGGCGAGCTTCTTCTTGAGCTTCACGCGCAACTTCCTGGGCAATGCGGGCGTCTTCGCGTGCCTGTTGGGCTTCTTCTTCAGCTTTGCGAAGGGCGGCTTCTCTCGAGTAGCTTGAAAGCGGGTGATTTCTCGGAAATAGGTCATAGGAAAGGTCTTCTTCGTCAAACTCTGGCTGCGCGATAGCTAGAGATCTGACTGGGACTGAAACAGCTGGCGTTGGTAATGCCGTCGGAGTGTCCTTCCACTCCTCCGAAATGGAAGGACTGACTGCATGCGTGCTGGCAGATACGGACTTGTGCTCATGGCGGTCGATGTCATTTTCATGGGTTCGTGACGCGTAGCCAATTTGGTCTGTTTCATTGGAAAGGTTTTGGGAAAGGTTTTCGTGCTGTACTGTTGATCTAGGACACTGACTTGGTGAATCTTCATCATGTCTCCCATTCTGAGGTACTTCGGTACGGAAGGGTAGAAATCTGGAAATTGATCGAGGGACAGAGTCGAGCAAGCCGCTAAAGCTCCATCCAGTGCGTGCGGGTGTGCTTGGCTGGAGCTGGGGTGGAGACGAGTGAAAGTTGGAGACAACTGCAAGCTCTGTTGTAGAGGGAATGGCAGGAATGGAGACTGTGTCGATATCTGAGTGCTCATCGTCATTAACATTGTTGTTCTCATTCGAAGAAGCAGCTTCAGCAGCCTTTTTCTGTGCAATTAATTCTGGAATTCTGAACAAGGTTCTTTGGATCTTGCCTTGGCTCTCTAGAGCACGGCGGCGTTGGCGGTCTGCATATGGTGTTACTTGACGGAGGCGATGAATCTCTCTGGACTTGATAGTTTTGCGTTGGGGTTTTTTCGGGGCCGGACGTTTTTTTGCTTTACGTGCTGGCTGGCTATCGGCATCCTCGTTTTCTTTGTCCTCGTCTATTTCTCGTCGACGCTTGCCGGTGACTGCTGGCGGTGGTGTCAGTTGCTTAGTTCTTTCTGAGAAGTAGAAGCCACTGTGGGCCCATGTGCTATGGCTGGAAGGGCAAACCAGCATTCCGTTACAGCATGGGCACAGTGGTGTGCGTTCAATAGATATCTGGGGCGCAGTAAGGAAAGCTGGGTTCGTTGGAGGGGGAGGTGGGTAGAAGACAATTTCTTGAGGAGTAGTGCGTTCGCCGTTGCGAGTCACACCACCCTCCAAGTCAATGATAGGGGTTGGAGAGAGCTCCAAGTTGCTAGGGCTAATAAAGGAGGCGACTGGGGCAAAACGTGAAAAGGGCTGGTGCCTCGCAGGTAACCTGCGGGTAAAAGGTTTGATAGGACGTGAAGAAATATTCTGAGGCTCACTCTGAGACGGGGCTTTTTTGCCATTGATATTAATGTTGGTATTATCGTTTCTCTCGGCATTAGTGGTGGTGTCTGCCACGGATGGGACGTGCACTGCTTCGCCGCTGCGAGCTGCAGTCTGGGGAGCCGGGGTAGGTGTGGAGGGAGCTGCGTGGGTAGAAGCGCGGCCGTTTGCCGGCGATGGGGTTGGCACGAGGACCTGGATTTGTCGAGTAGAGGGAGAAGGATTCTGTGCGGGTGTGGTACGAGTCGTAGTCGTAGTCGTAGTCTGAGCAACGGCAGTAGCAGTCCTATCGACCTCTGTGGCGACGTTGCCATGGTTGTCGCCATGTCGTTTGTTATTGTTATTGTTATTATTGACATTGTCGTCGTGGTTTCCATGGGTAGTGCTGCTTTCTGCTGCGGAAGGAGCGTCTTCATGCTCATCATCAGAGTCATCGTAGCTTCCTGGAACGCGCTTCTTTGGAGCTGGCTTCTTGCTTTTCTTGGCTTTGTTTTTCGTGACGCGAGCAGTTGCCGCTTTGGGCCCTTTGGGGACAGCAGCCTTCGTGGCAGCAGCAGCTTCTGCAGTCTGCTTACGGGTTCTGGGTGGTGTCTGCCACATCTGGTAGCCAGATGGCGAGAGAGGCTGGGACCGAGTGCGAGCCATTGCTTCAGCTGTGCTGCAAAAAGACGTTAGCATACGCTCAGAGGAGCCGCCAAAGACTGTACAAGCAGTTGTTGCAAAGTAATAGAAGCTCACGGGGCCGGGAATCAAGTTGTGGTGGTAAAAGTGAGGCAGGGTGGTAGAGGACTGGACAAGCCTCGAGGCCTCGACAAACTCGACAACGCGAAAACAGGTATCAAGACAGCCTAGCAGACACGTAGTAGCGAGGAAACGCGAAGCAGAAGAGCTCGTTGCCTCCGAAATTAAAGGTGAATATGCGAGGAGCTTGGACTCGGAAGCGTTCGAGACCGCGAAGCTCGAGGAAGAAGCGAGTACAAGGTAAACCACAATCACAGCAAAACGGCAGGAAAACACAGAACAAACAGGGCATCAAGCTTATACGAGCTCGAGTTACTTACCTTTAGACACGAAGAGGTAAACGGCAATGCCTGGGTGGTAGACGCGAGGGTATCAACTTGGCTTGATGCTTCTGCGGTCGTGGTGTGGATGAGCGAGAGAGGAAGAGAAAGGAGCGGGAAAGGGAGCGCGGCGGAGGAGGAAGAAGATAAAGAGACGATGCCAGACGAGCAGGAGGACAGCTGAGGTGGCGAGCTCACCGCGAGGGCAGGAGGACACTCAGGATCTCATCGCTGTGTTGACAAAGTCGAAGGAGAGAAGGACTTTGAAAATGTTTCCTAAAGTGGTTTCCATAGATATTTTTTTTCTTGACGTTCGTGACGTTGCTTAGGTAATAGGACGCCGCCACGGCAACCGCAGGACAGGACGAAGACCAGAGGACAGAACAGAAGAGTAGAAGGACAGAATAGTAGAAGGACAGGAAGTAGAGGGGTAAACAGCAGGTGGGCGCCGTCGAGATGTCGAGGACAGGACGAGCTGAAAGAGACGGCTACAAGGAAGAAAAAAAGGTGGGCAGAGGCAAAGGTTAACTAACATTAACAACAGTAGATACATCTATGAATACGCCTAGAAATACAAAAGTGAAGCGGCCTAACAGGTAGCTAAATGTATAATAATAGTACATCATCAGCGGCTTCGTCCAATAGCAGCCATTCGCCGTCTTCATCTCAGCGTGATCTCGCCCTTCCACGCTGCGTCGCTCAGCCCAAGTGTCTGCATCAGGTTCTGCCACCTAGGACCACCTCTCTCCTTTTTCCGTAGATAGCTGAGCAGCTTCTGTCTCCGGTGCACGAACAGTCGTAGCCGGCGCTTGTTGTGCTTATCCTTGTGTGAAGTCGTCTTCAGTTGCTCGGCCAGAACCAGGATCTTGGACGTTAGGATGGCTACTTGGACTTCCGGTGAACCCGTGTCTGGCCCAGCACGCGGCCGTTTGGCAGATGGCTCTAGGCTAGTAGGATCTTGATCTGCAGCTGCGGGTTTGGCAGGGAGTACTCGATCGGTGTTATGGCGGCCGAGTATGTCGACTGACCGCTTGATGTTCAGTTTTGTTCGGTTCCTGGTGCTGCCGTTCTTCATCGCCAGGATTCGACGGACAGCTTCCTCGGCGGTTTTGTGGTCTTCCTCATGCTTCTTGATGGCGTCTTCGATGTGTTGGGGGTCAGCGGCGCTGCCGTCAATCGGTGGCACAGGTCGTGTGAGCCGCTTGGACGTTTCGAGAGCGGACGCAAGGTCTGTCTTGGATATGCAAAAGTTCACATAGCTCGATTGCTCATTATCCGGAGGAACATGCACACCCTTTGATCCCAGGGTTGGGTAGAGAGACGGGTTGAGCATAGCTTCTATCAATGGGGTCTTCTCGCTAGCAACTGGGTCGCCAAACGCTTCTGTTCGCCGCTGCGCCAATTCGCGCTGTCGAGATATGTTTGCCGCCTTCCGCTGACGTGCCTGTGCCATGGCAAAGGGGTCTCGCCGTCTCCGCACATGGCTCTTCGTTGTGACCGTCCTCGATGGCTGCGAGCCAACCCTGCCCAGGGACAAGTTATTGAACCAGCTGTATAGGCCTGTGTAGTCCGATTGATCAGTAAAATCCAGTTCGACATAGTATCACACGCATTGAGCATACCGCTTGAGCCCACGCGAGGTGCCATCTTGTGCTAATTGATTCCACTTCTACCCTTTTCTTTCCTGTCTTCTTCTGCTTCTTCTCTCTCTTCAAATTTCTGTCTTCGCAAATCTTCTGCCATCTCCTTGGCGCGCCAAGCTTATATCTCGGTGTTACTTTTCTCCGCTTCTGCCCTAACATCTTAGTCATTGCTTAGTCACGCACAAAGAAAAGCGACTGCGCCAAGAATTCCAAAATAGGCGAAATTTCGACCTTCGCGAGCTTCAACTTTTTGATCTTTTCCTTGCTCTCTTTCTCATCCCCGTCAAGACAACCGCCGTCGATTGATACTCTTCCTTACATACCTTCTTCCACAGCAGGATAGATATCAGTCGCCCATCATGGCTCCCTCCAACCTCCCACCAGTCTTCAATGCCACCTCCCAGGACATGGAGATGATGCTCACTGCTCAGTGTCATCTCGGCTCCAAGAACATGCAAACCCATATGGAGCCTTACCTGTGGAAGACTCGTCCAGACGGTGTCAACGTTATCAACATTGGCAAGACCTGGTATGTGCTGAATTCCCATGAAATAAAAAAACCCCGTTATAAATTGAAAGACGCGCAAAACTAATTTGCTTACTTCGTTTAGGGAGAAGATTGTCCTTGCTGCCCGTATCATTGCTGCCATCGACAACCCAGCTGACATCTGTGTCATTTCTGCCCGTCCATACGGTCAGCGTGCCGTCCTCAAGTTCGCTGCCCACACTGGTGCCGTCGCCATTGCTGGTCGTTTCACCCCCGGTAGCTTCACCAACTACATCACCCGCTCTTTCAAGGAGCCCCGCCTGATCGTTGTCACCGACCCTCGCACCGATGCCCAGGCCATCAAGGAGGCTAGCTACGTTAACATTCCCGTCATTGCTCTCTGCGACGCCGACTCCCCAACTGAGTTCGTCGATGTTGCCATCCCAACCAACAACAAGGGTCGCCACGCCATCGGTCTTGTCTGGTGGATGCTTGCCCGTGAAGTCCTCCGTCTCCGTGGCACTCTTGCTACCCGTGAGACCGAGTGGGACATTGTCGTCGATCTCTATTTCTACCGCGATCCTGAGGCCGAGGAGACCAAGGAGATTGAGGAGGCCAAGGCCGCTGAGGCCGAGGAGGCTGCTCCTGAGACTCTCAACCCAGCCGATACCTGGGATGCTGCAGGTGCTGCTGCTCCTGCTACCTTCGGCGCTCCCGCTGCTGCTGCTAACTGGGAGGCTTCCAACACCGACTGGGCTACCTCTGGCGCTGCTGCTGGCGAAAGCTGGGCTGCCGATACCCCAGCTGCCGAACCTACCTGGTAAACGTGGCTATTTGACTGCAAAAGACTTAAAACAAAATCCGATTGTCGACCATTTGTCTCCTCTGTTTGTCCATTTACGATCGCCGTTCATGTTGACAAAAGAAAGATTTAACGAGTTCATCAACACCTTTCTTCATACGGTTCTTGCTTTAAATGTCATGGCTTTCAATTGACGGCGCTTACGAGGGAAAGATACCCATCCGGCCTTTGGCCTCTGGGGGAAAGCCCTGTGCCGTCAACAGGGGGCGTACTTAATCGTTGTCCCAACCCCATTAGCTAGATCCAATAAAAAATACATGCCATTACCCAAGTCAATTATCTTTAATGTTATCCACCTTATAAACATACAATTAGCCCATGCCTGAGGATAAAAGCGTTGGATATCCACAGCTTTGGGTGACTGAGAAAGGAAAACACAGGCCGCAGATCACTGTATTCTATCTAGTCTGTAACATCATGATTATACAGCCTAGAACTATAGAAATCAGCCTGTTCTACTGCACCAATCTCTACCAATAACTGTGCGATCGCATACTCGTTGGTTCTGAAGGGGAGTGCTCTCTCACGTCCGACCGCTAGACTCAGCGGCCGGCACCAAGGGAGACAGCTATCGGCCAACCCCACCAAGTGGCCGACAAGCATCACCCAGTGATAGATCTCTGATATATCCATCGTACTTCGGTGTTGTCCAAATCGTATGGTCCGGTTTCCTGAATCAAGTAGTTCGCCATCCGCAGAAGTATGTATGACCATATCTCTTATGCTATATGCAAGGTTTCCTGGGCAATCATCATGAAATCCGACTGCTCCATCCCAGAGTTGACATAGTTGCTGCATGCTGATACAAGCCTGAATTGCTCCCTTCACAGTTCGTACGTGCAGATGGGATAGCAAGGCACAAGGACTAAGACATATGGACTCACATACCCGGGATGGGGGGTGGATCGCTTGCAACTGCAGTTGAAATAGCCAGATAAAGCTCAAAAGGTTCTCCATGGCTGTACGGGAAAACCCTAGGCTTTGCAGATCGTTCGCGACTGTTGCCGCGTGCTTATCCGCAGAAATGTTGCCTACGTGTACGTTCAACGAACATGAGGCATTCGTCACAATATGAAAATGTTGGTTCAGCAAGCTCAGAATACTGTCGATTAAGTCAAACGATGGGGACTCATATGTCATCACAGGGGCCACAAGTTTGACCGGGCAGACACCCCATTCATTTTTTGTCATATCAAATTCTTCCGTGGTTATAGATGGTGCTGGTTTGACCGTCCAGCAGGAGGCATCGGTATGATTTCGGACGTAAGCATTCACCAGGAACCCATTGTCTCGCATTTCTTGGATGATCTGCACGTATACTGCCCGCAGTAATTTTTCCTTCGCTGAGTGATGAAAACTCTCCGTATAGGTGGCCGCAATAAAGTTCACGATCTTGAAATTGACGATAAATTCAATTTCCACGCCAAAACTGTACAAAGAACGAACTTGTTCTGGGATTTTGATTTTGTTACGGCACCGGGCCATAATCTTTGGTATTAATAGAAAATGCCAACATCACATGTTGGTTCCATATCTGAGAGAGCGAAGCACAGGGGATATATATAGGGCATACGAATTGATAGAAAATGCGTCTTCTTCATCTTCTAGGCCTCTATGATACCCCTTTCCAAGATTCCAGTTGATTCCTGTGGCCATACATGTTTTAGTTTGGCCGTTTCTCTGACGGACTGAGGACTGTTTTATGGCCCGTGTCCTATTATCCATGGTCCTCTATGGCTAAACAGCTGGATCCTACCCTCAAAGAGGACGTGTTTGTGAGATTGATTTCTTTGTTAGGCATAATGACTTTGATGACCCGTTCCAAGAATTAGTATGATAGTCTCAAAGCAGATGTCGGAATAAACTCTGGGAGCAGCGCTAAATACGATCACGTGGATGATGCCAGGCGCTCCTTCCCGCTGCATTTAGGCGCGATGAACCTAGACGAAGGAGCAAGGCGATCAGAAATTTACCGCCTTCCACACCCCTAGCTCTTTTCCAAAATGAGAAAGGCATTTAGGTTTCTGCATGTCTGATCATTACCAGCCAAAGGCAAGCATGAGACAAAAACATACCTAGCGCGGTATTTGCTCATTTCTATGAACTGTAGGTCAACATACATGATTGCCAACAAAGGATGGAGAAACTTAGGTTTGATAGGATACTAGGAATACTTTAGCTACGAATAACGCTAGTAGAATAACGAAATTCTGCTCAACTTCTGGCCAAAGCCAAATACTAGTCCCAGATATGTACCCAGAGTCATGGATAAATGACCTCCACGTGACCGCTAGGCATTGTCCTTGGATATTCATTTTTTTCAATGAAAGGAAAATCCACATAATTCAAGATCAAAGCCTGGATCAGGAGAAGTATGAGAGTGCCATGTTGGCGCCGTTTCACGAATATTAACAGAGTTACGGCATCTATAATATACGCAAAACGGTCCTTATCGACTCCGACATTTTCCATTGAGCAAAAAATGGCCGAAGAGTCATCCCCTTCGCAGTATTCTGGCTGGTCCAACGCCAGCCTTATAAATCGAATTCACGAACTGGAACGCCAATTAAATGAATGCCCTCAAACTAGCGTCTCAGCACCTAGCACCGAATGCCAAAGCCTTGAAAAAAAGCGAGGTCAGACGGAGAGAACAACAGCTGATAATCGACCCCGCGAACGATCCACGAGTACGAATCCTCCTCGAAAGTCGGATAAGAAACGCCGTAAAATCGATCCTTCAAGATATTCAACGCGCCATATTGCCATTAAATTTGCGTATCTGGGGAAACGATACAATGGATTAGAGCATGCTAATGGCAATTTTACAGAGGTACCAACCATTGAAGAGGAACTCTGGAAGGCTTTGCGGAAGACCCGCCTTATATTTCCGACACATAAAGACTGTACTGAGGAATTTAGCGGAAAGGATAGCAGCCCTTCTCGCCCATACTCGATACACTGGGATGGGTGCCAATACTCCAAATGTGGCCGGACGGACAAAGGCGTCAGCGCTTTTGGACAGGTGATAGGCATCAGAGTACGAAGCTTGAGGCCAGCGGATTCAAGTCCACCTACTGAGGCAAATGGAGGAGACGCTATGGATTCTGCCGTTGCAGTAGAATTGGGTACGGGAGATGAAAATAGACGAAGTGGTGTACCTGGTACAGGAGAAGCCAAAGCAGCAGTTTGGGATGATATTGCCGACGAATTGCCTTACATACAGATCCTAAACGGCGCTCTACCTGAGGACATACGAGTTCTAGCATGGTGCCCTCATTTGCCTGCAGATTTTGATGCACGGTTTTCCTGTCGCCAAAGAAGGTACCGTTACTTCTTTACCCAGCCTGCATTCTGCCCTACCCCTGGTGCTAGAGGCATTGTCAGAGCTCCTGAATTGAAAGACGACCCGTCTTCACCTCGGCCCAGGGAGGGATGGTTGGATATTGAAGCTATGCGCGAGGCAGCACAGTATTTTGTAGGCAGCCATGATTTTCGGAATTTCTGCAAAGTTGATACGAGCAAGCAAATAACGAATTTTGTGCGGCGCATTTTACGTGCAGATCTAGAGCTTGTGGACCCCCAAAGAACCCCTCTTGGCTTTGTGCAAATGCCTGGGTTTGAACGTCTCGAAAATAGCCCCAGAAATACTGGGATCCCCGAAGGACCTAATGACATCAATCCAGCAGCCAGCAAGGTATATTCATTTACAGTACACGGTACAGCGTTTCTATGGCATCAGATTCGCCATATGGTTGGAATCCTGTTTCTAGTCGGCCAAGGGCTTGAGCACCCGTCTATCGTTCCCGAGCTTTTAGATGTCACAAAAAACCCACGGCGGCCGGTGTATGAGATGGCATCGGACAGCCCCCTCGTTCTCTGGGACTGTATATTTGGGGAAGAAGAGGATGAGCTAGATTGGGTCTATCCAGGTGATCCACGAACTCTGAAAACTCCCTCGCGCAGGACGGATGGAAATTTTGGTCAAGGCGGTCTTGTCGAGGACTTGTGGACCCTCTGGAGAAATAGAAAGATCGATGAGTTGCTGGCTGGTACATTGTTGGAATCCATGGCGAATCGAGGACAGTTAACGGCTGCTTCGAAAGGCGATGGCCATCCATCCAACCAGGGGCAAACAGTTCAAAACCCTAGGGTTTTTAGCGGAGGGGACAACGGGAAACCAGTTGGGAAATATGTCCCATTACTGAACAGAACAAAGCTTGACCTTGTTGAGGACATGAATGCCCGGTATCTATCGAAAAAGGGGCACAAGTACTGGAACAAAGTGCTGGAATACCAGGAAGAGCAGCGGAAAGCGGCATTTGATGCTGAATGAGGCTCCCTTTGGAAATTGATAGATAATCCAGGTGGACCATCATTCATAGCTTAATTCGTAGCTTAATTATAGGACAGCATGGCTTGCCATCACGAAGAAGATTCGTAAAGGCATTTTCGAGCACCTTTCCACACTTCCTCAACGATCATTCGCCTCGGTAACAAGTTCTGTAACTTATTAGCTATGTCTTCAACAGTCATTTTGATGGTGCATAACGGCCAAATAAATGCAGGGTTATACATACAGGGAATACAACAACAACGTCAGACTCCCCATCGACGATGATCGCCAGGTAATATCGCACTTCAAACCCTCTGAACGCTTCATGAATAACAATATCCTGGATCTGAGTTGTTGGAATAAATCTAGTCGTCGCACTGGGGAGGTATGTCGCAGAGGATGTAGAGGTCTGTACCCCCAAACCTCGAATGACAAGCAGAGACTCCTCTTTTCAACCATAATTAGCGCCCCTAGTTACGTTTTAAAACAGAGGAACAAGGAAACAAACCAGTATAACCCTTCCTAACGACAAGGTATAGCAATATAGCGCTGCATGTCGCAATGGCCTGCCACATGTAATTATCCGCAATATTGCATGCAATCAGACCTATACTACTTTTCCATATGGTGTCCCAGGGAATGGCAGTCCAACTATCCGGTATGTGATTGCGGCAGGTAGCAGTGTCGACCAGAATAACAAATGCAAATATTGCAATTCGGATGATAATTCCAATGTAGAAAATGAGCTTTGAGGCAATTGTTGATCTTGGAGTGGCATTGGAGACTGTGAATTGAACAGTGGTCGACGAAGGGCTATATGTTTTCAGACGGGGAGGCATGATAGCTAATTTTTTTATTATAAGTGTATATTCTTATGTATGAAGAGTTTTTGATTCCAGTCTGTGAAAATGGGACTTAAACATTAGATGGTATCTTTAGTATCAAATTGAGAGTGTTCACGTTGCGTTTCATTTTCATCAACCAGCCAGGGGAACCTTACCTGGGTGATTTTATAATCACGTGATAGAAACTGCCAAGACCGTTGCAAATGTATATGTATGTATAAATATTACAGTATAAAAAATGGCAGCAATGGTGCTCTGTTGACATGGCGCAGATTATTAAACAGGCATAAACCGCGCTTTAGGCTTTGATACATGGTACTGTCCGTATATTGCTGAGTGAGACCTACTTGTAGCTGGCTGGCCGGTCTAGTAACGCTGGATAGAAGTGAGTTTGCGGCTCGGGAAATAAAGTTTATATTCTGACCAATCATATAGAGAGAGTCACCTGTTCCGCCAACGAACTCTGGGCAGGAGAGCAAAGGGCTATGTTGCCGCTTAGCCAGATATATTGAAGGACAAAACAGTTTGCTAGGGCGTCGTTCAAATGCCACGGAGTCCTTCACCACGTCGAGACGAGCGAAGAAGCCGGTCCCCTGCGAGACGGCACGACGACGGAGACAGACACAGAGAAACTGGGAGGAAGAAACAATCATCCGGTTTTCGATGGAAAGAAAAGCGACGCGATGATGATAGGGACAGGGACAGAGATTCAGGGAAACCCAGAGGGTTAGAGCGCGGGTATCGTGATAGTGATAGACGAAGGTCCCCGTTTAGAGACCGTGACCGTGACAGGGAAAGGGACAGAGACAGAGACTGGGGCCGTGGCCGTGAGCACGAACGGAGGCCAGAAAGGGACGCAAGGGGCGATACAAGCAGCCAGAAGCCGGTTGAGAAGGAGAAGAAAGATAAGAAGAAGAAGCCGACTGCCGCCCCGTCTAACGAGCCTATGATTATCGTCAATGTCAACGACAGACTAGGCACCAAAGCTGCCATCCCATGCCTTGCCTCAGATCCTATTCGTAAGCCTACCCGGCTCGCCCGATACCCTGCCCTGACCAAGGCTAATGTGTCTTGTAGGTCTTTTTAAAGCTCAGGTAGCTGCTCGAATTGGACGAGAGCCACATGAAATACTCCTTAAACGACAAGGAGAGCGTCCGTTCAAGGACCAACTTACGCTGGAAGACTACGGTGTCAGCAACGGCGTGCAGCTAGATTTGTGAGTTGACATCTGTTTCCTTTCGTTCTTATACTGATAGAAGCGTGCTAACTTTGATAAAGGGAAGTGGACACTGGAGATTGATGCGGTTGCATATGGAATACTCCCACTATGCATACGCAAGATGAAGAAGCTTGCGGTCATGAGCTTTATTATGTTATAATGAACCACCTTGATTCTTGCACACCACTGCTTTGGGCTATCTTGAAACAAAAGAGCCTTCCAAATTAATACATCTGTTTTAATATATTTTGGTTCCTTCTTGGTCTCTGCGCCTGTTCGTGTACTATATCTGCTGTATCGGGGGTAAACTCCTGCAGTAGCTTGGTAACCATCTCCTCCGTCCCTTCTCTCTGCCCTTCTCCCTGCTCTCCTCCCGTCAGCATGCTGCCTCTACGCTCTTCCTTGCCTCTCCTCCTGCTGCCTCTCCCTGCTGCATCGTGTGTTGTCCTTCCTAAACGGGCCACGAAAACGTCCGGCTGACTAACAACCGCGCTTTTCCACTTTAGGCATAAAATGCGCCTTATCCAGCCAATCAGAGCCCCCAATTACATGTGACTGTCGGCGGAAAAACTGGACTGCAGAAATGGAAATTTCGAAACATCCACAAATTCCGGGACTGACTTTTTGCCTCATTATTGTGTCCGGGCCAAAAACTCTCGCTTGCAACCATGCTTGCCTCCCGTCTCTTGAGTCTGCTCTTGTCCTCTATGCTGCCCTAACAATGATGTTGAGAGCGAGACTGTGATTACTCAGTACTATCCTCCTGGAATCAGTGATAGCATCTTTTATCCGCTTCCTCGCCTTTTTTTTTTTGTTTTTACGAGTTTGATTGGCCTTGGAAAATTTACTCCAGCCGCGGCCGTTTGACAAACCCTCATCGATCGGCACATTTTTTATACTCCTCGGATTTTGCATCATAGTCATCAAGGATCTCATCCAGCACCTCATAGGCCTTGGGAAATCTCTTGCTACAGCTATTTCACCATGGTCCGAAACCTCGTTGTCCTGGGCGGCAGCTCGCATCCTCAGCTGAACGCTACCATCTGCAGACAGCTGGGTATCCCACCGGTCAACGTCCTGTTGACAAAATTTTCTGTTGGTGAGACACGCGTTGAGATCAATGAGTCGATTCGAGGGAAAGATGTCTACATTATCCAGTCTGGCGGAGGGAAAGTGAACGATCACTTGATGGAGCTGTTCATTACCATCTCGGCCTGTAAAACTGCCTCCGCCAAGCGAGTCACGGCCGTCCTTCCTCTCTTCCCGTACTCTCGCCAAAGCGATATTCCTTACAACAAGGCTGGAGCTCCCCTCGTGAAATCGACTACTGTCACCAAACCGGAGGCTAGCAACGGTTACACCTTTGAGAGCACCCCGCCTACCCCACCGGCCGGGAATATAGAAAGCAACGGTCTTCAGAATGGACTAGAAGGGCTTCACAAGGGGCTTGCCCAGGTCCAGCTGAATGATCTCGAGAACGCCGGCTCTCTCAACAAGGCTGTGCGACTTTCTCACTACGTTAATGGGATAAAACGCAGTGACACCTTGGATTCCCAAAAGTCTGAAAATGGCCACCACCGTATACCTACCAGCCACAGCGACGAAACGGCAAGCAATGCATCCAATACCTCGAAGATGAACGCATTCCAGCCCCGTCCTGGGTACCGACAATGGGTTGCACAAGCAGGAACCTTGGTCGCTGATCTACTTACCTGTGCTGGTGCAGATCATATTATCACCATGGACTTGCATGACCCTCAATACCAAGGATTCTTCGACATCCCTGTTGATAACCTTTACGGACGCCCTCTTTTGAAGCGATACATTCAGCAGAACATCCCTAATTTCCATGAGGCAGTCATAGTCAGTCCCGATGCTGGAGGAGCTAAACGAGCTACAGCTATTGCAGACTCCATGGGTATGGAGTTTGCTCTTATTCACAAGGTAAACCCACGGCTTATCTCTAACAATGAAGTATAATTTCCTATGGCCTTGACTAACTTGCTCTCACTGCTCTCTAGGAACGCCGCCCCACTAAGATCACTGACCGTCAGAACGCCACAATGATGCTTGTCGGAGACATCAAAGACCGGACAGCTATCCTCATCGATGATCTCGCAGACACCTCCAATACCATAACCCGTGCTGCCAAGCTGTTGAAAAAGGAAGGCGCTTCGAAGGTCTACGCCTTGGTCACACATGGTATTTTCAGTGGCGATGCCATTGATAGAATAAATGCCAGTGCCTTGGACAAAGTCGTTGTTACAAACACAGTTTCTCAGGAACATAACCTAAAGCGGTGCCCGAAGCTTGAAGTACTAGAAGTTGGCCAAGTCTTTGCTGAGGTATTTCTAACAAACCAGAAACCTATATGGTTCTAATGCGCCTTTTTATGTTATCATTCACTAATCTTATCTGATTATAGGCAATTCGTCGTGTTCACCATGGTGAAAGTATCAGCGTTCTATTCCAATATGACTGAGAAAAAGGCATATAATATGCAACTTCTTGCAATCAGAGCAAATATTGGCCTTTATATCTATTCCGCTACACGCTACTGCTATTCCCCTGTCTCTCTATCTCGTTCTGTCTTCCTATTCAAACTATTTCTTTGTTTTTTACTTGGCCTGGTGTTCTGAGGCATGTAGCCCAGCCCATACCTCAAACAGTCAGTCACCTAAGACAATCATTTCAGAAGAACGACCCTGCCTATGTCATGGTCATGACCCTAATTTCCCCTCCTTTCATTCCCACTCTTTTATCTTTCCTAATTTCACCAAATACTAGCCAGGTAAGTGGTGATGGAAATGTCTTTATTTGGCCACAGATGAAGCTCCCTTTTCCTTCCTTGTCCTGCTCAAATCCCATCCAGGCATATGGAATACCATCTATGAGAACACACAAAAAAAGATGAAAACAGGCAAACTTGGAGACTCAAAAAAAAAAAAGCTCATAAACGAAAGACGAGGGGTTAGGTTTTCGCTTTTATCGCTTTCCTTTTCTTTTGATCTGCTTTTTTTTCTTCTTCTCCTTTTCATTGGTTTTATTCATTTGCCCTGGGTGTTTTGTTTTAATTGCTTGACTGGTTGGCAGCCAGTGCCTTCTCATCTTTGCCATTTCGCTTCTTCCAATAAGTGAGCCTGGTATGTTGATACATTGAGCTTGCTGGAAGCGCATTTTTCGTTAGTATCTAACATTCATTGCTGGGTACATATCTTTTACATAGTTACTATGCTGTAGTTTCTTTGTGCGAAGGTCTCTTGATCCTTGTATAGGTTACTATGGAAGTTTTGGTGTAAGTAAACCCCTCGTCGGGGATCGTTACGCAAGGGACCTGGGAGGCTTCATGTTAGAATATTTTACCGTGCAAACGGGGTTTATGTGTTACGAATATTAATGAAGAGTTATGACTTTCTATTTGTCTGTTTTATTTCACGAAGTATTATGGAAGTTTCGTGTATATTGTTTGTAACCGGAATGAAGGGTGATGATGATGATTTATCTACTAAGTGAGTACAACTGGACGATGCGAACTAGTAGCAGTTCATCGTATAAAACAACATAAAAAGAAAGTATTATATGGCAAAATGGAAGAGATACACTCCGAATCAACATTATCAAAACTCCAGCAATATTGAGATATAAATAATTCGAAGAAACAAGAGACCCCTAAAGTACGCTTATATAGTTCCCTATCCTGTCTTTCTGATTCTGGGCAATGCACTCTGCGATCCAAGTAATATTGCGAATTTCCTATTTCGATACATAATTAGTTCATACGCCTTGCAGCACACAGGATATGTTTGGAAATAACTGACTTGTTCCCGCAATTTTACCCAGGCGTATATTATAGCCGGGGTGAACTGGCGAGTGAATGCCAATTTCAACTGCTCCATCTCTCTCTGGTAGAAAAGATCTTCCAAGCTCTTGCCTTCGCTTCCGGGGCCACCAGAGCCGGACTGGTTCAAGCCAACAGTGTCAAAGAAAGCTTTGTAGTCGGCTACGACTGTCACTGCGAGGGAGACACCCTCGAGGTCATCTGCGCGAGAAAGCATCAGAGAACCTTCGGGATACAGCTTGCCAAACTCTGGATATAGCTTCTTTCTCTCGGCTTTGGAGAGTTCGGTACCGAACGAGTTGAGAGTGATGTTGATTGCCCGACGATCAGCCTCGAACTCTAGTGCTTCGCACATGACTTGCGACGTAGGAGAGTCTTTAAGCTCCGGGTCAGTATTAATGAACTGGTAGAAATCTTCTAGGTAATTCTTGTATAGAGTGTTTCGGATAATCTCAATATTCAGCTCATCCAGGTCCTGATGGCTCAGGCTTCCCTTGAAGTAGGGAGCTAGAGGAGTTTCAATAAGAACCGAGTTGTATAGTTCTTCGATATTGGTTGCCACGCATAGGACTGGCATGGTCTCAAAGAACCCAAGTGGATGGCACCTGTCTAGAAGCTCCCGGGTATCTCTCTCGTGAAGAGTACCGGTGATGAGAAGAGCAATGTTATCAATCATGTACCCATACGTAAGGTATTCCATAAACTTGGCTGTCGAGCCACTAGCTTGTGCTTGCAGATAGCGGAATTCAGCGACAAGCTTCTCAGTGGCCTTGCCAGCCAGAGCAGATGTAGAGGGATTCGGGGGAAGCGCAGCCAGGAAATCGCCATAGGATGGGCCAAGCTGTAGCTTGACGTCTGTGTTTACATGGTCAGCCCTAGCACCACACCACAAGCTATCACGGCAACCACTGCCATCAAGAAGCCACACATATGGCCATCGACAGCCGTCGCAAAGGTAGGTATGTACACACCATCCACGGTATCGCATTGCGTCAAGTTGCTGTAGTTCTGCGAGTTTAGAAGGTTGTTGCGGTATCCGCGAACGACTCCTTCGACATAGCTGCGCAACCATTAGCCATCCAGCTCGCTCCAACAAGCACCAGGACAACCTACCCGTTATCCACGTTGAAGAAGAGGCCCTCCATGGTTGGCCAAGTGATGTGTATCTGTCTGTCTGTCTTCTAGTCCTCCTGCCTGTCGACTTCCATCGTCTGCCTCCCTTAATATCACTTCCGAAGGTCAACCTAAAGCTTGGGTCCCTCACGTGATAGATTACATAATAGCTAGTGTGCTTTTTTTACGACATCGAAAAAAAAAAGAAGCAAAAAATTTATTTGGATTTTCGATTAAAAAACCGAAGACGAAACAGTTGTGCGTCTCTTGTGCTCGACGCCGCAGAAGCTCTCCTCGACGCATTCTGTTCGCGCAATAACTCTGGTGAAGCTAGGCGAAGTTTTTCTTGTATTTTATTAAATCTCCCGAGACGCCGTCGCCATGACCCTATTCATCCTTACCGAGACCAGTGCGGGCTATGCCTTGCTTAAGGCAAAGGACAAGAAGCTCCTCAAGCGAGACGATCTCGCAGCAGAGACAGAGACAGCAGAAGGAATATCAAACCTGTATGTTTGCAATTGCACTGCTCGCTTTGATACTGGGCAATAGTCCTCATATTGTGGTGGATTTATACCAATGCACGATCCACGATGAATTTTTTGCACCACCTTTTGATAGCTTCAAATCGACGGCTTTTTTGGGTACCCGTTGTTTTTTGGATACACAATTGAACTAACAGCAACGTTCTTGTAGTATGAAATTGAAAAACTTCCAGAAGTTCGACAGCGCCACTACTGCATTGGAGGAAGTTGCATCAGTTATCGATGGAAAGGTCACGCCGCGCCTGGCGAGCTTGCTCGAGACTATCAAAGACGAGAAAAAGGTCTCTTTAGCAGTTGCTGATACCAAGCTTGGTATGTTTAGACCCGACTTCAGCGGGTATAAACCGCGCGATGTATTCTTTTGAATATTGCCGCTCCCGCGCAAATCTGTGATCATTGCTTCTTTTGCTGACGTATTGACTCTCATAGGAAATGCAATCGGCAAGCTTCCTGGACTTTCTATCCAGCCTATTGCCGATGGCACCACAGCTGAGCTTTACCGTGCTATCAGGGCCCATCTTCCCGCCCTTATTCCTGGATTGGTACCCGCAGATATCTCTACCATGTCCCTGGGTCTATCGCACTCACTTGCTCGGCACAAACTCAAATTTTCCGCAGATAAGATCGACACCATGATTGTCCAGGCCATTTCTTTGCTTGATGACCTGGACAAGGAGCTCAACACGTACGCTATGCGCGTGAAGGAATGGTACGGCTGGCATTTCCCTGAGCTGGCTAAGATCCTCAACGACAACATGGCCTACGCCAAGGTTGTCCTCAAGATGGGTATCCGTAGCGACTCTGAGACTACAGATCTCTCGGAAATTCTGCCTGAGGAGATGGAATCTGCCGTCAAGATGGCCGCCAACAAGTCGATGGGCACTGAGATTAGCAACGAGGATCTCGAGAACATTCAGTCTCTTGCTGAGCAGGTTGTTGCTTTCTCCGAATACCGTCAACAGCTTGCCAACTACCTTTCCGCTCGTATGGCCGCCATTGCTCCCAACCTCACTGCCTTGGTCGGTGATCTGGTCGGTGCTCGATTGATTGCACATGCTGGTAGCTTGATGAATCTCTCCAAGAGCCCTGCAAGTACGATTCAGATCCTTGGTGCTGAGAAGGCCTTGTTCCGTGCTCTTAAGACCAAGCACGACACTCCTAAATACGGTTTGATCTACCACGCTTCCCTCATTGGCCAGGCCACTGGTAAGAACAAGGGTAAAATGGCTCGAGTTCTTGCCGCCAAGGCTGCAATTGGTCTCCGTGTGGATGCCTTGAGTGACTGGACCGCTGATGCTGATGGCAACGAGCCCACCGAAGAAGAAAAGAGCGCTCTTGGTATGGAGTCCAGGTACTACCTCGAGAAGAAGCTTGCGTTCCTCGAAGGAAAACCACTTAAGGCTAGAGGTGTGGCTATTGCTCCAAATGGCGTTGAATCCGCTGTCCCCAAGAAGTGGGAGATCAACGAAACCAAGAAGTACAACACTGACGCAGATGCTCTCGCCGGTGACGAATCTGACAAGAAGAAGTCCAAGAAAGACAAGAAGGATAAGAAGATTAAACTGGTAGAGGAAGTTGAAGCTGCGGATGAAGAAATGAAGGATGCTGACCAAGATGAGGAGGAAGAAGAAGACGACTCAGATGAGTCCGAGGAGGAGAAGCCCAAGAAGAAATCCAAGAAAGAGAAGAAGTCAAAGTCCAGCGGTGACGACAACGTTGAAGAACTAGCTGAGAAGGCCGGCCTCAGTGTCAAGCGATATCTCCGAAAGCTTGAGAGAGGCGAGATTTCTTTCGATAAGGACGGCAACCCAACCTCTATCAGCAAGAAGGACCTGAAGAAGGCCAAAAAGGAAGCCAAGAAGGCCGAGAAAGAGGAAGGCAAGAAGCGAAAGCGCTCAGATGCCACTGATGATGCCGATGAAACCAAAAGCGAAAAGAAGAAGAAGAAGAAGAGCAAGGCCTAATTGATGCGCACAATACTTTCAATGCCGTCTGATCCTTTTTGTTGCTGTATCATATCCAGCTTCTGGTGTCTTGGTTTTTGTCTTCTTTTTGATAGGGTGGCATCACTTATGGCGAGATGTTTATTTCTTTGAATGTTTCAATTTCTTGTCATTTTCCTTTGGGATTTTTTTATGGCGGCGCTTGGGATTCATTTCAACTTGGCTTCTTTTAAATAGTACAACCGGAAAAAGTGTTCAGATACTTTCTATTTATCAGGCATCGAAGCTTTTTATGTCACATTTTCCCTTTTATATCATTATTGCTAGAATCATGTATACATCCAAACCCCTCTAGAACACAGAAAGAGCCTTGGGACTCAAGCCTTTTGCAGTACGAGCAGGCGTGAGATACAACTAATTCAAAATGCAGGCAGTCGCACCAGGACGTTGGCCAATCAGAGCCTGTCAAAAGGTTAGGGAAAAGGAGTAACTATGATCCATGGAAAAAAGTCGTATTACATAATCACATCACTTCTATATCCCGAAAAATTATTTGCAAAGCTGTGGGAGTCACGACTTTGAATTAGACTAATTGGCAGTAGATATGAAGGTGAGCCCCTTCTAGCCAGCTATTTTTTTAGAGGGAATGTAGTCTGATGATATGTAACAGATTCTTGATCCTCAATCTGCAACACTTTCAAATGTGGAAGTGCTGGCGTACTTGAAGTCCAACCCCCCACGCTTGTCACCCCAAGCGCCTTTCCCGAATGCGAAGAACTTCGTCCCTAAGCCGGATTTGAGAGATTACAACACGGTGGTGAAAGAGGTTGGAATCCGATTTGATTCAGTATCTGGAGGGCCTTCATCGCTAATATTGGCCTCAGTACAATGACTATGTAGCTCGGCTCTCCCCTCACCTCTTATCATACCCTAGCTTTACTTCTGTATCTCGCGAGAATGCCACCGGTGATAATACAACCACCGACCTTGACGTCGCACTTCGAACGCTGATCTCGAGCTTGAAGCCGTTTAACTTGACGAAGGCGGAGGTGTTGATGATCATCAATTTAGGAGTTGGCCTTGAATCTAAGGCAGAAGGAGAGGCGGCGGAGGATACGGTCATGCAAGATGGAGAAGGTGAAGATGGCGACATAGGGGTTGACTATGGAGCCTTGGCCCTTCTGGACACAATTATAGAAGACCGAGAAGAACGGCTGGCGGATGAGGATGTTGCTGGGATATTAAGAATTGTGAGGGAGACACTGGCTAAGAAAGAACCAGCAAAGGAAGAACCTGCGGAAACTATGGAAGAATGCTGAGTAGGCTGTTCTCTTTGAATGCTTATTCATTGCCCTATCTAAAGCAAACGTTCGCCCATTTTGGGCACAGATGGGTTCGAATATGACGAGCCTTTAATCAGGATGAATTACGGGTAAGAACTGCTCAGTTCCAGTTATTCACTTCATTGGCTGATTGCTTGTATATAGGGTCATTCTAGATGTTCACCTTAAGGCTTTGCTGGGAGTCATCTACCCACCAGGGCCCAGTCTTACAAGTGACACTTCGCAAGTTGGCTGCCGTGGCTCATACTTTCAAATGAAGCTCTCCCGTGGAATGACCGCACGTTGGTGATATACCACGTTGGTGATATACCCAACATTGCCCTAGTAATGACTTAAGCTCTATAAGAATGACAGTTGCGCACGTTCCATTGAGATACCTGTGCCGGCTTATATCTGTCATGCAAGCTAATGGAATGGTGGCAGAACCCAGGAACTTGGAGCTTGTATATTTTCCTTTTAGCAGATAACCAAATCCTTCCAATCTTAAATTGTGCTAGTATGTCCATGAACAATTGCAAAATGTGGAAAGTGGTAATTAGGGAGCTTCTTATGGATCCATTTCGTCCAGCCTTCATAATTCCGCTCAAAAAAAAAAAGGGTACAGTCCATCATTGTACATTATTAAAATCTGGTTAGGTCTATTCAAGGTATATCTCATCTCTCAAGCGTTGTAAATTGCGCATTAGTCCACTACCAGTGCTCTCTGGCTTTTCACGTGAAGGAAGTTCAGAGGTTCTGCCCTTCGAGGCAGTCCCAACAGCCTTTCGGTTATCCTTTTCCTCTCTTTCCCTTGCCTGGCTTTCGAGGACCTTCCGCCTGTCCTCAACAATCTTTGCAAGACTGTCGACGAACTTGAGTCTCGGTTTCTCTTCTACCGTACCTTTCCATACGCCCGCGAGGAGCCGTAACTCCTCAACTCGGCGGGCTGCTGCTTCCAAGCCGGCTTCCCCCCCACCGTTGCTGTCCAGCAGCCCGGTGACTTGTGACCTGAACTTCTTTGCTACCTCGCGGCCTTTTTCTTCCAGACTCCGTGATTCAGGGCCAGCTTCAGGAGCTGAGACGGATATAAATGAGGAGGTAATTGAGACCTCTGATGGAGGCAGCGGCCACTCCATTGCATCTCCAAATACCTGTATTACCTCTTCTAGTCGAGTTCTAACCTGCATCAACGTCCGTAGGCGAGATATATACTCTGGGTCTTCTTGTGTGACCTCCGAATGGGTCTTTGCGCATGGGTCTTTATCGCCCCCTTTTTCGTTCGTTGGATGTACATCTTCCTGGACGGCGGCAGAGGTAGGTTCAGGCAGGCCCTGGGGTAGGAGGCTGCGAATATCATCCTGCAGAGTGTCTGTGAGGGTGTCTGAGAGGCCGATTGTCTCCCCGCGTAGCACCTCTACTTCGTACGCCAGCCGTCCACTGCTTCGTATTATCTCGTCAGTAAGCTGGTTCAGCGTGTTCGATAGCCGGGCGTTCTGTGCGGTGATCTGGGAGAGTAGCGACTGGGTCCGGGCAGAGACATCCGCAATCGAACTGCCGCCTGCCGAGCGTGATTGCGAAGTATTTAGCGGCGGAAGAGTGTCGTTGAGGAAATCGACCGGGTCAAACGAGGGGTCTGAGAACTGCGGTAGCAGCGGCTCGGCTGGCGAGGACGAGTTTTTTCGAGCACCCTCGCTCTGCGGACCAGGACGTTGAGCCATATTCCCGTAGACGGGCCCAATACTTATCCCTCTCCCTATAGGACTCTCAGCCGGCCACACCAATAAGCCGTAAGCGGTAGAGGAACAGGTGGTAGTCGTGTTTAAACTAGTAAAGAAATATGTAACTAGTGATATTTACTTATATCAGACAAATTAAAAGTCGACCGTGATTAGGTTTCGTCGGTTCAAGCTTAAAACGGAAGTGGGCCTCTTTGCTTGACGTCAACTCAAAAAAGAGAGCGAGAAGCGCCTGTGCAAGCGGCGAGCAGGAACCGCCATGTCGAGATCTCTGGCAGCAAGGGACGGTCAATGGCCCCGGGAGTAGCCAGCATACCGATATACAGGGGAGTTGGTGGCTTGCTGCGGCGTTGAAGCTTAGGTGAGGCGGCTCTCGGAAGCTCTTGCTGGTTCACTCGCCTTCCATTCGTTAACTAGCTAGTTAGCTAACTGGCGAACTTAACTCTCAAGATGCGTGGGCAGGACGAAGACAATCACTGATCGATGACGCCCTTCAACCAGCTTTCCGCCGGCCGTCGACGCCGCGGTCTTTGCCTCTGCTCGCCTTCTGAGAGGGGACGGCAGACTTGGCCTGCTTCTTCTTCATCCCTCTCGTCCAGACCCTCCTACAAGGACCATAATACCTGACTGCTGCCTGCTGCGCTACTGCTACAAGGGGATCATATCACTATATGGAAATGATTTCTTTCACCTCTAGGTGTCAAAGAACCGGAAGTTAGCGAGATGAACCGGAAATTAACGTGACCTCATTTGACAGACTGCTTTGCCTCACTGTCTTCTGTCCTTCTACAAATTCCTAGGACTGGCTCGCCTTTAAGTCTGCGCTCTTATACTCACAGCATCTGCGTCTATCTTCTTCTTAGATTCCGTTTTTCTTCCCTTTTCTTCTCATCCCTTCTTCTACTTATTCTCCTCATACTCCTACTTCTCCATTACTCTTTCCCTTTAGCCATCTTCTTTTCTGGTGGTGCTGTATTTTCTTAAGTCACTTGTTATTATCTGGACAAAACGGAGCCGTTACTGGACAAAAACCACCTAGATATCCTGTTCGCCCTCGAAAATGCCTAGGAAGGCGTTTTTACACGACCTACGCGAGGCTTGTAGGCCCGGGTTGTTCTCGGCTTTGGTGGACGTGAAGCCTGGCGAGGATGATGGCACCTTATCCTGCTCCTTGATCCTCGATGAAGACCCCGAGCAGTCAGTGGACCTTGAGTTCATGGTCACAGGTATGGCCTTTTTCCGTATATGAATGCCTCTCAGGAGTTCGCTCATTAATACAACAGTACCTAGACATCTCACTTTACCCCAAGGAACATGAATTTTTTATCTACACTACCTCCGAGGATGTTCCTCAGTACGTCACCGATGTACTGGGGCAAGCTCAGCAGGCCGTCAGCCGTCTGGAAATTCCAGACATGTTGTCGCAACTTAGCTATGCATTCCAGAACAAGAAGGGACCGGAAGCTGATGATCAGGGTGACTCCTTTGCTGATGACTTTGTTCTAAACGACGGTGAGGATGCGGCTTACTCCGAGACAGAGGACGCTATTCCGGATCTAAATGAGGAAGAATATCACTGGTCCCCCGTTCCACAGCAGAGGGATACCCAACTAACTCGCTCAGCCATGGTCACAGATGGAGGACAAGAGTTTGACGAACTGCTATGCAAGATATCAGAAGACTTGAAAACAACAAAACTGGCCGGCTTCCGCGTTGGATATATTGGGAACAAGTTATGCCCCATTGTTTCTGTTTCATGTCGCATCTCTAAACTTGGAATATCAGAAGACGCGATGAAAGCATGGCACATCAAGGAGACGCAGTATTTGGTTTGCCTCATTCGGTATATCGGAAAGTATCAGTCCCTAGAGCAGCTACTCTTTGAGGACGAGCAAATCGGAAAATCTTCAGTTGAGGTACGAGTTGGTATCTGCAACGTGTATAAGCCCTCATTGAGATCTACATTCCAAATGTTTGACCAAGCTGGCCAAGACGCGAAGCCCTGCATTTCTACAAATAGGATTGGTTTATCCGACAATGACGATGTTGTATACTCTTTCATCAGCGGGCCTCTCAATGCCTTGTTAAATGAAAGATTCATAAAGATACTTCGCTATAGACACACTTTCGGCCACTCTTGGTCTGGAGCGGAGCGGTTTTTCAACGAATGCCAGGGTAAACCCGTCGGCAGCTCGGATCCAATATCTCATATCTACCAGGAGCCAGATATTTCAGAAGAAAAGGCCGCCGCTCTTCCTAGTTCTTTATCATCAGACCATCTTCTGGAGAAGGACGGTTTAGGAGCTTCCTTTCCGCTAATCACGATGCAGTTCATACTTCGTCATTTTGTAAGATGCACGGAGTTCTGTCTCGTCTGCCATTGCAAAACAGACTATAATTTCGAGGCCCTCAAACCCTATGTTTGCTCCAAGAGCTTGTGCCTCTTCCAATATATGACTCTAGGATTCGGGCCTAGCTTGGAGTGGGAGATTATGACGCAGCCCTATGTGGTTGACTTGCTCATCAGCTTTACTTATTCCAGCGCTGTTCGACATCGCCTCGCCGATCCGCCTACAGGGCTTGGGATTATGGTTCCAGGTGGCATGCTAGATCCAATGTACAAAAATCTTTGCAGTGACACTGCGGAATCTACTACTGATCCTCACCGCGAAATACGCTTTGAGGCAACTTTTGATGAATCAATAATGACAATGAATTTTGCTGCTCGCCTCCCAGATCGTCGAGTGTGCGTGGGTGACTGGCTAGTCATTACCGATGAGGATCGTCACCTCCATTGCCGTGTCACTAACACGAGCATGTGGCCTTCAGTGGACCTTTCGGAACCTATTGAGGTGTTGAAGCTTCCAGGGAATAAACCAACATCAACTACAAAAACGGTTAAGGCTGCTTGGTATGGGCAGAACATCGACGACCTCAGCCCAAAGGTACAACATCATATGATAGTGTCTCTCCTTGATACCCTTCCAACAGTAGTTGAAATGAAGCAGTACCTGGCCGAAAACTCTAGGGGCTCGCAGCCTACACTTTCACAATGGAAAGATAGGATTTCAAAATCTGCCCTCGACCTGTTACGATGGATAGTTGCATCGAACCGTTCATGCATCATCCAAGATGACCCGGATCCGATTGAAAACGGCAGCGGCACTGCCAAGGTCAATGATGACCGCGTCGGCGGAGTTCCTGGTTATATGCAGTTTCGCTTTGCGCAGGGAGCTCCAGATAAGGAAGAACGTTTTTCTAAAGCTGTCATGGCTAAGAAGGAAAGTCTTAAACAGTCTCATGCTACCATTTTTGCATGGCATGGTAGTCAAATCTCAAACTGGCACGGTATTCTACGCGAAGGATTGCACTTCAAGGAGATTTTGCATGGGCGAGCATTTGGCCATGGTGTCTACATGAGCACAGATTTTGCTACTTCTGTGTCCTACATTAATTCTGCTTTACATTGGAACACTGGGACTGGCGAAACATGGCCCAACAGCAAGTTGGGAGTTACCGGCGCAATATCATTAAACGAGGTGGTTAATTCTCCTAGTGAGTTTGTCAGTGCCTCACCGCACCTTGTTGTATCTCAGCTGGATTGGATTCAAACGAGATATCTATTTGTTCGATGCTCCTTAAACAAGGAAATTGGCATCGGTACACCACCAAAGTCAATTCCGTATTATCACCAAGATCCGAGATACACTGCCCATGGCCCAAACTATAAGGCAATCACAATTCCTTTGTCTGTGTTCAGCCAGAAGCGACGCCTTGCCCTGGGTATAACAGCTATTCATCATCATCCCCCGACAAAACCTCCTGCTACATTCCCTGCAAAACAAGATAACGCTGTTGCAACTTCGTCAATCGGGAAGACTATGTCAATCTCTAATTTGCTAAAACCCCATGATCCCGCTGTCCAACTACAAGCCACCATTTCTAGCTTGATGAACAGCATGCAGTCGAGAATATCCCCAGATTGTTACACGGACGATACTCCTTCCCAGCAGGCCCTTGCTCCATTATCATCAGACGATACTAATCCCGTGGAAGCCGACGGGTACCTCAGCGACAAAACAGATATTGATGATCTCGATATCTTTCTAGAGGCCGATAGGATTAAAGACAAACGAGCCGATAACAATACATCGCAACAGCCCCCTGAAGAAAGCAGCGCTCAAATTAGCAACAAGCCCCAGAATGAAACAGATTTCATCCCAGGAACCCTCAATCCAGCGACCCTCCCTATGATAGCAGCTCCGGACAACGCGACACCCTCGGCTACGGCATCTCTTCAACGTGACCTACGAGTAGCCCTTCGTACCCAAGACAACGAACCGCCCGCTGAACTGGGCTGGTATATTGACCCCAATCTAGTCAGCAATGTCTACCAATGGATTGTGGAACTACACTCTTTCGACCCTTCGCTCCCCTTGTCTGAGGATATGACAAAGGCAGGGATCAAATCTGTTGTCCTCGAAATTCGATTCCCCCAGCAATATCCGATGTCGCCACCGTTCGTTCGGGTTATTCGCCCTCGATTCTTGGGATTTCAACAAGGTGGAGGTGGCCATGTTACTGCTGGAGGCGCACTTTGCATGGAACTACTAACAAACTCCGGCTGGTCCGCCGTTTCTAGTATCGAGAGTGTTTTATTGCAGGTTCGCCTGGCGATTTCTAGTACAGAGCCTCGACCAGCAAGACTGGTGCCTGGCCAAGATGCACGGAAGGGCTATGTTTTGGATTATGGTGTTACTGAGGCTGTTGAAGCATTCATTAGGGCCTGTAAGATGCATGGCTGGCAGGTACCCCCAGATTTCCAGCGAGATTCCAAGGACGGATCAGCTGCCGATACGTTACTCTATAAAAATTGATATTTCTATAGATCTAGCTATCTGGACTCTGGAATTGAGTTTTACTTTAAGTCTTAACGACGGCGAGTTATCTAATGTGGCAATGTACCGAGCGTATTTGGTGATCAAAACGAACATGGCAATACAAGGCGAATCTAAGTGACGAAGAACACTAGAATGAAAGGGGAAGAAATATTTAAAATTTCACATCATTTGAATTGATGAACCATCAAGTTGTTAGCCTTGAGAGTTAGTGGGTCTTCTAGTCATAGAGTGCTTTTATCTGGCTCTAGAGCTCCTTTGGAAAAAGACAGAGAAAGAGAGCAGAGATCGACCTGTGTAAAAACGAAGGGATGGCACATGCGATGACCTTGATGAAGAGGAATCGAGAAAGGAAAATAAAAATAAAAATAAAAAACATTGACAATTATAACAAATCTCCTCCCTTCCTACCTATCATTGGAGTCGTATAATTTGCATAAACCAATGCCACCATCGACGTCCGTCGAGACATGAAAATCCAAAGAAAGGGAGAGAACCAACATAGAGACGTGAACAATGCAAACTATTAACACCCAAGAAACTCCGCCATTTTTGCTCCGGCCTTTCCCCCCCCCCCCCCGGTAATTTTTTTTTTGCACAATGAGTGTGAAGAAGTGGAAGGGATTAATGGGATAAAGGTACATATAAAGGGGGGCCAGGGACTGTAAGAATAATAATAATAAGAGTAAAAGAAGTACAAGAAGCAATCAAGAATTTTTTCGGACTTCTTGGACTTGCATTTTGTGGTTCATCAAGACCACAGAAAGAATCACGACACCACACCCAAGAAAAGGTTTAAAATCAAAAACACCCAACCGGTCAGGTTAACTCGTTCAAAAGCAATAATATCATGAAACAAGGAATATAGGAGGCAGAGTATGTGAAGGGATTATAAATGACGATCAAGGGAGAAAATTTATCGTCGAAGTTGCCAGTTTTGTGGCGCTAGAAGATCGCCTTGCACTGACAAACCGCCCGGCATGCCGTTTTGCAAGTTATTCTGGATACTGTTCTGAATCCCGCTCTGGATTCCATTGGGTATAGTATTCTGCGGGCCGGCTGGTAAGCCATTCTGGACACTGTTCATTTGGAGCCCGTTCAGGAGGATGGAGAGGCCTTGGGATTGGCCAACAGGGCAGTCTTTGTGGGCAGAAAGCATTGATTTTAGCATTGCATTTTCTTCTCGAACTTTATCAAGAAGACTTGACAAGGCTTCATTATCGCTGGAGTATGCTTCTGCCTTTCTCATAAGGGTGGCTACCCATTGCTTTTTTCGTTGACGGCATTTAAGAGCGGCGACCCTGATACAAAAAGTTAGAATATTAAACCAAAAAACCCAAAGTTGTTTGATACACGAATATTGCAGTTTGACGTACCTGTTACGCTCCTTAAAATTTTTCTTCTTTTCTTCATCTGTCATGGTTTTCTTGTTGCCAGCTGCGATATTCTCACCTTCACCATTACTGTTACCATTATCAGCACCTTCGGCATTATCAAATTCAACCGAATCATCATCAGTAACAGTTTGCGCCTTGTCGGCAGCAGTAGTATTCGCAGCTTTTTGCTTTTTGTTTGAGCCTTTGGGGGTGTCTTCGGCCTTCCTTCGGCCATTTGTAGAGGTTCCTTTGGCAGTAGTGGCTTTCTTGCCTTTGCTACGAGTGTTGATCTTCGTATCAGGGCTGTCCGACATGTTTCCACTGGACTGCGGAGCTACGCCATTCGGTTCATTGATTTGAGGGGGAACCCCGTTCATTGGTGGACTATTGTTATCATTATTCTGCAGAGACATCTGCATAGGTTGAGAGGTTGGGCCGGAGAATGGGTTACTTGTGGCCTGAGCACCTTTAGCTAACATGAAGAGGCCGTTAGCAGCATCAGTAGCATCGGCATGGGCAAATGGATATGACTGTGGTTTCTCCATTGACGCAGCAACCTGCTGGAGAATCGAGTCTGCTTCCCCAGGGTTAGAAGTGGGCGCAAGGAAGCCACTTTTCTTCGCTGCAGTGATGGCTGTCCGCTGGAAATCTAGTGTAGTAGGAGTGGTGTTTCCGCTGGGGAGCTGCTGGAGCAAAGCAGACGGTCCAGGGCTAGGAGCAGGAAACATGGAGCCACCACCGCCGGGAGTCAGGCCAGCATTCAAGCCAGTACGCAATGAGGACTCATTAGGGGTAGGGAATCCGCGAGTGATACCATCAAAGTAGTCGTTTGGTCCTGCAGGTCCTGCGAGCATCGCCGGGCTTAGTGGACCAGCACGAAGTGAGTTTGGCCAGTTGAAACCGCCACTGGTTGATGTGCCAGGCATGGCAGGGGAGGTCAAGGAAGCTACAGGTGGGAGAATTGATTTCCCAGGGGTATCACTGGCGGTGTTCCCAAAAGATTGTTCAAACGGGTTGGGCTCAAAGGAGAGGTGGCTGGTGCTATGGATGCCCGAGAAGTAATCACCATTTGCGTCGTCACCTGGTTTCTGCGGAGCTGGGATGGTAGACGGCGCATCTAGAGATGTGGTGGTGACGATGGTCTCTGGGACATCTATTTGGGTTGTTCCACGATCTAAACGGGATGATGTCAGTGGTGACAGACACGAGCCAGGAGTATTAACTCTGAAAGTAGGTTGAACGAACATCAACACCAGGGACGACAACCAAACGACAGGGAATATATCACGGCAAGGAGTTCATCAGCTGAGGATGGTGGATGAGGGAGCCAAGTGCAGGAAGAGGAGCGATGACGCAGGAGGGTGATGATGATGGGCAGGAAGATTTAAGCTAGCTGCTGACCTTCTGAAGACTTGACATTCTCGTTCGAGTCTTTCGCATCCATTGGCGAATCGGTGCGAGACGCCGGCAAGCCAGCCTGCGGCGACGCGGCCTTGCTGGCTGGAGTGGACATAGTATATACAGACAGCAGGGCAGCGAGCCTCTGCAGCGTGCGGTGATGCTGAAATCGGACGAAAAGGGCAGACAAGACGGGCGTCCGGCGACGATCTCTCCTCGAGTCCTCTGCCGACCGCAAGGAACAGGAGTCGAGGCGACGGTTCGCTCCGCTAGAGGTTGCTGAATGAGCTAAATGCGAGTAACAGACGCGAGCCTGTGGGTTCACGCCTAGAAGTGTTGGTAGTTGTGGGTTGTGCGCCGTTCACCGAGCGATGACGATGAGATGACGATGAGATGACGATGCAAGACCTTTTTTTCCGCTGGGAGGAAGCAAATAAAAGAAAAAATAATACAGAGCGAAGGCGAAAAAAACTCTGACGACATTGATGATGTCGTTAGCTTAGTCATCCTGCTTGGCAAAGCCTTGGCGTGACGGGTTCGCTTAAGCATAAAAATGTTTAAAGCATAAACGGATGGGGATGGAGACGCTGATAAGATGAGATTAGATGGACGGCGGACGCGGCGGCCTGGACGGGTGCCTGCTGCGGGGTGTGCACGCGCTGAAAGGCTGGCTGCAGCGCTCAATTGCACGTTGGCGCGACGGGCGTCTTTGTTTTAGCTCGGCTCGTGCTCGCTTGCCGCTTAGTGAGCTGGGATGCCAATGACGAAAGAACTCGCCGACTGTATTACGAGAGAACCTGTCACAGCTCTTAGCTAATACAGGCCGACGAGTTATCTATACCTACCACTTCGTTAGCCTGAGCCGTGTGACACTCGACTGACCAGGGCATATTATTATACCCATTGCCATCAAAATATTCCACCATAGCCTCTACAGACGAAAGGAAAATGAACTCTTTGAGAAGCCCCCAATGCCCGAAAGGGTGTGGCTAAGCCAGTGTTCTGTGGCATATATATACATATATATGCTAACCTCGGAACGTGTCTCCATTGATAACCCCTACCCTTCCGGATAGCTCAATTCGCCCTAGATATATGCTCGATAAAGAGCTCTATATAATACCAAATACCCAAAATTCGTGCTTATTAACCGCGGTGTTAACATGTCTCGTCTGTGGAACGCCTTAACAAAGATCTGCTCTCCCAAACGGCAAAGGCATCAACTTCTATCTTACTAGTTATTTGCACATTCAAGCTCAAGTAACTTCAATCAATTCATGCCAAGGAATGACGGCAGAATTGCCAATGGCAGAATATTCAACTCTTCGAAAAGCTGTATTAGCTCTTTTTATTCGGCAAGCCCTGACTGTCAACCTCGCCCTGTAGAAATTGTGGAAAAAAATTTTTCAAGGATAATGGGTTGGACCTGGGTATGACACCCCATGAAGCCTATGGTATGGAACGAAAGCCTCAATAAGTTAATTGAGTAAGAAGTATTGCCCGAAAAGAAACGCTAGTTACTCCGTACATCCCCTCATATTCACTTCGCGGCAGGCCCCGGTCTCAACCGTAACAAGAAGCCTCCTGCTGGGCATCCAACCGGATTGAAGCTTGATAGACGAAAGGGAGAAGGCAGCCTGAAATCTGAAGAAGATAAATTCATAACCCAGGCCTTTTCGCTACTCCTACTGCACTCATTGCTTCCTACAAGGGCAAACAATCTTCTCCAATTAGTAACAGCTTTCAAGAAAATGAAAATCACCAGTGGGAGATAAGCTGCAGTATTTACGATATTCCACGGTTCGCAGTACTCCTGAGCCGTGAAACTATTGTTTGTGGTTCTTAAAAGCGTGATGCATGCATGTTAACCACCACACAAATGTGTACGGAGTCCTTTGATAATGTATCCATCTACGCTCCGTATTATATCGAACCCATGTAGTACAATTGATGGATTATTAGCTTTGGCTAGCCATAGCTGTATACTGTTGTATTCAGTGTTCATTGGACAAATATATCTGCCCCTCAGAGTTTGTTAACTCTCTACCTGCCAGGTGTTGAGCCTATGACGTCAGAGCCGCTCTTAAACAAACAACACACACAAAGCCAACCATCACGATCCGCGATAGGTGGAATAATTCCATGGCCCGAGAAGCACAGGAACATGATAGTGTCTCCATCCCTCCTCGCCCTCTCTACCGTCAACTGAAAATCGCACTTCTACCTCCGGCCAGAAACAATCTGGAACACCCTGCTCACGGTACCATTCGTCAATGCCACATAGCCGAAGGCTCCAGATGGAGCGAGATGTCCCTGACCCCGCCTGGTTGGGCAGCTGTGCTAGAGTGGAAGAAACGGATGAAGGGCCCCCCTCGTTGGACCAATTCTTGACCCGTCCATCCGAATCCGTAGTTGCTGTGAATGTAGGCTCTTCTTTGATTGTGCCCTCATAATTGACCAACCTCAAAACGCATAGAATTCCTTGTCCTGGACGGCCGGTGTAAGTGTTGAGCACATGGCAAGTGATTGGGTCTTTTTCCGCCATTTCTCTCTCGCGGCTTGTGTCCCGTTCTCTTTCGGCTGGTTCACTTTGGTTTGTCTGGGGTTCAGAGTTATCGGGTTGTAGGTATTGCCGGAGCTGTGAAAGCCTTCTTGGAGCACTTGTAGAAGGAAAGGTGCCAATTTCGGGTGGATTTAACCTGCCATCAATCATGCTGTAGCCTTTTTGACTTGTATCACCGGCAGGACACGCTCCCCTCAGTTTATATTGCTGCGGAGTGTTGCTATTAGTCGGAGTTCGCCGACTAATTGACTAAAATAGTTGGCTAACTAGTTAACTACCTAGGCCAACTAACTAGTTAGTTACACGTGATATCAGCTTTGGGCCTCGAACAGTTATGTCCAGGTGATCAATGAAGTACTTAAAACTCCTGGCTGCTTGTAACTAACGATGCCCGCTCTATCGAAACTCTAGTTCTAACTAGTTATACGCTTCCTACCGTACTTTTTTTAAAGAGAAAAAAACTTTTTTTGAAAAAAGCTTACCCTTCCCACCAAATGCCAAAACATCCTAAAGTTCATGAGCACCTTCCATGACAACAGACAATAAGGGCAACGAAGCCAGATGGAGAAGGAAATCATTAGCTCTCACCACTGTATTTTTGGGGTCAGCTGCAATAAGGTAGTAAACAGCTACCAGCTGTACGCATCCTCAATGTACCTTATATGCAGATATCCCTGGAGCATAGTGTAGTGAATTGCGTCTCTTGCTTCGTCTGCCAGACCATCTGGTCCACAAACAAGTACTGCAAGCCACGAGTTGGCCATGTTTGCACTCCTTGCCCCTTCCAAAATAATAGACCTGGTGTCTGGTCTGCCGTATTTCACATCGTACTTCAAATCTGCAGCAAGAGTCTTCAGCTTGGAGTCTATTCTTCTACCATCCGGAAGTGTTGTATTTAGGGATGACGTTGTTTCTGTGCAGGTCGGGGAAGGAACGATTGGTGCAGCGCTCTTGTCTGTCAAATAAAATGAAGCACGGAAGTCTTCTCTACCGAAAGCAGGTCGCAGCTCCCTGGAGGCAACGTCATGAATAAAGGAAGCTTGTCTCGCTGACCAGATAAGGGTTATGTTCTTCACACATGTACCTTCTGCGGTGGAAGATGCGCGTCGGATATGATCCTGGATATAAGGAACGGCCGCAGTGATCCCTGTACCGCCAACGATGAGCAAGACTGATTCGAAGGCCCACAAAGGAGCTGTATCGCCATATGGACCTTCTAATAGCAATGTGGTGGAGGTAGCAGTGTCACCGGATTGCACACATTGATCACGAAGCTGGCGAGTCCACCCATTATACGGTCGTATCCAAAATATGTATTTAATCTCGTTGGAACTGTTGCCTCCTGGATTCTGGCTATTGGAAACTTTGGTGCCGTGGCATAATCCACCATTTTTACCATTCTCATCAACGGTATTAGAAGAAAGTCCTGATTCTGAGCCATTCTCTGTGACGGGTTTTGGAGTTTCAACCCACGCTCCGAGTGTGAATGGGTGACTCTCGTACCCGGTCCATCTGAAAGGCTGATACAGAAAGTAATATCGTCCAGGCTTTTGAGAAATACCAGTTGCGGCTGGTGTTACTTCCAGCCTAATGATGTCCGATAACTTGTCATAGTAAGCAACGGTGCTCGTGTGTTGAAGGCCGCCTCTAGCAAACCGAACCCGAATGTTGCAGTATATAATTCGAATAAGGCGCAAAATTCTATCGAACCCCCATATAGCAACAAGTGGCCAAAGATAGGGGTCATATTCGCCAGAAAATATGGATACGTGACTATCGTAACAAGTAAGCCAAGGTCACAAAGTATGTCACACTGGGACTGGAACTTACGAAAACATGGCTGCAATTATCACAGCAGATAGAGCAATGTGAATAAGCAAGAACAGCTCGTATGATTTCTTTCGGAACCACAAACATGAGAGTATCACCAGGAAACTCATTGCCACAGTTCCCTAGAGAATAAACAGTGGAACCCCTTGTCAACTACTATATACACAAAAAAAAATAATTTGGAATGCACTCACCACAACGCCCATGCTAAACCATTTTTCCCTAAAAGCGCTTTGATAGGCCGCTGAGCCGCCTAAAGACAGTAGAAAGAGATTGGTCAGTCAAGTGTCCTTTGCATCTGCCAAACACGGCTACGCTAACCTATAAGGAAATATAGTGCCGTATATGCAATAGAATGGACAATGGCAAGTAGAGTTGCGGCTAGGGCGGCCTGCCTATGGAAGATATTGAACATTCGGAAACTCCAGCCCGTGGCCCAAAGGAAGATATTGTTCCTTCCTGCAAACATCCAGGCGAGAGGGAGATTTGCAAATGCAAGTACCCCGGTACGATTTGCAAGGTAACGGCATAGCTGTGCGTTTGTAGTTGGCATCCTATGAGTAAGAAGATCCCCTGTTAGTAGGATACCACAGCGGGGAACCGAGGAAAACATACACCAAGTTTCCTACAAAAAGTTCATAATTGACGCAGCACAGGACTGCAATTATGAGCCAATACGAGAATATCACAATTGCTTCTAGCCTGGTCGGTATGTCACAGCCGTATAGTGTCCGCAAGTGATAAGACCCAAAAACGCTCGGGATCGCCACGTGTGTCTGAACCCAATTGGAGAGATATGACAATGGCCTAAAGACCTGATGAAGGTTTCGAAACTTAAGAGCATAACCGCCTTCCAAGTCAACCCCTTTCCTTCCCAGCTGGTTGAAAAAGGCCCAAGTGAAAAAGTTATGGATAATTCCAACGACCAGAACGGTGCCCCAGATGCCATACATGGCGAATCTAGATCAAGATCAGCAAAATTCGGGTTCATATATAGTATGTAGCCATTGCAGTATCGAATACTTACCCGTAGGCATGACGGTTTTTCGATTCAATAGTATCAACGGTCTAAAAATCGTTAGATTCTTTAGTTTCTTTTCCATTTTTTGTGTGAGAAAGGCCGCCTTACAACTGTCTTTAATGAAAGCCTAAAGAATTTCTCGGAAATTAGAATTAGGCTGTCAACTGTTTCCTTTTTCGGTATCTCTCCATTTTCGATAACTCTCATTGTAGCAATATTTGTGTTGGTAAGATTGGCAGCAAAATCTGACATTGGCAACAAGGGCTGAGAGATGCGCCGCTCACAAATCGCCCCAAGAACAGCAGCTCCGGGAAGTATTTCTTCTGGTTGGCAGTAAACTTTTGCGGATGCATACATAGACCCTACCTTCAAACGGTTTTGACAGAGCATAGCCCATTGTTCCTTACCAGAAGTGCCCGCAAAAATTATAGGCCTATACGCCCTGTAAATGGCGGAAAAGCATAATTCCTTGTTTGCAAGCTCCTTTGACGAGACGATCACTATAAGAAAAGCCCCCAGAACAAGATTGAAAAAAATCATAGTGTGGACTTCGAGTGCTTTCTGTTGAAGGCACCGGTATCGAGATAACACAATAAGGGAAGGCTATAAAGCGGTATATTCATGCGATCGGAAGCCACAGGAGTTTTCCTGAAAGGTTCTCACCAGCTGAATATAACTAGAGGTTGCCCAAAGGGGTATATAAGTCATGTCCTCGACCATGATCCCCTAGCTGGGGGTGATCGGAGGACCCAACTAGCTCCTGCATTATGAACATGGAGCGGAAAAGACTGGATAGAACAGTGGCTAGTCCTCTGCTTTCTCGTCTTCCCTGGGAATAAAACGACCCACTAGCGAGATATGGAGAATTTCGACGGTCCCGAACAAGCAGAATGACTGGATCCCTTCCGATCTTACTCACGACAGGCTCGTTTTCCGTCGTTAGCAGTGCTTGTCTCTCTCCGAAATACCGTAATCGTCCCCCGTATGTATAATTGAGATTCGTATTCGCCACAGAAATCAGTCCACATAATGGGGTGGAGTAGTCAATTTAGTTACGTCCGTCAATAAGACGTGTGGGAAAGGTACTCCTGGGAATCTTCAAAACTGGAAAACGTAAGGAAAGGTAACTATCAGCCAATGTCATATTGGTGGCTATAGAGTACGGGTGCCATCATGGCGGTTTATACCCCGTGGCTCTCATTTTAACCAATACGTTGATTTATCTGGACTTATGTGAGCTGGGAGTACGGAGTACGGGCCTGAGGATGGGAGGTTGGTGTTCTGATTTTAAAGTTTCCATGACCTGCTAATGATTACCTAAAGTAGTTAGTTAGCCGATCAGATAACTTACACGCGAGCGTTTGATTGAAAAATTAATCTTATCAATCTAATCAATCTCTCGCCCAACTCACCCTACCTGGTGCCGTAAACGAAATGAGGGGTTCTAAAATGCACTAAAGGCCTGAAATCTACGGTTATGTACGCGTAGATTTTAGATCTTAAGTACTTAAGTATTTTTTGAATCCCTCATTTCCCTTATGGGTGGTAGGTACCTACTAGCTAACTAACCCTAGATAAGCTGAACACTCCACAATGGAGAAAGAGCGTATGAACCAACTATAGATGGAACTGCTACGGAGAAACCCAAGAACGTACGGCACCACAGTTTTTAAGAAATAAAAGGCCAACTTAGGCTAAACATATTCTAGATACCTAGTAATCACGGGCTGTTGTTCCGATATTGCCGGTTCCTAGCGAAGAATAAGTTTGGACAAGCTTTCAGACCAAGGATATTTCATTCTTCGCAGTTATATTCGCTTAGACATCCAGTATTGTGGTTAAGATTTAGACACTTTCGGAATTCTTATGGAAAGCCGCTTCTTGCAAGATTTCACTGGGCTAGTTATCCTGCTGAGGCATTTTCGAACGTTACAGCTGCCCACGGCAGAAGAACCCCCCTGCCATACGGAACAGCTCAATGTAAGGAATGTGGGCCTATTTCCTGCATAGGTTAGCAGTTTACAACGCATGGCAGATGCCGTCTCCGAAAACATACTCAAAGACGGATGACAAAGAGTATGAAACCAGGTTTATAAAGACATTCGAAGTAAATACGTGATTAGATGTCAGAATAAACATTGATTAAGATATTAAGGAGGGGGAGGGTCGGAAGGACAAGCTTCACATATGAGCCGGGGCCTTGTTAGTTCTGGAAAACATATTCGCAGATGGCTGACCATAATATAAGGGTTAACCAAATAGGACATGGCCGGGTGCTACATTTTTTATGCAGTAACATGCAGGGTTTTGACCGCAAAATCGGCGATAATGATAATAATACATGAAAACGATTTTGAGCTGTCCTAATGTTTATGAGAGAATTTGCGCAGGAACGGAAACTAAAGCTTATGGATACGTCACGCACGAATGACCCTCAGATTCTAGACAGTAACTCATGCAACCAGGCCTCAGTTGATTCTGTTTCTTTGAAATCGCTTTCCCTCGATATCAGACTGTAACCTCCGTCTTCCGGCACAGCCGCATGACCAGCTATTTAGATCAACATTTAGGCGTATCTTTCAGACAGGATCGGTTTCTAAAACCTCGCCTCGGGAAAGTGTATGCAACGTACCCATACTCCCGGGTAGAGTGGCTGACAGGGTATCCGACCTTGATACCTAGGAGCAGCTCAGACAATCTCAGTTCACTTTTCTTAGGTTATCCGGGGTCGGGTTTAATCTCGTTTCTAAAAAGCTGTACACGTAGAACTCGCTTGACGTCTGATATTTATACCGTATTTGTCTCTGTCGTAAGAAAGTCGCCTGTTTTACCAGGCTCTAGCAACTAGAGTCACTGGCTCAACAGCAGCTGTTGTATCAGAAATAAACAGCCTTTGGCACAATTACTAACGGGCTTAAATGGAGATAATGAAATTTTCTGGAGTTCAACTGTCTTGTCAGCTTAAATTTCTACCATTGCCTTGTTTACTCCCCTTATCAGTTGCACCAAAACGGGCTATATATTGGGAACCCAATGGCTAGCGATCTTTGCTGCCTCACCAACAGAGCAGAATCTTTGATAGAATTGCTGCGCGGAATGGAGACTTAGATCGAGTTGGGTTTTAATGATACATCCCACTAAAAATGCAGCTATTATCAGGAGCAGTTTTGGTCCGTTGGTAGACTTCTCATCGAAGGAAGTCACACCTCGATTAAACACGCTGGCTTGGCGTGTCTGTCATGTGACCCTTGAGCCAGGGGCTGGCCCAAGCGTCTTTAGGTAGAAAGAATCGCAGTTGAACACTCAATCATAGACAACGATATCAATTTGTTAAGGTTGCCTTATCCCAGATACCTTGGCTTAGGCACCAGCAGAATATTATACTCGTCGACCAAGCTCCCGCTCTTGAGCTCACACCTACGCTTCTCTCGAATACCCCTCCATCTCATACCCCGCCTAGAGAGCCATCAATATGTCCTCAACCGCCGTAATAGGGGACGACGACGTCCTCGAGCCCACCCTTCAGTGCCTCCTAGATCATAAAACCCTTCGATGGATATTTGTTGGTGGAAAGGGTGGAGTCGGTAAAACTACCACGTCATGCTCGCTGGCCATACAACTTTCCAAAGTGCGGAAGTCTGTGCTTCTTATATCCACGGATCCTGCTCACAATTTAAGTGACGCTTTCGGTCAGAAATTTGGCAAGGAAGCTAGACTTGTTGATGGTTATGATAACTTGAGCGCTATGGAGATTGATCCCAATGGGAGCATCCAGGACTTAATGGCTAGCGGAGGTGGTGACGGCAATGACGATGCCATGGGTGGGTTTGGTCTAGGTGGAATGATGCAGGACCTGGCATTTAGTGTAGGTGTCAGTCATGATATCTTTGTATTGAAAAAGCTGCTGATATTTATCCTAGATACCCGGTGTCGACGAAGCGATGTCCTTTGCCGAAGTTCTGAAGCAAGTCAAATCCTTATCGTATGAAGTTATTGTATTTGATACTGCCCCTACCGGCCATACCCTTCGATTCCTACAATTCCCAACTGTCCTCGAAAAGGCCCTTTCCAAGCTGTCACAGCTTTCTGGTCAATTTGGCCCGATGCTTAACTCGGTCCTCGGGGCTCGCGGTGGCCTACCAGGTGGCCAAAACCTTGACGACGTGCTATCAAAAATGGAATCACTTCGGGAAACAATTGCTGAGGTTAACTCTCAGTTTAAGGATGCTGATATGACCACCTTTGTCTGCGTGTGCATTGCTGAGTTCTTGTCCTTGTATGAGACTGAGCGCATGATACAGGAGCTGACAAGCTATCACATTGATACCCATTGCATTGTTGTCAATCAGCTCTTGTTTCCCGGAAAGGACAATGCGTGCCAACAGTGTGGCGCAAGGCGAAAGATGCAGAAAAAGTATTTGAATGAGATCAAGGACTTGTACGAAGATTTCAACGTTGTCAGAATGCCGCTGCTTGTGGAAGAGGTCCGAGGGAGAGAAAAGCTGGAAAAGTATGGTTATCCCGCCCTGTTTTCTAAATTCTATTTGGAAGAAGACTAACTTGTTCGCCTTGTAGTTTCAGTGACATGCTGATCCACCCTTTCCAACCGGCCCATGAGGACTAAAGCGGTGAAATTATAAAATAAACAGAAATTTACACAAGCAAAGGGAAAATATACAGGGCTCGTCACAATCAAAGACGGTGGTAAAAAAAGCATAAGTGTTCCCCCTCCCCATCCGTACATGGTATAGGGGAATATATTATATTTTAATAGAACCTTACCAGTCAATCAATAAATGTTTTTTTTTTCTTCAGACCAATCATTGCGGCCCGCTTATACGTCACAAACTTTAGTGATATCTCCGTTGAGAAAATGAGAGGGCGACGCAATAATCATGAGCCGAACTAGGTGCAACAGGAATTACGCCTTACATAGCACTGTATGGTTATGATGCTGCCCACGAGGGAGCTTGAATGGGGGTTGGGGAAGGGATGGAGGAACGGGGTCACATACTTACATATACCCGCCATGATTGGAATAAGCTCGATCAATACACGCACGCGGCATGCCCTTGAGCTGCGGAGAAGCTGCGTCTCGACGATGCCATAAAACTCTCAAGGGCATTTCCCCGTTATTATCAGGATTCAGCCGGTGGTCATATGCTAGAAATACTGCATGCCTAAGAAGCTTCCTTATTTTTTCTTCATAAACAAGGATAACAATTGGCCTGCAATAGACACAAAGTTGTGCCCCTGCCTGGTTTCTCTTCACAAACCACTGCAACCATGCCTTTCAAGCGAACTGAAAATTCCGGATCCATCCGGAGCCTCCTGAGACGGCTCACGGGGCCCGCCCTATGCATGGCCGGTCAAGAGAGCTTGGGCTGCCTCTGGGAAATACGAAAAGGAGGCGGCACGTACTCCGTACGCTGTATTTGTTGGGAGAGCAAGGGTTTGGTCCATGATGTACGGTCGGTTTGGATCACTACTTGTGGAACTCTGCCTTACGAAATAGCTACGTTGCTTTGTACTTTGTTTTTGTGGCTATGAATGCAATGTGCAGCTGATATTAGCGGAAATAGAGATATGATCTCATTTTGGAGTATTTTACGGAGTAGAGTCCGCATTATCTGGTGGGAACAAAGCAAGCAGCAAGGGTCTTTTTCATATCCCTATTTATGCAATATTAAATGGATCTATAGGGGAAAGAGGAAAATCGGCCGAGATCGACCAAACGCGGTTGACATACCGTGTTGAGAAGGATGGATGCGAACTAGCTATACATAGCCTGTAACGATACTTTCGATGAGCGCGGCTCTATCGACTATCTTTCCACACATCTCAGCTAAATTCCCCTTTAGAAAATGTATCATTCGTAAGGCCAGAGCAAGATATACTCCGTACAAAATGGTCATTCCACGCACTTAGGGCTGTGGGTGGCGAGACCAAGCGCATGTTGACTGAAAGGCAATTTAGCTGGAGATGCTGGAGACCTTTTAGCCCAAGTAGCCCAACAGCCAGTCCCACAGGAGGTTTTGTACCAATGCGATGACGGCATTGGGAACATCAAGGCTGCGTCCATTCACGGCTCCAGGGAAACGAATAGCAGCACCCCTTCCCCCCAGTGCCTGAATGTATCAGTCGCCACTGGCCAGTCCGCTTCATTGGAGCCGCCTGTCAGAATAATTTTCATTATTGCCAATGTCTCTTTTCTTCTCCTGTTTTCCCGCACAACAGGTCTTGCAAGGATGTCTGCCGACTCGCTGGCGCCAAAAAGGGTCTTGGGGCGTCGAGCCTAGCTACTCATGCTGTCCAGTCAACAAAACCTGTACAAAAGAGCAGAGAAAACTTGCGAATCTGGATGCGCCACGACTGGAGCAGGGGCATGCAGCGGTAAATGAATTAGCTGCACACAGCCCACAGCGATCAGAGGCCTGTACGAGTGTGAGTGGATGTGCTGAAGCCTTGTGTGTGCTGCGTGAAGCCTCACTTCGAAGCTGTGGTCGAGAGCAGAGGAAAAGGTCGAGCCCGCAGGGATCAGCTGACCTGGCCGGCCCTTGGCTGACGTAAGAGAATCACCACAGCGAGCGAGACGAAATAGGGGCGCTTTCTCTCCTTTTGGCGCCGGACAACGATATAAGGACGGGAGAGACGCCGTTTTGAGGAAGAAGGGGAAGGAAAAGAAGAAGAAGAAGTAGAAGCACTGCTGCATACGAAGCTGACCGTGTTATGAATGACAACTGGCTTGCTGTTTCCCCTGTTTTGTTTTACTGCTGACCTCCTTCATCTTTTGCAGAAGATGAACCTCTGAGTGTGTTGAACATCCATCCTCAATACACGGTACACTGCACAGCACAACTTCCCCTGCCTGTGACTGAGTCATAGATAGTCTATATCTATACCTTTTGTATCCTGCGTCTGCTTGTATTCTTTTCTTCCGTTGTCTTGTTTTTTTCTCTCTATTTTCTTTTCCTTTCCTCGTGTGTTCTTCGCCGATTTCCCTCATATTAACGTTTCTCAGCTACCGTTTGCTTGATATCACAGCATCCAGTCAAGAAACAGAAAGCAAACAAGGAAAATGTCACAGTCCGAGCAGTACTGGCTACCAGGCTACGAGCTATCTCGACAAGTCATCCTCAGCAATATCCACATCTTCCTCGGCCCAACGGCGTCTGCGAGGCCATATACCTACCATGTATGGAACCTCCAACCTTCCTCTCTCCCGCACCTAATGGATAGATAATCCCTCCGTTTCCACGTTCCCTGACACTGTCATTCTAGGGCCGAGACGGATACCTAGTCACTGGAAACAGACTCACCCAAGTACGTCAAACCCTCTTCCTGCCGGCGTGGCCATGAAGGTTACCCTCTCAGTGGACCAATTTGCCTAATAATGTGACCACAGCAACAAATCGACGACCTAAAGAGTATGTCTAAGAAGTTTGAACTGGACCAGACAATAAAAACAATGCAGCTGTCAAGTAGCTACGAAGAAGCAGGTGACCCAGCCACTCAGCCATCCATCCACAAGCCGGTGCCGGTGTCTATCCCCAGAGGCCGTGAGCGAAACCGAGAGCGGGAACGGGGAAGAGAACATCGTTCTTATGATCGTGGATCACGATCGAGACGATACCGGTGTTGAATACAGCAGGGCGCGGTGATTTTTGGATGTATTCACTTACGTCCGCGGACCTTCTTACTACTGTACAGAAAATACAGTACCAATTTTTGTTTCTCGTGCTGTTTCCTTTTTTTATTTTCTGGATATCCCTTTTGCGTCTTCCTTTCCTCTCCACGGATCGCTACGCTATGGTGTTTGGTGGCTTTCTATTTTTTTTTTACAAGGACAAACTGAAACGATAGACACACTGTTTTGATACGAAGTTGTCAACGAAAATACCAATACGTTGCTCTTCCATATAGGTAGATTCGTTCTATCTGGAGTTTTCATCTCTTATATTTCATATCTTATATATGCTTATAACGGATCAATCAAATCCGAAACGTGCAACAGATATGGCATGAATATCGTTTACCATTGAAACTAAAACGTTAAGAAACCTATGCATAGATAAGAGTATGCAAACCGTGAACACACAACATAGGATCAACTTTAAAAACGCCCACCCAAAACATGTCAATCCGAGCAGCCGTTCCACATGGCGAAAGGATCAGAGGAAAGAAAAGATAGTGTAAAAAGGAAGATGGCGAGAATAGGAGTGTAGGTGTGTCGGCGTCGTGACGAAAAAGAAGATGGGCTTTTTAGATCATTCCTCCGTTCATCGTAAACATTGTTTTGAAAAGAAAAAGGACAACCAAATCACATCTAGTGTCTAGAATTAAATTAAATTTATTTGGCAACAGCCGAGCTAGGGGTCATGTTAGTAAAATCCTAGTAAGGAAAAGGGGATAAGATGAGCTTACCTTAAGACCTGTGTTCGGAAGAAACCTCCTTTTGTCTTCTCGATGACCTGCTGGTAGACTGACTGAGGAGGGTGGTTCATGAGGACAGTTCCTTCTTGGTAATCGATCTTTGCATCAACACGGGTGTCCCTAATCAAATTGACAATCCATTTCTCGCCTTCATTTTGACTTAGGCCAAGGCGAGTGGAGAGATCACTATAGACAGATGGTTAGCATGGAATGTATAAACGTAAAGTGAACTTGGAAGAAACATACTTGATGTCAATTCTCTGGTGGATCTTGCAGTAACTCTCTGATATTAAATGTCTGGCAGATTCGACAAAGGCATCTGCTGCAGCAACGAGGAAGAAGTCACTCCGTAAAACTTCTTCGGCTTCACCAAGTTTCTTTTGAGCCTCCTCAAAGTCGAAATCAATGTAGAGAGCCTTGACGAACTCGGTGATGGGATCTTGATATTCGTATTCTTCCTGTCGAACAACACGGATAAGATCCTTGAGTTGCTTCTGGTAGAGAGCAGAGTTCTTGTGGGCGCGGCTCCGGTTGGTGATGACGGCGGCAGTGAGGTAACGGAGGATCCAGGGACAGGCGGTTTGTATGGTGTTGATATAGGCGGGGTGGAAGAACATATCTGTGAGCACATCACGGGCGGGCTCGTGGTTGAAGAATGGGAATAGAGACCAGTGGATAAGCCACGAACGGTGCTGGAGCTGACTAAGTGGGTTGTTAAAAAGACGGGTATCAATCGAGTCCTTAACCTTGGTGATTTCCTCCATGGCACCCTCCCAGTTGGTGGTCAGGATTTCACAGGCGAGTTTTCCCCACGTAGCGGCGGCAACCTTGTCGTTATCGGTGGAGAGGACACGGAATTGGTATAGAAGTTCAGCAGCATTACCGTAGCTGCCACAGCTGTACTGGAATCGACCAAAGTCGTAGAGTGTGTTGACCATCTCAATGGTGGCCCCGTGCTGCTCCTCCAAGAATTTCAAGTTGGCGGCCTTATCACTGCGCAGGTTGCCCACTACAGCATCATCCTGTAGCAGCTCTGTGATCTTGCTGCTTGCATCGACGTAATGCTGCAGCTTCTGCACGACCTCTTCTCTCTTGGTGACAAACTCCTCTGGTACGGTATCCGAGTCGTTGATTTCCTGCCACAGACTGGCAATGTAGTCCGCCATGTTGGTTTGCTTGAGGAGCTCATACTTCGACTTTGTGATCTGGTTGATGGCCTCCTCGTCCTCTTCCTGATTTGACGCAAACTCCAGCAGCGGGAAGATGAGCTGACGGTCGAGATATGGAATGAGCTTAGGGAGCAAATCGTGTCTTTTGGCCACCTCGTCGGCGGTAGCTGCAGACTGCGCGGCATCCTTGAGCAGCGTGCTGGCTGACGTCGGGGCGTTGTCTGCCATGGTCACGGTGTCTCTCTCTTGCAATGACCAGTCGGGGGAGGGTTTCTTCGTGAAGTTTTCCTTCGTAGTCTGTCTCTCCGTCGTTCGTCCGGCGTCGTCTATCGTCGTCTACCTTCGTCGTCTTCGTCCCGCCAAAAAATAAATCGAACTTTTCGACGGTTTTTTTTCTTGTGTGGTGGAAGAAGACGCGCTAGTGCCATATCAGGTTAAGCGCAGTAAGCATCGGATGACTTCGACTTTTCCATATAGAAAAAAAAAGCGAAAAAGAACAGGAAAAACCGACGTCGAGATTGAAGCAGAAGCAGAAGCAGTCAAGAAGCAGAAGAGAGAGGAGCTCTTTCGCCTGACAGAGTTATCTGGGTGATATAGAGGAGAAGCTCGGATTAGCCAGACGGACGAGAGACACTCGGCCGGCTTTTCACCAGCTTCAACAGCTTTTCGAGCACCAAGTAGCAACTTCACATCTATCAATCAATATGGCCTCCATACTTCCTGCCCAGCGGTCGACAGTCCAATGCCTCCAGCGCAGCTTTACTTCTCCGGCCTCGTTTAACAGCATGCTACGAACATCTGTCTCACAGTCGAGAAGCTCGCGTAAGTTCGAGACCCATTCTCGCGTGCCTCCAATTGAGCAATCTATACCACTACAGCATATCAACCAAATCACCCATAACCGGTAATGGCAGCACCCGTTAACGTATTTGACACAGTATTATATTCATTCCCCACTACTTCTTCCCGCACAATCGTCACACGCATTGCTCGGCCGTTCACTGCTCCCAAATCTACACGCAGCCAAGGCAGCTTGCAGCCTCAGCAGTCCGCTCCCGTAGAACAAGCCGATCCTCTTCCACTCACTAATCTACCATATTTCATCCGTCGAACCCCTTCGAACCAACTGCCCATTTATCTCGTTACGAAAGCAGGCGGAACAAAGCAAGAGACTCGAGTCCGTAAGACGGAAGGAGACCTTAATGCTCTTCGCGACGATTTGGTGAAATACCTTGGTCTCGAAGCTAAGCCGTCAGATGTATATATCAACCAGACAAACGGACACATTACAATAAAGGTATGCTAGCTCTCCATTGATACCATTGACAGGATTATATCTAACGGGGTTGGTTTGTTCCGCAGGGATGGCGAAAGCCAGAAGTTATGCAATTCCTACTTGATCGACGATTCTGAACGAGAAAAAATCTCCTCTTTCTCCTGTCCAAGATGTATTATTTCATACCACTTCGTCTTTAAAACGGCGTTTAGCGACATTTGATTTTTGATTCCCTATTCTCTGCATATTCCACCTCCCCAGCTAGTCCTGATAATGCTTCTGTCTTTATCGTTTTCTCTCCCTCTCCGCTTCACACTTAGCTTGGCTTGGTATGGCTTGGTTGGTGATTCATTTTTTTGGGCAAGTCGTTATTGGGGGGGTTTCTTCGCGTGTTTCTGTCTCTCATTTGAAAAGCTACGGACAGTTGTATAGTATGCATGTGTGTATGGTATTGTTAACTTGCTTTATGTACTTACGTGCATACGTACTATAGCTGTGCGCTATTGAATAGGGTCTACTCTGCTCGCCAAAGTCAAGTTCAAGAAAAGGAAGCTGTATAAGACCGGCTCGTTGACGAGTAGATAGATGAGTTTCGATTAAGCCATTCGAAAAACATGGTTAGGGGGTTACCTTCACCCAAACGCCCTGCATAAGATAGGTAGCCGCGATATACATGCAACAAGAAACAGGTAGATAAATAGACAAAAAAATGCGTAGAAAGCAATTGTTTGATGATATGGCACGTTTGTATTTTGCATGCATGCATACGTGCTTGCTTGCTTTCTTCCTTCCAGTGCTTTTTAATGTTTCTCAACTCCTCCCATACCATACATAGATACATACATACAATTCCCTCCTCGTCCAAAAATTCAATCTGAAAACATCATCGTCCCTCCCAATGAGCTGAGCTGGTTCATGGATATGGATTGGTAAACCAAATTCCCAACAATAAAAGGAAAGGTGACGGAGAAAGATGGAGACAAAAAAAGTAGACGAAAGAAGAGAAGAATGGAAATAAAAGGTGAAACGGAAAAAATATAACGTAGTTCAAAACGAGAGTCGATAGAGTGTCGGGAAAAAGGTGGTTGGTTGGATGGAAAAGATTTAATGGTAGCCGGCCGCCTTCCTTTATTTCCACACATTGCTCCAGATGCAAAGAAAAGCTGTGGGTTGGCATGATAGGTGCCATTTGCCTAGCTTGATACAGTGATGGCTAGATCTTGGTTGGTAACTTGGCAGTTATCCCGATAACCCTTCGTACTCGCACAGTAATTTGAGCGTGCTTGGGTCGATGGCTCTTGAAACCAACGCGCCCAGTATGTTCTCCTTCTTAGGCAGGACGTTGAACCCCACGTCTATACCGCCCTGTTTGCCTTTATTTGCCTTTCGTACCTTTGAGCCAAGTCTGTTAAGTATGCCAAGTGCACGAGAGACGATGGTATAGTAACCCTGTGCATCATCCTGCCTGGCACCGAGAGCATTGGGATGTTGAGGGATAGACTGACGAGGTCGCTCCGCACTCAGTAGGCCAGCAAGGTGGACGAGACTGATGGCGAATCCATCGTGGGAACCCAGCCAGGCGCGAGCAAATGAAGCATCGGCCAGAGATGACAGTACTTCTGCGGCTAGAAGGCCTTGCATGAGGAATGGCTTGCGGGCTTCCGTTATATGTAAAACGTTCCCCTTTGAGTACTCTGGTATTATGGAGATGGCAAGAGAAAACGCGCGTGTTAGGAGGTATGTTGATATATGCGCGCCAGCCGTGGATGCATTAACAGAAGGATCGGAGAAGATGGACTTGTAGAGGGTACGGTTGGGGTCATCACGGGCTAACAGCTTAGCTAAACTGTCGACTGCTGCTGGCAAGTAACGGTGGATGCTGGGCTGGTAAGGAGCAAAGATAAGAGGTTCGTCGTCTGATGTCGACGCAGAAATTGAGGGTGCGAATGAAAGAAGGAAATTGAGCAGTGCCAGGGCCTCGTCCTTGCCTGGTATATGTATGGCATGTGCGAGGTTGCTGAGGAAGATGAGAACGTCTTTCATGAAGTCTAGGGTATTTTGATGTGTGCGAAGGAAAAGATGCCTGGTGCCCATATATCGAATGGCAAGAGCAAGGAAACGAACAACGCTTGGGGCAGAGAGGAGAGGGAAATTTGACTCCGAGAAGCTGAAGTTGCGCAATATGGTGGTAATACAGATAAGACGGTCGACTGCTCTATCGAGAGAGTGTTCTAGACTGCCGAAAGGTGGAACATCAAGTAATGATTCAATTTCCTGACGGCATCCGCGTAGCAGTTCCTCGTACGAAGCCAGCTGTATCTCGTCTGATACTTCCGGCGAGTGTTCCGCGAGCAATTCGAGGTGATCTGTTGCTGTATCGAGGATCGTCGGTAGTAGATCGTCACAGTTTTCGAGAGAAAGATGGATGGCTGGTTCGGCGGAAAGGGTGGTTAACGTGTCTAGAGCCAGACGAGTTTCGGAGATGAGACCAGATTTGAGGCTCATCGTTAGGGCATGAATATCGATTACGCCTAGCTCATGGAATCGAGGGACGGTAGGCTTGAGACGGAGGAGATCATCACCTAAGGGAAACAGCTCGTCGACTATGACGGGACCGTGGAAAACAGGCTCGGGGAAGGTCAGGGGTGTGTACTCGGCCGGGATGGGTTGTTTGAAGGTGTAAGTTGGCGGAGCGAAGGCGTCTTCTTTCACGGAGGGAGAGGCTATGCTCTGGCCATTGGGGGACATGGACAGAGACTCTGCGTGGCTCAGGCCAGAGTGTTGCTGTAGCTTGGGCTTGCTTGGTGTTGAGTAGCCATTCAGAGCCTGAGGGGGCTGCTGCTGCATCGACGGCTGCATGAATCCCTGTGCTGGCGGCTGTGATTGAACCTGGGGATCGAAATGGCTGTTCATTGGTTTGACAGGAGACATCATGTCATTCTGAGGTTGCATTGGCATTTGCATCTGCGGCTGCGGTTGCGGCTGGTCCCCTGGTTTCTGGTGTGTAGAGAGCCAGGCCTGCTCATAAGCGGCGAGATTACGATAGTACTGATCCCGTATCTCTCGTGCAGCTGTGGGGTACTGCATAGCGGGAAAATGCAGCTGTTGAGCGACGATCGGCCAGGAGTTGGTGTTGGTAACCTTTTGGGAACCACCTAATTTCATGACAGTCGCGTAGAGCTGCATAAGCACAATGGGCCGTCCGCACACGAGAGGAGAAGGGTCTAGTGGTAGTCGTCGCGGAATCATGAACTTCTGTAGCACGCGAAGGAATCCTTCTGGTGTTGTAGGTTTGGCCATGGCCTGCGCTTGAGCCTGAGCCTGAGCCTGTTGCTGAGCTACAACCTGGGCCTGTTGTTGAGCTGCCTGGACGGCCTGCTGCTGTGCGGCATGTTGTTGTGCCTGTTGTGCTGCCTGCTGCTGTTGTATGTGGCGCATAGCGGCCATCTGGCTCTGCTGTTGGCTTGACATTGGTTGACCTGGCATCGGTGGAGGTACCTGCTGCTGTTGTTGTTGCTGCTGTACTTGCTGCTGCTGCTGCTGGCGCACTTGATTAGCCATGTGCATCTGATACATCTGCTGACGCGCAGCCATCTGTTGGGCATGCGTGGCATAGCCAGGCATCATGGTTGGGTTCTGGTTTGGGTTCTGCTGGACCTGGCCTGGATATGGCGGGCCTGGAGGGTAAGAAGTAGGAGCTTGAGGGGTGGCAACACGGCTCCCGTGGTCTGACGACGGCTGGCCGGGCTGAACGGCAGCATTAGGGAAAGGGGAAGGAGAGCTAGTTTGTACTCTCTGCGCATCAAACTCCTGCGGTACTGGGGACGGACTAGCCGTCGAAGACGCCGGCTGCTGAAAACCTGGGTGAAAGGCGGCAGCAGGGCCACCAGGAGCAGCACCAGGCGCAGGAGGGAAGTGAGAAGCCCCATTAGTATTAACAACAGCCGCTCCGCCAGCTACAGGAGTTTGCTGTTGTTGTTGTTGCTGCTGCTGTTGTTGTTGTTGTGGTTGTTGATAGCCTGGATAGGCGCCATGTTGGGGCGTCTGGGAGCGCGAGACGGCAGCTGGAGGAATCCCGCCCTGTACCTGACGAGGGGACGAGACGAGAAAGCCGTCATCTGGCCGCGGCCGTTTAGACGGGACGACGGAGTTTGGCGGGTGGAATCCAGGGGACATGCGCGATGCCGGAGATGGCGTTGCGCCATTGAACATGCGCGTAAACTGGGGAGTGTCCGATGGGACGGGAGACTGAGACTGCGGCTGTGACTGAGGCGGCTGCTGTTGCTGCTGTTGCGATTGAGGCTGCAGAAAGGCCATGGCGGGATCTATGGTGGCCGGCGCGGGTGGAGGAGGATGGGGAGGAGGGTTGGCGAACGCGGTCCCGTTTCCATGGCCATTGACGTTGGGGTTGCCTGCGCCGGGGTCAAGGGGCGATGGAATGGCGGGCGGCGTATCGTGGAGCCAGGCGTTCATGGCGAGTTAGACACCCATCCGACTGTGCCGTCCGGATGGCTGTGGGAAGCTCCCCCGGTCTCTACCTGTTTGCGTGTGTTGATGATGCGGTTTCTGGGGACCCGTAGCAGGAGAATTCCAGGGTCAAGGCCGATCCAGCAGGTGAGACAACAGCAGAGAACGCGTGCACCAGGTCCGACGGCCCTCAGCTGGCTGTCCAGCGACGTGACAGTGCGGGTGCTGTTGGCAGGGAGTGCAGGCAGGGCGAGAGTTGAGGTCGCGAAATGCCGCGTCTGGCGTTTGCTTCTTTGCGCTTCGATGAAATCTTGTTTCGCCTTTTTTTTTTCTCTTGTGGATGTTTCTGCAGTTTCCCAAAGGGGGAGGGCGGTGAGAGCGTCACGTGGTCTGGGATGAGTCAGCAGGAGAGGAAAAGCGCAGCAGGAGGAGTGAGGAATGAGGCGAGGGAAGTCGGCAGGGGGAGAGCAAAGGGAGAGGCAGAGCCGGGCGAGGGCAGGGCAGGAAGGACAGTAGGGGGCCCAGCAGAGGCAGCAGAGGGAGGATCCAGAGATCGCCAGCGCGAGAGACGTGAAGACGGAGGGAAGACAGGCTAAGCGCCAGCCGCGAGTGAAGGGGCGTCACCGTCACGTCTGGCGGCATATCAGGATCGGGGCGGGTAGGGAAGAGGCTGAAAAAAAGGGGGGGCCAGACATGCTGACTTACGCCTTGACTAACGCTACCTTGACTGCTGCTGCTGCGCTTCCAGGGCCGGACAAGGCAGCAGACGGAGCGGACGGCGAGTAGGAGAAAAGAGCGTCGTGTTAGGGGACGGACGGGACGGGCGGAGCATGCATGGAGTTCCCAACCTCTACTCTGTTACGCCGTACGCCTAGCTGGACAGACGTGACATCGGTGCAAGAGCTGCAAGAGATGAAACGTACGCGCCGTGCAGAGAGATGCGTCTATAATGCTTGGTCGCGAGCCGCTCTCTTTCTCTTCGCTTTCTCCCTCTTGTCTCTCTCTGTCTCTTGCGTTTTGCTTCTTTCTCGCTGGCCTTTGCTTATTAATACTAACTACTGTGTTCACGTGATACGTTTCAGCTTGAAGGGGACAACCGGACTTCAGGGGAAATTTGATGGTAGCTCATTATTTTAAGAGGCAGTTGGCCAACGATGTACACGGAGATGGCGAGAAGAGGTAGGGTGCGTAAAGAGTCGTGGTGTGGTCGGAGAATATCTGTCTGTTCGGCGGCGACTGGTAGAAATATTTTGTCAGGGTCTTCTCGATGTGGTGCTAACATCTTCTAAACGGCACAGCGATGACAAGCCTGAGCAACTTGGAGGAGTTTTCAATGATATTCTTTTACAGGTAGTTAGCTGATAAGTTAACTAATGGTTAATGATATAAAGGCTATACAACACCACTTCTCCCTTGAGGTCAATCCCTCTAGCATTGTCAGACAAACACTGCAACTCCTGCAATACCTCTAGGATGATCCATTCAAAATGGCGATTCTATTTCGAGTCAGGCCTTGATGACCTGGTGGACATGAAGTGGACTATCCTAGACTGGGATACTCGCAGATGGCTGCAACTCGTCGGCCCTTCAGAACTACTCAGCGGAGATGATATTGAAGAGCATATAAAAATCGCAGCCCGATACGCAGACCAGCTTGGTCCGGACAACCACACCATAGTTGTTAATAAGGACGGGGCCTTGGAAAAGTTCACCAGCGAAGATGTTACGATAGAAGTTCGATACCCCAAGTACACTGGGCCTATGGACAAACATCAAGTTATACATAGGTCAGAACTTACTGAACTTGACAGGCTCAATGTTGGCACCGATTTGGTGGAGTACAACTCTTTCGATGGCGAGACGACAGGGAGCGCGTCGTCTTCAAATATATACTCGTCAACAAGCGTCTCTTGAATATGTGGCTTGATCTACATATCCTCAAAGGATGATCTCTTTGTCTCGTTCCACCGCATCGTTATCGACGACGTTAATGGGACCATCTTCGGGTTTACATCGATATACGTATATGGCAGCACTCTTAAGGATTACCGCGGCACTTTCTACTTTCATTGGTTGAAGCAAATTACCGATGCAATCGATCAGTTGAATTTACGCTATGGGATTTTGCACCAGGACCTTGCCTCTCGGAACATTTAATTGACCCTACCACGCACGATTTGAAGATCTTTGACTTTGATAGGTCGGCAAAGGTGGGTGGACAGAGCTGGTTGAGTGCTGCCAATGACGTCGACGCCGCCATTATCACAGCGTATGAGGCACTAACTGGAGACGAACGATTTGTCGGTATACAGCCCGATGAACGAGACACTGGCAATATTGAAAATATGGAAGAGCGGACCCTACAGCTTCCTCTTGAGAATGGATTTGATATCTCGGACTACAGGAAGTATTTGAGTGACTGGGCAGCCGTACGCCTGACCACGAAGACGATCAGGCATCTTTCTGAAGCGACTGAGCCGTTAGCATTACCGGAGTACCCCAAACTTGAACCTCTCATACCGCGTAGCGAATTCAGAGATTATGACGTGTACACGCGGTCGAGAGTCGATGCAGAGCAGGCAGGGGACTACGTTACGCGCTGGGAGAGGCCAGCGCAACACGAGTTAGCAAGGGCTAATTGAACCGAGCTTGCCTTGCTTTAATATCTCTTTGCAATCTTAGATTCTCATTCATTTTTTTGTCATGGTAAAGATAGAGATAGTATGATGCATTGCTAAGTAAACCGCCAACTGTGTCTATTAAACCATGGTATCTTCGTCTCGCTATGCAATTCTATTTTTTGTAACCGTGATAATCATACACATTCATTTCGTTGTTTTTTGCTCCAATATCGTAGACACCCAATAACCATCCGAAGCAAGAGCAGCAGCGGTGGGTAGTCATTCCGAATCATCCATTCATTCATTCATCTCATTAAGCAGAGGGAGCGTCTCCATCGTGCTGTACATCCATCGTCTCCATTTTCTGCTCCATCTCTCGCTCTTCACGTGCAACTTCTTCCTCCCAGTCTTCGACTACGTCTTCTTCAGCATGGCCATCAGGCTCAGCATCAGCATCAGCATCAACCATTCCCAAGGCGCCAAATCGCGAGGTAGAGCCAACGTTTCGCCCGGATCCGATACCGCTGCGCAGAACCAGCTTCCCCTTCGAGTCTTTGGGCGTGGTACCTCCAAACCCATAATGAGAAGGTTCAGCAGGGCTGCTGCTTGTTCCCGGGCGCTTTCTCGATACAACTTGTGCCCATCCGTCATTGGCACTGGCGGAAGCTGCCTCTCTAATGGCGGTTTCGAGCCTAGCGCGTTCAGCGGCTGCTTCTCGTTTGGCAGCTCTTTCCTTTAGTCGTTCTCTGTCACGGAACTTGGCGCAGTCGGCTACGCTGATTCCTCGGATACCTACTCCCGGCCCGGCGAGGGAGGGAGGCAACCAACCGCCAGATTTAAAGACGACGACGTGTCTATGGGGCTCTGGGTCGAGGCTCTCGGATTTGAAGCCCCAGTCTTCTGCAAGCGAGTGGATGAAGGCGCGGAAATTGGCGCGAGCAGGTGGGAAGCGAGTTGAACGGTCTGTCATGCTGAGCGCCAGTTCGTAGAGCTTGGATTCGTAGGTTTCCATTGTCGAGAGGGAGGAAGACGAGGCCAGTTCCATGTACAAGTCGAGGGTTTCCTTGGAGTAAGGGAGGTTCTCGAGAGTGAGTGGCTCAGATGCAGCTGTGGTGACGGATGGATCGACCTCAAGTCCAAAGGCAGAGGCAATGGTGCGATTACGCTGGATTCGACCACACTCTTCGTCACAGGGAAGAGAAGACGGAGCTTCTTGTCCCTGGCGATCCTTATCCTTGGTTGCACCGCAGCGTTTTTCCTGCTTAATCCGTCCACACTGGCATGTAATTATAATCTTTGACTGGCATGGGGTCTTCTCTGGACATGGGAATGGCGCATGGCATGGCTCAGTGCAGATATGAGAGCACTGCTTCTTGATCTTTCCGCACTGCTGTTGGCAACTGGTTACCGAGTCTTCACAGTCACCAGGGCGATGACACTCCTTCTTGCACGTATGGGAGCCACACTGGAGTTCCTGGCCGCAAATAAGCCCGCATCTACCATCAACCAACCAACAAGGCTGATTCTTGAGCACCTTCTTCCCGCATAGACATTTCTTTTCCGTCAAAAATGGACACTTTGGACAAGGCTCATCGTCTGTGTGGCAGTTATGTGGGGTCTGGGGGTGGCCGCATCGTTTGGATCGGCCACAGTTGAAGTTGCAAGCAGGCGGTCCTGTTCCGCAGGGTAAAGGAGGATAGAGAACAGATCTGCCACAGTTACAGGTAACTTCGTGGAATATAGCCTCTGGACATCTGGCACAGGGGCCTCGATGACATAGCTCCTGGCACTCATGGGTACCACACTTGAGAAGTCTCCCGCACACTCGCGTGCAGATATGCTCTGCCTCAATGTCGGTTTCATCAGTCTGTCGAACATTCATGGACTTGAGCTTCTTCTTAGTAGCGAGGCGTTCTATAGCTTTGCGTTCGCCAGTGCAGCAATGTTCACCACAGGCATGTCTCCCGCAATTCAGCGTAGCCTTGCACACGCGCATACACGAAGGAGCTTCTGTCTTGCCCTGGTGGCAGAGTGTTTTTGCCGTAGTTCGTCCACACATACAAGAGACTTCCGTGGTCAGGTAACATGGTGGGCAGTGGCCAGTGTGGCATGGCTTCGGACAAGCATGGCCACATCTCAGGGGTTTATCACAACTCTTCTGGCAGTTGGGGATTGGATCCGTACAAGCCTCGCGTGGTTCGACATCCATACCGGCAAGCTTGGTCTTCCCACAGGCGCAGTGGGAGATCGTATCGGGGGCTGTAGGGCAGTGGGAAGGGAGGGCGTCCTGTGGATGACAGGATTTTTCACAGTGATGGATTCCACAATCATATAGTCTGCCACAAACATCCGGACAGGTGAAAGAACCTGTCCAGGTTTCTTCCTGATTCCGGGACTCTCTTTCTTCTTCCGTGACACTGCACAGTATCTGACTAGTAACTTTGCCGCAGTAACATCTTGCTGGAACTAGCTCTTCACACTCTCCACAAAGGCCTTCATGGCATGCGCGTTGGCAGGTGTGTTGTAGACATGGAAGAAGCTCTTCACAGGTCTCTTTACAGCTCCAACCAGCAACGTAGTCTGTGTCTACACATTTCTTCTGGGTCTCATGTCTTCCGCAGTAGCAGCTTTGTACGGGGCCCATAGCCTGACAAGGGGCACAGGGGCCAGCATGACAAACTGAATCACAAGGGTGAGGACATCCTTCCCTTGATCTAGAGCATGACTGGCCACATGAATGGGGTGGCAGGCCAGGAACAGATCTGATATCCATCTCCTTCTCACACCAACAAGTATACCCTGATGGAAGAGTGTCCTGAGGCAGGTTACAGCCGGGACATCTCCACTGGCGAGCAGGTGGAAGCTCAGAGTCATCTTGTTGCTCCTGGTCTCGCGGTCTTGTATGCGCGGATCCCTCGTTAGTCGACCATTTCTTGATGCAGTGGAGGTGGAAGACAGTCCAGCACTGTCTGCAGGACCAGACCTTTGATCTGGGGCCAAGCTCAGACGTGCATATGGGACATTCATATAGGTTGTTTGAGATATCCTCGTGGATCCGCGTGGTGATGTTATCCGCAACCGACTTTGTGAGAGGCTTGGTAGGTTTCTTCGGGTGCTGCCGTCGAGGCTGTTTCGAAGGGGAAGAGGATTCAGGCGGATGAGGGGACTTATGAGGCTGTCCGGGCACAAATACCGACGCATCAGGCCGCAGGGAAGAAGACTCAGCTGCGTCACTGTGTTTCTGATCCTGGGACGTGCCGTTGGTGTTTGGTCTCGAGGACGACGGCTCGTTTGGCTGTGTTAACCTGCCACGAAACGTCCTTGTCGTGACTACTTCTGACCGGCCGGCGTGAGCGGCGCCTCTTCCTCTCCCTCTCCCTCTCCCTCTGCCTCGTCCTCCTCTCGATCTCTGTTGCTGTTCGTGTGGTTGATCTTGTGTCAGTTGCTGCGTCGGTTGCTGCTGCGGTTGCGCCGCTGTCCCATTCACATCTGTATGCGCATCGCCTCTTCCTCTTCCTCGACGATGGGATACTCTGCCTCTTCCGCCCCTATGGCTTCTCTGAGGCCTTGACTGACTCTGAGCCACCGAAGCCGAAGCTGCTGCTGCTGTGGGCGCGGGGGCGTCTACCGACGACGCCATGCTGGGTTGTGTAGCACTGCCGCCACCAGACAGAGAAGATGCGATATCCAGCGTGAATCAAAGGACAACAGAAATACCGAGAAGATACAGTGTCTTCTTCTTGTCCTCTTTCCTGGCTTGAGATTCTTTTCTTTTATAACAAAGCGAGGCTCGACCTTTAACTCCGGTGGATGCTGGACTTTTTATGTATAGACAAGGAATAAAGTGAGAGACGATGAATAGTTAAGAAAAGCCGCTAAAGAACAGAAAGAAGAATCAGAATAATTGACAAGAAAGAAGAATAATAGAAACAAGAAGAGCCTGAAGAACGGCAGCTTTTTTATATGCACAGCTTTTTTATATAACTAGAAGAAGATTCGGAATTCTGTGACGAAATTTAGAAATGTTTGATTTTCTTTGCTTTTTCTTCTTGCTTTTTATGTGGAGAATCTCGAGTCATCGTTGAGTCACTGAATATACGAGATGAAGAAGACGAGGAAGCAGGTGAAGATGGACGGTAAAAGGAGATTATATTAAGAGGTCAAGACGCTCATGCTAGGGGAAAGTGTCGAATACATGGATCATTAGCTGGTAAGGTAAGTAAGGTAGGAAAGAAATAGACAGGAGATATCGAGATCACGGCAGGAAAAGGACCATCTCGCCGTTATCGTTGCGCTTGACTCGCAGCGTCCGCCAAAGCTGCTGCTCTTCCTCCTCCTTCCGCTCCTTCTCTTCAGCGCGGCTGCGTCCCCTGCCTCGCCTGCTGCCTCGCGAGCTCTCTTTGCCGTCCTTGTCCTTGGACTCGGGCGAGCCAGAGCGGGACGGGGACTCGAGACGGTGGTAGCGCTTCAGGATCTTGTGGACAGAGCATCCACGCTCGCTGTCCGGGCCCTTGTTGACCAAGGACAAGAAGACGCTGGCCTTTTCGACGCGCAGGGTCTCTTCGAACTCGCTGTCGTGGCCTGGCTGGGCGCCGTTCTTGAACAGGATCATCTGGCTGTTGTCCGTCTTGCTGCGTTTGGAGGCCCCGTCGTCAGAGTCCGTAGGGCGTTTGTACTCGATGGCCTTCAGCTTGCGCTGGTGATCCTTCTCGGGCCGTTCCGAGTCGGAGTCTTCAGCCCCGTTCCCGTTGCCGTTGCCGTTCCTTGTGCTGGCACCGCTGACCTTGCGTCTGCTGCTGCCCACCTCGGACAGCTGGCGTGTCTTTGGCCGTTTGGTCTTCTTGGTCTGCGCCAGCTCGCGTGACGTAGAAGACGGTGCAGGTGCGGGTGCAGGTGCAGATGCAGGAGCGCCGGCTGCACTCGACCCCTCCGAGGTGCGTCTCTTGGTGCGCACAAGTGCCTTAGTTGCCGGGTCGATAGTGGCGCCAGCGCCGAGCATGGAGATGAGCTTTCCTGCCGTGCGACCCTGTCCCTTCATCGATATTCCCAGTCCGTTTTCTCCAGATCCAACGGGCTCCTTGGTGCGTTTGCTACGCTTGATGGGGGAGTTGGGTTCGCCGTGGCCACGCGAGTGGTCGCTGCGGTACTCGTCAGTGTAGTCCGGAGAAGCAGAGTAACGCATCATACGGCTGAGGTTGCCGGTCAAGCCTGAATGCAGGATTGGAGGTGGTCGATCGTGATAGGCAGTATGACCAGCTGCAGAGGCGTCCATCATGGGAGTGTCGGCCTCGTAGTCATAGCTTCCTCCTCCTCCTGGAGTAGTTAGGTTGGGGTCAGAAGGGCCGGCCTGTCCACGTTTCCGTTTCTTGTCACTCGAGGTGAGACTCATGTTGCTGTCTGTCCGGTGACGCTCGAGCGAAGGAGGGGGACGATTCATGTTGATTCTTGCGTTGCGGTCGTTGAGCCACTGCTGCCGTTCTTGCTCCCACTTCTGCGCAGGCGTCCTGAACTCGTTTGATGCAGTGGAGAGGCCGGAGTCGTGTCTGTACGGCGGCGCAGGCGGGATGGGACCTGCTCCGTACGAGAAGCCATTCTCCTCGTACGCAACATCGTAGCCCGCGTCCTCCTCGTCTCTGTCGCCGTCTATCCGGGCAAGCTGCTTTGGCGAGTCGAAGATCGGGGGAGCGTGTTCCACCATGGTCATCGACTCGTTGAGGTTCGTCCTGGAGGCGTTGGGCGTAGTCGACTCATCGAGGAAGTCGAACACATCGATCTTCTCAGACCTTGGTTTAGCCACGGTGGTGTCGGTGTTTTTAAACGGCGGAGGACTGGGTGCTGGCGGCGGTGCGCCGTTGAAGTTGTCGTCTGCATCGGGCGCGTCCTCGACGTACGGGTTGAGCGACTTGACAACTGCGTCCTCAGCTATGGTGACAGCTTTCTTCTTCGTGTTCTTCGCTGGCTTCTCTTTATATAGTGCTCCCTGATACTTTTGCGCCTCCGTCATGCATGACTGTCCAGCCTGTTAGCTTTTATTCTTTTATCGTTTTGTCTTTTCGCTGCTGTCTTTCTCTCCTGATGTGAGGCGGCCAATGGGGGGGATTGTATGGCAGGGCAGCATCATCCCGAAAGGAATAAAAGAGACAGACAAGCCCGGCAAGAGACGTACGGTGTGAGATCGATACTCAGTGCCCTGGAAATGGACCATGCAGTCCAGGCACGAGAAGGAGGCGCCGCGACACTGGCCGCGGTGGGAGTCGAGTTTCTTCTTCGTGAGCACATCTCCACAGTTCTATGAAGGCAGCGCAGCGTTTAGTCGACCGTCGGCGCAAAGGGACAGCGAGACAAGCAAAGGACAACTCACCTCGCATTGGAACGAGACCATCGCTGCGTGCCTTTCTGGCCAGTCAAGGTATGTCTTGTATATTAATTAATACGGGGAGCGGCGGTTAGACGCTGGCGCTGGCGATGCGCTGTTGGATGCGATGCGATGCGCTGGAAGAAGGACGAAGATAAGCCTGATAAGAGGAAGAAGAGTTTATAAGAAGAGCCGCCTCCTTTCTCTCTCTCTCTGTCTTCTCCCTCTTTCTGCCTGCCTGCCTGCCTGCCTTTTCTTCTTCTTCTTCTTCTTTTCTTCGTCTGCTGCTTCGTTGCTTTTTCTTCGTTTTTGCTTGTTTGCGCGAGCCTCGCGAAGAAAAAGTTTTTGCAGCCTAAAAAGGTGGATTCGGGTAGGCGAAAAGGCTGACTATATTTAGCACGAAGATGAAGATGAAGAAGACGAGATGATGAAGATGATGAAGGCCAGTCAGGATATACTAAGAGTGCGCCGACAGAGGGAGAGATGCTGCGATGCGCGCGCTGTGCATGACCTGAAACCGTTGCGGTGCTGCTTGCCGCCGGCCTTGCATACAGGAGAGATCGAAATCGAGAGCAACGTTAGGGCTTGGAAAGATATTTATATGCACGTACGGAGCACACGGAGCAGATCGAGACACAACTACAGTATAGACAGTATATATGTAGGCAGGTAGGTAGATGGCATAGATGGCATAGATGGTGTAGATAGCTATAGGCAAACGAGCTATACGACTGGCTCGCCCTCCTGACCCCCTATCCCATGATCACCAAAGCCTAATGCGCAGCACCAGACACCCTCCTATGCGCCGTCTTACATCCTGCTGCGCTCCTGCTGCTGGATACTGATGACTACGGACATGCATCCCGTAAGCGGAAGCGAGGTCTGATGGCCACAGGTGGTGCCTGGTTTCAAGAAACAGCAGAGTTAACTTAAGACGCTCCATGTCCATGGGATATAACCATACTCCATACATGCTTTCTTTCTATATCACATCCTTAATATACACAAGAAAAGAAGAAACATAAAATAAAATAAATGATGAAAAATAAAGAATAAAGAATAAGTAGTAATAACGCCGGCTGAGATGTCATGGTCACTCGTCACTTTCGCAGTTGTCCACGGGATGGCTGTGGCAATGGAAGATACGGGATGGGGTAGGGGGGGATATATGAGAGTGTATATATATAAAACAAGTAATCACGGCGCTTTGAGATCACCCATTCGTGCGTCTGCAGGAGATCACTCGCGGAGTTAGAGACGTCCTTCTTCCAAGAGAGAATGAGAATAAGAGGGAAGAGAGTAAGCATGCTTACGGCTCATCCTTTATTTCCACCGGGCCGCCAGGGAACGGGCCGTTTGCGTCTCCCCAGAGCATCTTCTTCGGTTTATCGGACATGCTGCCGTCCGCCTGCGCCTTGACGCCGCCTTTGCTCTGCTCCTTCGTCTGGTCACCACCCTTCTTCTTGCCGTCCTTGCCATCGCCGCAGCCACAGTCATAGAACTCGCCGATCTTGGTGCAGTCGAAAAGCTCCTTTTTTAGTCGTCGGTTGACCTCGTTGTGGACCAGGCAGCCCCAGCCTGCTGCGGCGTTCCGTGACGAGGTTTGTGGAGGATACTTCTCCAGCAACTTGACAAAGTGTTTTGCGCAGTCACCACTACATGTTACAGCTTGCTGTTAGCCATCTATTGCCTTTTTCCTCCCGAACTTAGAGGTAGGTCACTGCCGCCAAGCTCAAAGTTCAAAGTTCCCAACATACCATGGGTATAGTCTCGCAAAGAGGTAGACGTATGCACTCAATGCCCGCTGCTCTTCACCCGTGGGCTTCTCGGGGTACCGTGCCATCACCGTGTGGAAGAGGTGCCAGGACGACCGTCCTAGCTCGGCCCTGTCCGCATAAAGTAATCAGTGTCACTGCCCTTTTTCCAACAGGACGGGAATAATCCACCTACTTGACTGTGCTATTCTCCAGACTCGGCATGATGGAGTCTCCATGCAGCATTGAGTCTGGCACATTACCGTCCTTCGGCATGGGGGGCTGCTGCTGTACCAGGTGGCCTGGCGCTCTCTGCTGAGGGCTCATGGGCGAGACCCGGAAGAAGGACATGGTGAGGATGAAGAAGACCGCCAGCGCAGTCAGGATGAAAAACCGCGAGGCCGGTCGGTGAGACAACATCGTGTGAAGTGTATGCCGTAGCCCGGTACTCTTCTCTTGTGCTTAATGGCAGCGGTCTGTCGGTAGTGGCAGTGGCAGTGGTGGTGGTGATGCTGGCATCGAGCGCCGTTTCGCAGGGACAATGCTACAGCATAGGGTGAACAAGCAGCGAGAGATAAAGTGAAGAAGAAGAAGGCCGAACTGCCGACGTGTCCTCCTCTGTGCTCCCCTGCCAATAAACCAAGAGACGAGTACGAGCGAGCCCAGCAGATGCCTCGTCTTGGTTCTCCTTCAGCGTCTTCTTTCTGCGCAAACAAAGTCTTCGTCTTTGCTTCTTCTTCTTCTTCTTCTTCTTCGTGGCCAGATCCGGGGCAGCGAGTGACTGCTTAGTCATCGTTTTGCTCGTGTTATTTTGCCCCTTTTCTTCTTCTTTTTCTTCGTCTTCGCTGGTGAAACAGAGACAAAACATCGTCCTGGCTGCAGATCAACAGTAGTAGTAGTTATTTAGTAGCAGTAGCAGTAGTCACTGGCCGCAGTGAGCAGCTTTGCCTCTCAGCTACTACTAAATGATTACTTGAGCTGGCCACCCATAGCGTCATCGTCGTAGCAACAAACCCTTCCAGCTTCGACGGGAACTCCACACGCTAGTTCGTTGATGCATATCTCGGAGTTGAAGATACCACAGATCGGATATCAGATCTACCTAGTATATAGATACCCCCCGGGTTCTCCACGACAAGACGGGCAAGAGAAGCTACTATGTTTCGTGTCTAGTATCTAGACTCACTGGCTGGGGAGTGTCGTCCCTTGGTTCCAGTCTCGAGAGGCAAACGGATCAGATAACTCTGAGCCAGTGGAACAGGCAAAAGACATGCAAAAGAGAGCAAACCAAACATCCGGCATATCGTTGATTCTTTGGAATGGCCAACCAGAGGCAACGCTCGACAGAGCTGCTCAGGTGGTTTCTCGGTTTATGACGTCTTATCTGATCGCACGCACTGAAGTGAAAAAAACGGTCATCGTCATATCCAGAAAATCTAACACCCTCCCTCCCGCCCCCGTTCGTTTCTCATGGACTGAAATCTCTCTCAAGACATTCTCAAGTTGCCAGTTTCAAATAGCAGTTAACGAGCTCATGAGTTCCTTATTGCTGAAGATCCCGAGATCCTCTTCAGTCTACCCCCTAGTAGCCCATTTTTACCTACACCTACCATCAATCTGTCCTCGATTCCCGGTGTAGGGGGTTACTTTTCTAGCCCACCATGTTAGAAAAAGATGATACCACTGTCTCTGGCAGCCTTCCTTCAACTAGCTATAATGTAGCTGCATCAGAGACATTTGTTGATGATGACTCCAGCTTCGACAGCATCCAGTTTGGAGTCAAGCAGGCCGAGGCAGTTGCCGCAGCCTGGTCTCGACAGTCACTCGTCATAGCCTACATCGGGTACGTCTGCTTCCTCCTTCTGAATTTATTGCTTCATCCAGCTGATCAGCTACACCAGGGTGTTCGTAGTGTTCTTCGTCAACTCCCTGCAGCAGCAGATGGCCAGCAGTCTTAACCCTTACGTGACCAGCGCCTTTTCCAAGCATGCTCTTCTATCCTCCATCTCAGTGGTGTCAAGCCTTGTTGGAGCCATCATGAAGCTTCCTGTCTCTAAGATTATTGATATCTGGGGACGCACTGAAGGATATTTGTTGATGGTTGCCTTTTGCGTCCTGGGTAGGAGGTTATCTTATACCCCTTCCGTGTGAGAGAGAGGAGACAATACTGACTCAATTTTCCATAGGCATGATCATGATGGCTACAAGCAACTCTATTGAGGCATATGCAGCAGCCCAGGTGATTAAGCTTGAAACTTATGTATGCACTTTCTAAAACTGACCACTGTGTAGGTCTTCTACTGGATCGGTAATAATGGCATGGCTTATGTCCTCGACGTCTTCCTGGCAGACACATCCAGTCTCAAAAACAGGGGATGGCTTCTTGCCTTCTCTACTAGCCCCTTTATAGCCACTACCTTTGCCGGCCCTGCATTAGCACAGGCATTCCTCAAGTCCTACGGCTGGCGGTGGGCGTTTGGCGCTTTTGCCATTATCATTCCAGTTGCCTCGCTGCCAATGGTAGCTATCTTCCTCCACAGCAGCTATAAGGCCGTGATGATGGGATACTTGAAAGGAGGCAGGTCTGGCCGTTCTTTCTGGCAGAACGTTGTCCATTACACAGTTCTCTTTGACGGTACCTACCACAGCCTCCTTAACCCGTTCATATGCCTGACTTCGTGAAGCTAACCCTTCTCCTAGTTATCGGGATGATTGTTCTTGTTGCCGGGCTTACTCTTTTGCTGCTCCCGATAAACTTGGCTACTTACCAGGCTGAGAAATGGAAGTCTCCCGCCATGATATCTATGATTGTTATCGGTGGCTGCTGCTTGCCTGCCTTTGCCATATGGGAGATTCGTTTCGCCAAGGTCCACTTTGCTCCGTTCCATCTCTTGACCGACAGGACTGTGTTTGGAGGCTGTCTCCTGAGTGCTACCCTGTTCCTCAGTTTCTAGTAAGTCTACCCATTAAACAACGTTTTTTGTTTGTTTATTATCCCTTGCTAATGGTAGTAAACAGCTGCTGGGATTTGTACTTCCTGTCATACTTGCAAGTAGTCCACAACCAAAGCATCCGCAATGCAGGCTACATTGCAAACATCTTCAACATCGGAGGATGCATCTGGGCCCTTGTAATTGGAGCGTACGTAACTGGTTTCCCAATGACTCTTCCTCACCGCCCGATTCGATAGTACACACTAACCGCATATCTATCCAGCATCATCCGCGCAACCGGACGCTTTAAGCCATTTGCCCTCGTTGCTGTCCCCCTCCAGGCGCTCGGAGTCGGTCTCATGATCGCATTCCGTCAGCCAGGCTCTCACATTTCTCTAGTGATCGTCTGTCAATGCATCATCGCCATCTCTGCCGGCACCCTGCAGATCTGTGAACAGATAGCGGTCATGGCAGCAGCTAGTCACAGCGAAGTAGCAATTGTCCTAGCTTTGCTTGGCCTGTTCAGCAACATCGGTGGAGCAATTGGCCAGACCGTCGCGGGGGCTATCTGGAGCCACACCATCCCGGAGCAGCTGGAGGCCTTGCTTCCAGATAACGCAAAGGACCAAGCTGCGGCAATTTATGCATCTCTAACTACCCAACTTGGCTACCCCGTGGGGTCGCCCATCCGTAATGCCATCATCGCCGCCTACGGTGAAGGCCAGCGTTGGATGCTAGTTGCGGGGGTTGGCGTCCTTGCCCTAGCTATGTCATCGGTCGTCTTGTGGCGAAACATCCAGCTCAAGAACGTTCACCAGGTCCAGGGTACCATTGTCTAACAGTTCTAATCGGAGTTCAGGTTCAAGTTCTGGTTCATGGCATGATCAGCTACGTGTTGGTTCATATTCTCTTTCTTCGCAGCTGGGTCCAAATGCTGGTTTCTTCCGTCCACGTAACAACTCAAAAAAGTTCATGCATTAGTTATTCTGCATCAAAAGCATCAAAACATCCGTGTTAATTTTATCAACATAGTATAAAATATTCATAACTGTCTTCCTTTCTTCTTTCGGCTATGCGGCACGTCGCGGTCAACAAAGAGTCGTCGGATTAACCTTCTTCCACACGCTCTGCTGACTCATCCGTCATCCATCCAACTTTCTTTCTTTCGCGTCTCGTAAACCAGATAAAAATTGCAGTTCCTGGAAGGATTTTCGGATGCTGCTTACCCTTAGATTGCAGCATAATTATGACGGCATTGTACTTTGCTCCGGAGACATGGGAGTTCGGAGGGCAATGGACAGAGAGCCTTGCATATCACCACGTTGAGATGCTACCACCTGGGCAAGCACGCCCACAGGGATCAGCGATCCTGGTCAACTGCTTACCAGGATCATCTAGATGGAACACGGCACCAACACGAGTTCCCGAGCTTCAGAGCTTATGCAGACCGCAGTGCTTAATTTATGTGCATAAAATATGCTTTGTGCACCATATCCGAACGACCTGCTTCCGCGTGTGGGTTCCGAACTCGCCCTCCCGCCTGTCAAAATCTCCACGCTTTACGGGCACATGGAAGGGGAAAGGGAAAAGAAACAGAAAAAGGAATAGGGGTAGCACGACGAAAACTGAGGCTATTCATAGCAACTGGCGCCGCCGATCTGCCCTGATATGTGCGAGAGACGAGTCATTGGTTCAATGGCCTTATCTTCGGCGGAGAGAAAAGAAAAAGAGTGATGAAAACAATGTTTTGTTGGGCTTCTTCTGACGGCGATAGCCAGGCCTCATCCTGTAGTTATGTGCATACATATGATACATATATTTTATGTGCCTTGCTATGGGGTATCCATGTGTGCCCATGTGTGGGCCAACCCCTGGAAATTCGGTGCTAGCATAGTATCGCATCCCTCAATCTTCGGCAACTTTCAAACCCGGCACATATCCCAAGGTTTCATCACTGCTCCTATCAGAGGGGCCATGGGGCCGCACAACGGCCCGCAGAGACGAAATACCCTTACACTGGCCTTGTTTTATGCCATCTGAGCACCGCTATGATGCATAACCTCAGCACAGCGATGACAAAATCAATATGGCCTAGCTCCTTTCAAGCCAGCTCACCGCGATGAGCCTTCGGAGAATGTTGTTTAACTCCCTGGTGTGGGACCAGGATATATTTAAACAGTTCTCCGTCTCTCTGTTTATTTTTCCTTCTCTGGGTGGCCATCGATAGACTTTTGTCTTCCGTCTTCTCTTCTTGTACATATACATACTCCGTGCAGATATCTGAGTGCCGGCTTCACTTTTACATATCCTTTCTCCATACTCAAAATCACGATACCCGCTTCCGCAATATACTTAATCTCCACTAGCTATTGCCGTTAAACTCGGTACAGCCTTCCTGCCATCATTCTATAGGACAGGCCCAATCGTTGCTGGCCAACAAGGTGTCACCGAAATCCATCTGGACAGACGTATACTTCTCCTGAGCGTTAGGCAAGAAAGTCCATAAAGAGAAGACGACCATGTCTTCTCTCCCTCAAATACCAAAGGTGGAAGAGAGCGACAGTATGTAGCCCTGATGCATACATGGAATGGGATCGTGGTTTCCCCTTTCATTTCTTCTCCTAACCTTACGTCTTCATTTATAGAGGCCTCAACTATCGTTCCACCAGTTTCTGACGAGAATGGCAATACCCGGTCCTCTGAGAAGGGCTCGATTCCCAGTTCATCATCAGAGAACATCCAGTCTGGCGAGACTGTAGACAACGATCTCAATGTATCCACGGTCTTACCGTCGAGTGGCAATGCAGATATCGAAAAGGCAATCCCAGAAACTCCAGTGGTAACAAAACGGGTTCCAGAAGGGTATAGGGAATATGATGACCCAAATATCGTCTACTGGGATGGCCCGGATGACCCTGCACATCCAGAGAATTGGTCGTCGACCAAAAAGGTCGTCATCGTCAGCAGTGTTGGCCTTATTACACTACTAACGTATGAAAAGATATCCCCTTAAAGTTGTGCCTTCTTTAAGATGCCAGCCCGCTAACATGTCGTCTTTAGTCCTCTTGGTTCCTCCATGTTTGCACCTGGAGTCGGAGAGGTGATGAAGGAATTTAACAGTACAAACCCCGAGCTTGCATCTTTCGTCGTATCGGTTTATCTGCTAGGATTCTCCTTCGGACCTTTGATCATTGCACCGCTTTCGGAAATGTACGGTCGTGTTCCGTTATACACCGTCTGCAACGTTCTCTTCGTCGTGTTCAACATTGCTTGCGCCGTCGCGAACTCTCTGGAGTCACTAATTATCTTCCGTCTCCTTGCTGGCACTGCAGGCAGTGCGCCCTTGACTATCGGTGCTGGAACCATCGCCGATATGATCCGGCAAGAGAAACGAGGTGGTGCTATTGCTGCATGGGCTCTTGGTCCTTTGCTTGGCCCGGTTATTGGACCCGTTGCTGGTGGTTTCTTAACTCAAGCGTTAGGTTGGAGATGGACCTTCTGGGTTCTATCTATGGCGGTAAGCATGGCCCGTTTGACGAGCGGTTGATAGCTCCCCGGCTAATAGGAATATTTTAACAGGCCGGTGCCGTTGCTCTTAACACATTCATCTGGCTCAATGAATCCTATCATCCAACCATCCTCGCGCGCAAGACGAAACGACTTATCAAGGAAACCGGAAACACCAACCTAAGATCTGCTCTAGATTCCGGAAAGCAACCAAAGGAGCTCTTCCTTCAATCTATCGTCCGCCCAACGAAGATGCTTTTTCTTTCTCCCATTGTTTTCCTCTTGTCTCTCTATGCTGCCGTCGTGTATGGCTATCTCTATCTCCTGTTCACAACCATCTCCTCGGTCTTTATTGGAAAATACCATTTTTCCCAGGGTAAGCTTGGCACCTTCTATTGTATCACTCTATTCTATTTCGAATTATAAGGTACTAACCAGCAATTTCCCATCTAGGTACCGTTGGCCTTTCATTTCTAGGCGTAGGAATTGGTTGCCTCATCGGCCTGGGTGTCCTGGGCGCGACATCTGATCGTCTGCTTAAATCCCTAGCTGCTCGGAATGGCGGTGTCATGAAACCAGAATACCGTCTTCCACCGCTTATCCCAGGCAGTCTTTTCGTACCAATCGGCCTCTTCTGGTACGGATGGTCTTCGGATAAAGGAGCTCATTACATCGTTCCTATCATCGGGACGTCATTCGTTGGCATTGGCATGATATTCACTTTTGTAAGCATGGTATCATTCGATATTTTTTCTGTTTGCAAGATACTAATGTCTTCTCTCTAGATGACCATTTCCACCTACCTTGTTGACGCATATACCCGCCATTCCGCAAGTGCACTGGCTGCAAATGCTGTGTTACGCTCTGTCTTCGGTGCTGTGCTACCCCTATGTGGCCAGAGAATGTACGAAGCCCTCGGCCTAGGATGGGGTAACTCTCTTCTTGCATTTATTGCCCTGGCCCTGGCACCTCTTCCGGTTGTCTTCTTTGTGTATGGAGAACGTATACGCACTAGCAAGCGCTTTGCTGTTATTGCCTAGCGCTCTTTTACTATCTCCCTTCTGGAAAAATGGGTTTGTTTTATTTTATTTATATTTTATTTATGTTTTTGGCATCGTGATATCCTTGGTCCTCAGCGTTATATATAGAATCCTCTCTGCCTATATAATAATATATATTATTTAAACAGCAGCCTTGCTTCTTTTGAAATTAGATGTATGGATGTCTAAATCATGGCTCGTATTTCTGAAAGTATCGTGTCCGCATTTCATTAACCCACCCCTGGATAGTAGCGATGCTGCCAAAACGAACTTACAGCTGTGGTTCAGAAGGTTTTATCTACTCAGTCGATCACGGCAGTTAAATAATAGATAGACGATTCATGACTCAGTAACTACCTCACCCAATACGAGATTTAATTTAGTTAATCTATCCGTGTCTCCGCGTTGTGTTCAATATATCTAGCACACCACTATCACAATTCCTAGACGTGAGATTATTGTTCTACACATTTACGAATCATCTCAGGCGAAGTTTCCCAGGTTTCCAGTCATGAAGGATTTCCCATCCGAAGCTCTTACTTTACAGGGCGGGTGCCTGTGCAAGGCTGTTCGATATGCAATAACGCTCCCCCAGAAAAGTGATCGGGGCAGCGTCAAATTCAAGGCTCCAGAATCGCCAACGGGTAGTAGTCATAACCAGGCAGAGAATGTCATGAAAATCGATCTGCCTATCATCTCCATCGACCACTGCAGCGATTGTCGCCACGCCGCCGGGTCTCCAGTACAAGCATGGTTCATCTGCCCGCAGGAATGGATAGAGTGGGATGTAGCTATCCTCTCCCCGGCAGACGGGGGTGAAGAGCGCGTGAAACAGACAACAGTTCAGGCCTGCTCCAACGACGGCCGAGGATTTTACGAGGATGAGCCAAACCCATATCCAGTACCGACTTGTTTGGCTAAATATACGTCGTCGGAAGATGTGACTCGGACCTTCTGTGCACGCTGCGGCACCAACTTCACCTATTTCGCTAAGAGGCCTAGATCCAGTCCTACTGGCTTGATTGTAGATATCACAATCGGTAGCATGGACGATGAGAGTAGTGCAATTGCCTGCCCTACCCGGCATGCATGGTATGACTCCGGGATACCGTGGTTCAAGCAGCTGGTGAGGGGAGGAGGCGCACCAATGCCGAGAGCAAGGAAGGGCATAGCGTTGGGGATGATGGGAGACGATGAAGAGTAAAAAGATATTGCGAATGGAATAATACCGAAGCTGTCAAATATCCCTAGCCCCATGTATCTATGTACCTACCAGTATGGGCGGGCCAAATTCTTAGCCCAATGGGCGTGGGTTTAAAATTCTCCCTTGGGTTTGGGGTCGGTTTTTAAAAAGGATTTTTGGGTTGGGCTTTTGTATGGGCCCCTAAAACCCACCCAACCCGCCCATAATAAGGCATAATTCTATAATTACTCTATTATATATATAGTAAACTATTATGTAGTTATAACTAGGAGCTAAAAGATAGACTTAAAAGTAGCGGTCAATATCGTTATAATTGATTGACTATCTACATAAGATAAAATAACTAGTTTGTATGTGGTTGTCGAACCTGATGTTGACGTCGAACAACATAGAGATGAATATCAGGTTGTAGTTAGCAGCCAAGTATAATAACTACATGCCAGTTGAGAAACTTTGGCGGTAATAAAACCTGTTACAAGGCGACTTGCTTTCTCGGTTAAATGGAAAAGCCTGACTACGGAGTCAGTCACTTTTTCAGTAAATAGCTTTGGTTCGACGATTATGTACATTATTTACTAGACTTTATCCTAGCTCATGCCGATTCTGGGGTTGATGAGAAAGGTCTTGTCTACTCCATCTGCTATCCGCATATAACTCTTGGGGATCACGATGCACGGTTTCAGGTCCAAATGGCTCAAAGGACTTGTCAGGATGTGATATATTACTTGGTTGGCCCTTATAACCCTGAGAAATGAAAGGAGGCTGTTTAGCCCTCCGCCGTATAAGGAAGAAGACAGCTCCAGCAGTTAAACAAAACGGCACGCCCAAGCCTATACCCAGCCCTAGCGCGAGATTTTTATTTGGTGAATTATCGTCTTCTTTTTGTGAGCGCTCTCCCTCGCTCGTATTACTGGGTAATGTAGTCCAGGATATAGAGGAACTCCCCGTAGTGCTCGCCAGAGTACTTGTCGGGGACATCGTAATGGATGTTTTTAGGTCCGAGCCGAAATTAATATAGAACTGGCCGCTGAGAAATCCACCGCCTTGCTGCGCTTCCCTTGAGCCTTGAGCGTTGACTATGCGGAAGACAAACGGAATTGAGTGGTTTGTTGCGTCGGAATAGTTCACAGTCCACTCATACCAAGTGGATGCCGTGTTTACTTCGAGAACAGTTAGTAAGAGGCTCTAGGCTCTCGTTAGGAGCTGAGAATAACTTACAGGCAATTCCAACGGGGCTATTAAAATTTTCCCCCTGGATCAGATAGAGATTCGTCGCTTCAAAGATCGAAGACCAGCTCACATTCATATGAGACCCTTTGCTCACACACTGAGGAGATCCGTTTGGGTAGTAAAATTTTCCTTCAGCATATTGCTCAGGCAAAGGAAGCTCCTCCGAGGGGCATTCGGCCAAAGCATAACTGACTATCCAAGAGATTACGATGCCCCAGAGCGATCGCATAGTGTCGAGCTTTCATTAAACACGGGAGTTGTCGTGGGCAAAACGGGAGAGGTGAGAGGAAAAGGACATCATTACTGCACGGCCAACGGCTTGCAATATATCCGTGATTGCTGCGCCCCTTTTGAGTGCGGATCATCACACCTAGGATTAAATGCAGCTATCACATACGGTGCATACAGCTGTAGGGATATCCAGCCTATCCCGGATATCCGGATGGGGTCTCGCTGTCGCCAAGTAGCCATACATTTTCAAGGATTATATGCAGCCACGGCGCGTAGAGAGATGGATATACCCAGGCTTTCCTATATGTCTCAACAGGGGCCCTGGGCGCTAAGTACGTCCCTCGGTGATGTCTGGCCGTTAAAAGAGTTGGGATGCGCACTTGATTACCCGCTTTCATTTAAACGCAATGTCAAGTTCACATCAGCCCTCTCTCCATGGTACCCCTAAAGAGCGGAAGAAGACCTCTGCGCCGATGGATCTATCTCGCTTCCCCTTTTCTTAGCTTTCTTGTGGCGGGCTATCTGTTCCTGTCAAATTATCCTTTATATCATAAAGATAATGGGGCCCTTAATATTCCATCTTCACCGGCAGAAGAGATAGAGCGACCTCGGATAATAGCTGGCCTAGAGGACGTCCACGTTGTGTTAAAAACTGGCGCAACCGAAGCATTAGCAAAAGTTCCCGTCCACTTCAACACTACCTTGCGATACGTCCCTCACTTCACTCTATTCTCTGACTACGAGGAGGATATCGCTGGGTTTCATGTTTACGATGTCCTGCGAAGCGTCGATGTGGCGATCAAAAATAAGCATCCGGAATTTGAACTCTATAGGCGCCTTAGGGCTACGGGCAGAGAAACTCTATCAAAACTGAACACTGACCCATCGAACGACGTGAGCACACCTGCAGGGAAACCAAAAAATCCTGGCTGGATCTTGGACAAATGGAAGTTCCTCCCGATGATGCACGAAACTCTCCGCTTTCGAGATGACGCCAAATGGTATGTCTTCATGGAGGCAGACACGTATATAATCTGGAAGAATTTAGTAACTTGGCTCGAGAACTTCGACTCCAGTAAGCCATACTATCTTGGCAACCAGATGCAAATTGGAGATACTATATTTGCCCACGGAGGATCTGGCTTTGTACTGTCCCATGCGGCTCTGAAACGTGTTGTGGAGTACCATTCTTCTCTGGTTAAGGAATGGGATACACTCACAGCTGAGCACTGGGCGGGTGATGAGATTCTTGGGAAGGCTTTAAATAACGCAGGCGTCGGCCTTCTTTGGTCCTGGCCGATGCTCCAAGGTTCGACGCCTTGGAATTTTGATCCCTTTTCGTCCAGTTATAATAAACTTCCCTGGTGCTATCCTCCAATAGCCTATCATCACATGGGCTCGGAGGATATTAGAGAGCTATGGGAATTTGAGGAGAGATGGTTTAAAGAGGTAAAGCTGCACCAAAAATATCAAACCCGACTTAAAAAGTGGATGCTAACTAGAAGCATTAGAATGGCAATTCGGCCCTCTTACGCCATCGCGATGTATTCCAGAAGCTTACCCAACCTCGTTTCAATACTACGGGAGAAGATTGGGATAATGATTCCCTAGATATCGCAGCAGGAGTTGAAACGGCAACAGAATGCGAAAGACATTGCGCCAAAGACCTAGAGTGTCTCCAGTATTCCTTTGGTGGTAAAGTATGCCGTACGTCAAAAGTTGTTCAATGGGGCAGCCGTAAACCTGGGATGGTTTCAGGTTGGATGTCGGATAAAATTGACAAAGCTGCGGCAAAGCTGGGTGCATGTAAACAGACGGATTGGATTCGTCCAGAATAGATCGTACATCACCAAATGGAACTGATATCCAGAAAATAACTAGTCAACGTTCAAGATATCAAAATTTTAAGTGCATCCCCTTCGTTTTAGTTATATCTTGGATCATAATTGGCAAATTTCGACTCCAAACCTCAGCCATTCATCCAAAGAAAGAAAAAAAAAAAGGCGTTTCTGATCATTTTCCAGTATTTAATAAACCTATATATTCTTGATAAATTATATATTGGATATTAACCAGATTATCCGCTGATCCCAACAAGGTTGCGGTAAAAATATCACGTGTTTGACTCTTAGAGGTATATTACAAAAAAGGATCCCCACGATGACTAAGCAAGTCAAATCAATAGATCAAAAAAAAGAAGACGTCCCCGCACAGGATCGAACTGTGAACCTCCAGATGACTCAGCAGATTGCTGCTAACAGTCTGACGCGCTAACCAGTTGTGCCACGGAGACTTGTCTATGTATAGGCCGTCTAACTTGTCATTCTATAACGGCACTGATCATGCCCACACACGGGATGATGCCCAACGACAGCGCTGTCTGCTGCTATCGACCACTACGCAGCGTCATGGCGGGCAGGTATTCGGTCGACCAGTGATATATTTACTCTTAGTCATTTATTTTGTGAAATACTAGAACAACTCAAGTGAAGTGCTATTAGATACCCGCGAGGAGCCCTAGAGTTATGGGTAGTTAGCTATCAGGTTACATCGCCTTTTTTCCATTTATCAATATGATGAGAAACCCAACAGCCCCAAGGCTTAGCCTTGAGCAGGCGCAGGAGTCAGATGTCCAGCGTATTGTTGACATTCATGTCAAAGCATTTAGCTCTAATCTAATGCTCCTTGTCCAGTTCCCAACAGCTGCTGCTCGAGAGAGCCTGAAACAATGTTTGGTTGCTTTGATCATATATGAGATTCGAGATCCGGGTTACACTGTACTTGTCGTCCGGGATGACCAGGGATGCCTTGTCAGTTTTGCACGGTGGTGTCTTCCAAAGTATACCCCCGTCTCGCACGGAGAGATGCCATCGCAATTACCGGAAGGCACAGACATGGAGGTTCTGAATGCATGGAGCGCAAGAGTTCGGGAGACCTCACAGAAGGTTATTGGGAATATACCGCATTATCGTATGTTGTTCGGTCATGATTATCCGTTCCCAGCTCCTATGTTAACTTTCCTCAAGACCTGACCTTTATTGCCACTGACCCGGCATACGAACGCTGTGGTGCGGCAACTTTGCTTATGAGATGGGGTCTTGAGCAATGCAACAAGAAAAACGTCTCCCTGATACTTGAAGGCACGATGAATGCCCTACCATTTTACACGAAGCTCGGGCTTGTTGACGAAGGGAGTATATCTATGAACGTAGAAGAGGTCGAATCTAAAGATGGATCAAAGTTGTATGAAGAACGGCTCTTCGTCTTCCGACCACACCATACGATGAATTAAAGGCACCTAGAAAAGGGTTGGCTGTGGCTGCTAGCATAACGTATTTAGTTGGAATGTGTGCATGGAATTTGCGGGCGTCGAGTTACGTATGGCAGTTAGCACCAGCAATATTTTTCAATTGCAGCCCATTCCACGGTGGCGCTTTTGCCTTCCTCCTTTCTCAACCAGTTGAGACAGCATATTTCATTATCAACCCTCGTTATCTCCTGATATGGAACTCCTGTTCGCTGTATTAAAGCATGAACTTGGGCAGATGGATCCCAGATCTCTACGGAATTCAACTTCCACCCAGCAGCCTCATTCTGAGCTGACCGTATTGCGTCTCTAGCATGGCAAACAAGCAGTTGTTGCTCTTCGTCAAGTGATAGCTGCTGTGCAGGATCAGTGGAAAGACTCTGAAGAACGGCGTGATTCTCCACAACCAATCTTAGGATATACAGTGTGTTGGCCGCATTTTTATCTCCTGGGGCTCCAACAAACCGGTGATTCCAAAGGACCCATACTCTATTTCCGGGATCTCCTGCAATAGCCCCCTTGAACTCTGGTATTTTTCCAAAGAGTTTCTCACATGAAAACTTCTCTCTACATCCATGCCATAATATATGATCGAGGTCTGGTATGACCATATGTCGCAATCTCCCTGGAGGTGCAGCTGTCATCGATTTTCGCACAAGATGCTCATCTAACTTGCAAAGTGGGCCCAGATCATCATTAAATATCGGTTTAACAGAGTGTAACTGCATGGGCGCTGGCTCAAATCTGATATGGTGGCTAGGGAACGCATACCACCCGCGTTTGCCATAGAAGTCTCCCCCAATATCGGAAAATAGGATGCTAGCGACACATTCTCTCCCATCGGCTTGCCAAGTTAGGAGCGTCCGGGACAGTTCAACCATCAACCGTGATGCATAACCTCGCCCTCGGTATTTTGGTTCGCAGTATACACTTGCAACTCCATGAGTGACTGTGTCTTTGATGCTCCCATCTAGTTCCTGGGTAAGAGAACATTTTCGGAACGTTTCGCATGACGCGAGAATAGTTCGCTGGTCAGCTGGAAGGGTTTTATCCACTAAAATCCACTGCGTCATGCATCCATCCTTTGCTAGAGGTACGGTCGTGAGGTATTGATATTCGTTCATGTACTCTGAAACCGTCAGGGCTGCCTTCCATTCTTCAGATGTATCTCTCCATATCGATAGATTCTCATTCTGTGTTGGATGAGCTAGATGTAGATTTGGAGATAGTGCGTCTGGCAAGGAATCCATCTTGAAAGAATCTCACGGCAAAAACGTTCTTCCTACCCACTTTGGTTTTAGAAAAGTATCAATGTATCGTTCGATATACTTTCATACTTCTCCTGATATGACAGAGAAATCTGAGATTCGTATAAGTCAGTTGAATATGTACGCTTTTGGAAACCAGATAACTATGTACATTCGAGAAAATAGCAGTTTTCCTTGGGGTATTGAAAGGAAGAATTTCCCGGCTTAAAGGGCGTCCATTTTCATCATTGCTCGGCTAATCAAGCAGCTCGGTTCTTAGCTACTAGGTACCGAGGCAATAAAATTATAACGGATTGGGAGAGTTAACTACTCCCGATTGGATAAATAATCACCCAATGGAAATACGTCAACTCTGGTGCAAGATCTCAAGCGGCTATAAACCTGATCCAACGCGAGCGACGCGAGCGCGCAGCAACCAAAAGCAAGTGTTTTTATGGGAAAGCTGATTGGTTATGACTAACTTCTTGTTTACGTTTCTCGTGTCAGGAACAGTTGATACAACGCCGGTTGGAGGCGGTGGAATAATATGTCGCCGCCACCGAAACTTAAAAGCTTAAAAGCCAGCTGGCCAATGAAACGCGAGATTATTTTGACGTCAACAGATTTCGAGGACACGCTCAACAGTCAAGTACACTTGATTACTGTTCATGCCATGCTACATTCCTGCTATATGCTATGATATACCTCTAAGCCCCGAAACTTTCTACCATATGATACGAGAATTGACTAGCTGCCACTCTCTCTTATCAGCCCCTGCGTTGAGCCAGAAAGAACCGATCATACCCGAAAGGCGTTTACAGCCATGGCAGTGAGAATGTGACTGCGCTCCGAAGAAGAGTGGAAATTCAACTTACTAAATTTCTACCTTCAGATAGCTCCACTACTTGCCTTAGGACTGAGACTGAAACTCTCTCGGTGAACTTCTCTAATGCAGATAAACGTACATGAGGTTTCTGAATACTCAATGGAGTCGATTAAACAGGCTGGTAATTCTCAAGGAATTAAATTGCCACTGTTACAAATCTTATTGTGCCTATTCAGATTACTTTTGACGTCATTTACGTTAATTTTCGGGATAGGGCTGCCATTGATAATGGCTGCTTAGACAAAACTTCCGGGTAGTATCAAATCCCCAATGAAATATGCCGGCACAGACCAGAGCTCGTGACCGGACTATACGGAATGGCACTCCACCCAGCTTGATTTGCGAGCCTAAACAAGAACAGATACAAAGCCATTTCGCTGCCTCGTGCAAAAAAAAATCCACACTGGGGTCTTAATATGGTGGTAGTGTACGCTCATTTTATTTGTTAGATGACTACGAGTCTGAATGTTGAAAGACTTCTAACAAAAAGCTTGTTCCATCTTGTCTACACTTTGATGGCCTTATTATACTTAACACTCGGAGTTCACCGGCCAGTCCGAACCAAGGAATAATACAGGAAATGCTATATTTAGCAAGGATATCTGTCGAGCCGTCAATACAAGACGGTTCGCGGACACGGCAATGTTCTTATATGCACAATGACGCTCATATGCAGCCGGTCAATGTGGGGAATATGCTTGACCTAAACGGGAGAGGAACGGCCCACCACGCGAGCAACTGAGCAATGGCGATGTTTTGAAGGCGTGCAGAAGCGCTTGGGCATGTACAAAAGCTACTAAGGCCGACACCCGCAACAAAACCTGAAACGGGGTAGCTGAACACAACCTGGTAATTAATCCTAAAACACCGCCGTTGGACCACATATGAATATCTCCCAAACACTATACCGTTGCTCCTTTGTGCTTACTGCCACTTAGGAAAGCTCACGTCCAGTGGCTAGGTTTTGAGTCAGACACGGATGTCTCCCTAGATATCTGCGCTGTAACCCTATGTAGGAACTTGCAAATGCGCTACAATTCGGGGTGGTTAGCACAAACAGGCATTTATAAGTGTGCGAAAAACCTACCCACAGGGAGCTCGGTTCAAAATGCAGCGAGGCGTTCTCGGCAGATGTACAGGAAGGCTCGGTGCATCTCCCGGCCGGAACTTAGCGTGCAGCCAATTAAAATAGAATAATACACGTGATTCAGTTTCATGGATCCCGTGGATAACGGTGATGGAGATGGGATGCGGAATAAAAGGCTCCATGAAACCCCACAAGAGAGAAACAAGATACCACAAAGACAGGGACAAGGAGTAGTACACAGTGCCCGCTGTGGCGCGATGGAGTGAGATACCCTGCCGCCGATCCTGTCTAAAGCTAAGAGGCGCCATTTGGGGCTTTTGCGAAGCGGAATAGACATTATCTTATTCTATATACAGAGTATGATTTCAGGCATGTTCCTAGCTTATTAGCCTCTATAAACCATAACATATCCCGTGGTTCAGTTGCCGCAAGTGGGATTAGTCTCCGGAATCAACGAGCAAACGCCCTACGGAACCATATGCCATTCCAAGCACGTGCATCTCGTGAAGCGTTGGCGGTTTACTCTGTACTCCGTACAAGCTTTCTGTAAAAAGGCTTGTACCATATGCTACGAACCAAAAGTTCTGTTATGGGTATGACATATATACCAAAAGCTCCTCCCTAACGGACCACGGAACTTCCGTCCGATCTCTTTCATCGATATCAGGCCCAGTGATGTGCAAACAGAGCGGGAACAGCTGTTTCCATCTCACACAAGACCCGCCATTCATGATTCATGACTCAATTCACAATTATCCATTCTCCGTTGAAATGCCAGTAATAGGACCACAGAAAGCAGGCCATATTTACCTAACTAGGAATCTTTGCTGTCAATCTTGAAACTTGGACTCGGGTCATGGAGCCATCACCATGCTCCATCAACCATTTCTCATGTCACCGCTCAAGACGGATACCATCCATGGACAACGGGCGATGTTACGGAAACACACGGCTGTATTATGACAGGAGGACATTCCGAATCACCCTTGATGGTGAATCATTTTAATCTCCCAAAATGAAGAACTGGCGGGTATAAAATCCGGAGAAGTTCCCACCTCTGCTGTCTCTTTCCCTCTATTCATCAACAACAATTCAAATCAAGAAGCCCATTCTTCTCTTTCATACACTACGAAGAACGCACTAGGTCAACGCCAAACATGCGATTTACTCAACTCGTGGCAGCCGCCCTCTGCTTGGGTGCCACAGAAGCAGCGGTAGCTCCTATTGATAGAGCCCGCAAAGTGCTAGGAAATCAGCATGCCTTTGACAAACGTGACACGGCCGGCGATGCTGCAAAGGGCGCTAAACACCTAACCAGCAAGAACAAGAGTAATATTCTCTCCCCTCTCCATATTCATCCCTCTGATCACTCGCCAATTTACTAACTCCTTTTTGAACAGAATTCTATGTTGACCCAAATAGCATCCCTAATGTCCCTTTCAGTATTGGAGAGTCATATGCTGGAAATCTCGCCAACACCCCAGCTGGAAACTCCAGCTTATTCTTCTGGTACTTCCCATCAGAGAACCCAGAAGCAAAGAACGAAATCACCATTTGGCTCAACGGTGGCCCCGGGTGTAGCTCCATGATTGGTTTGCTTCAGGAGAACGGACCATTCTTGTGGCAGCCCGGTACCGAAGGTCCAGTCAAGAATCCTTATGCTTGGTCCAAACTCACCAACATGGTTTGGGTTGACCAACCGGCAGGAACGGGCTTCTCCCCTGGTCCACCTACCGTGAAGGATGAAGTTGATGTTGCAAACCAGTTCAGTGACTTCTGGAAGAATTTTATGGACACCTTTGACCTTCACCACAGTGATGTCTATCTAGCTGGAGAGAGCTATGCTGGCCAATATATCCCTTACATTGCCAGCGAGATGTTGGACAGGAAGGATTCCGAGTACTTTAATGTCCGGGGTATCACAGTCATTGACCCATCTATTGGTGCTACCGAAGTGATCATCGATGGTAATTTAGCATCAATTTCATTCCCAGTGTCAGAATTTTGTGCTAATCTGCTCTCCAGCCCCATCTGTTCCAGCAATGCACCGTTTCAACAATGTCCTTGCCCTAAACGAGAGCTTTGTCAATGACATCACCCAGAAATGGGAAAGCTGCGGATACAAGAAGTTCATGGACGATGCTTTGAAGTTCCCTCCAACTGGCCCCCTTACAGTACCTGGAAAGACTCCTGGATGTGATGTTTGGGATGAGATCATCACTGCTGTTAAAAAAGTGAACCCATGCTTCAACATCTATCACCTCAAGGATAACTGCCCAAGTCCATCAAATCCCATGAATGGACCAAATAACTTCTTCAACAACAAGCAAATTCAGGAAGCCATTCATGCCAACCCAACTGACTACCGCCTTTGTGGAGAATCCCAGATTTTCGGCCCTCATCGCAATGACCGCTCTGTTCCCAGCTCATTTGGCCCTCTTGCTAGCGTCATCGAGAGAACCAACAACACCATCATCGCACATGGTGACCTTGATTTCCTCCTCTTCACCGAAGGCAGCTTAGCATCTATCCAAAACATGACTTGGGGTGGTCTCCAGGGCTTCCAGAAGGAACCATCTGACAAATTCTACGTTCCATATAAGGATGGATCTGAAATGGGCGGAGCCGGGTTTGTTGGAAAGACCCATCGTGAGCGTGGTCTCACTTGGGCCACTGTTGACCTTGCTGGACATGGTAAGTTGGAATTTCTCATTTTGATGTATGGAAGACTGCTAATCTATGTTCTATTTAGAAATCCCCCAGTATGCTCCTACTGCTGGATACCGTCTCCTCGAGTACATGCTTGGAAGAGTCCAGAGCCTGACTGAAACCCACTAATGTACTCAGTCAAATTTCATGTTATATATAGATTTTAGATTTGGAGGGATGGGAATCCCTGATTAATAGGTATATGGACGGACAGTCAGTCATTCGTTTAAATATATAAAAGGTGCATTATTTAGAGAATCCCTTCAAAGCTCAATGACTGCATATCTTAAGCGACCATACTAAGTGCATACGATGTTATTGCTAGTATGGTCAGTCTAAATAAAACGTGAACAATCGGATGCCTATTGTTGTACTACTAAAGATCAACGATCTTAATACAATAATTAAAGTCATAAGGTAATAAGCTAAAACAAAAATGTACATAGTCCCCTCCAGATGCCTAGCTCGAAATAAGAATTTAATAGCTTGCAAAATAGAATAGAACAGGAAATGTGAATGCAACCTGCGTAACATGCTATTCTGATAAGCGGCGCCTTTCGCTGAATATAATTAAAATTGACGGCTAAGCAATCTTTCGAATCATCAGAAAATTCCACACAAAAGCTTGCTCATAGTGTCACTTCTTCCATCTCTGCTTCATCTGTGCTGGCTCCTTTAGTGTTTTTTCCGCTCCCTGATTCTTTAGAGGCTTCTGCGTCCGGGGCCGGTGATTGAAGTTCAGTATCATCTCTCGTATCATCTGAGGCAGGGCGAGAAGCTGGAGACTTCTCATGTAGCTGCCCATTGGTTGGTTTTCTATCATCCTCATCATTTGTTGCTGCATCATCATCAGACGCTATATGGTTCTTCTCCCTTGTCTCATTATCTTTTCCATTTTCCTCCTCTTCGTTGTCATCTTTGGATACTGGAGGGCTAGGAAGATCCTTTGAGGACCCGTTGTTGTCACCTTTTGGTGGTGGAGGTGGTGGTGAACCGCCTTCTGGTCTCAGGCCGTTAGGAACCTCACTTCTGGGCCCGCCGGGGAATGGTGTAACTGGGGGGTTTTGGTTATTCTCGGGTGATGACCGAGATGTAGCCATACTATTTTGTCGCCCATGTGTTGGTAAGCTCAAGATTGAATTTTTCTTATTTTGTTGTGCGCCAACTCCTGGGCCAATCTGTCGTAATTTCGGATCGGCATTCAAATAGTAACCTCTCACACTCACGATAGTGCCTTCACGTTCACACCCTTCTACCCACTCCGGGCGGACAACAGGTATGTTCATCTCAACTGCCTTCTCCCAGGCTGGGCCTCTACCCTCCGTACAGACAAAGTGCGTCGTATCAATACGAACCGTATCGATAAGCTTCCCTCCAATTCTATCCACTGCATTTGCGAGAGACTCTCTTAAATTGTCAGGGAGAATTCCTGCAGTAACCGTAATTCCAGATAAATCTGTCATTTTATGAGTTCGACAGACTAGTTTCTCGGAACTAAACATTCCGGCGGAGGTACGAAGGATGAGTTGGAAAGTATATTCTGTATCAATCGCAAGGCCGCTTATTTTCGTGCTGAGCATTTCGAGCGGCCGTGGAATGGATCCTGCTTTTGAGCCATTGCGGTAGAGGGACAAGGACTTAAGCGAGGCGGTAGCTAGCTGTATTGGGTCCCATTCCAATACCACGGAGGTCTGTGTCGCATTCTTCAGTCGTAATTCAGGGGGAGAAGGTGTATTGATTCCATAGGTATTAAGGATCTTGTCCTGTAGAGCTTTGGATGCAGCTTGATCCGCGGCTTCGGCTGCTTCGTTTGGAGATACAGTGATGTCGACTATGCTTCCAGATGTAATATTCCTCGGCAAAAGGACAGACGGGAATTCGATCTAAAGGAAGACAAATTTAGCAACTTTGCAGGAAATAGCTATGGATGGGTACGGACTCATTAACGACACAATATGGGGGGTGTATTGCGAGCCTACCAGTCGATTATCTTCCGTGAGAAGGACTGCAACGCCAGCATCGACCTTCCCAACGGTCAGGGAGACCAACATCGTCTACCTCCTCCTCGACCTTTCGACCGAACAGCGGGACAGAAAATAGTGTCTGTACAGCGCAAGCGACCAAATCTCACAAAGTCTCACAAATATCACGTATACCTGGGGTATCTCTCGCGCGCATCTACAGCAAACAAAAGCAGTGACAGCAACTGTGTTCTGATGCCCTAAGAGGAGCTTCATCATCGCCTGGTATCAACATTTATTACATAATCACATCCGGGAAGACCAAACGTGGCGGTGCTCGTTGCTGTTTTAAAAAGGCCACTTGCTGCTTTAGTTGGTGAGCTAGCGTGGTAACTATTATATAATCATCAGGATGTCTGAGCTTCGAGGAGCCGCATTTTGATAACTTTCTAGAAGACGTCGTCAGAAACAAGGCACCGCCTCGCATGCACATTAGTAGATGGGTCTAGCACTACCCATTTCCGTATATATGATACCGATCTTTATCTAGTTGCCTTGCGCATGGACTGACTTACTGGATCACGTGGTTTCCTGTCGCTTTCGTGTCTGCCTAATTGGGCGCATGCAAACGTGAGACGACCCCCCATACGATGTCGTCTGGACCGCCGAGTTCGTTAGTCAAGCTATCTCTACCACTGGTATGGGCCTGATACAAAATTTATGAAAGACGTATTCAGTTTTCTGACCTCGACATTCTAGCAATACCAACAAGATTTGTTGAATGAACTGAGGTCCGAAGACGAACTGGTGGTATTAGCCCAGGGTCTCGGCTTGCTCAGGATAATAACCAACTTGCTCCATACTTATGATGCAGCAGGGAATAATTTGATTGTCTTAGTTGGGGCTACCGATCGTGAGAATGAATGGATTGGCGAAGGTTAGTTAGATTTTGAGAATAAGATAGCAAGTCTGCCTTTCAAAAAGTTGATACTAACTGGAGGTAGCACTGGCGGAACATTATGCTGTCAGCAAATCACCTTTGGCCAGGGGCCTCAAGGTCATTAACACTGATCGAGCTACTGTTTCCACAAGGTATTACACATTTTTATCAAAATTATGGTAGCTCCCAAAAGCTAATACACTGAGGCATAAAATGTACTCCGAAGGAGGTATCATCAGCGTGACCTCTCGGATATTGGTTGTTGACTTACTTTCCCGTAAGTCCATCCCCCAAACTTCTTTTTGGTTTTCTGGACCGTCTCTAAAATTGGCTTTATAGGACTTCTTGATTCAAAACTTATCACTGGCATGATCATTCTTCATGCTGAAAAGTAAGCATGATACCTAGAAACGCAAATGTTCTGACTATGCTAAGTGTTACTGGATAGAGTGGTGGCCACTTCTCTTGAAGCCTTTATTATCCGGATATATAGGCAGTACAACAAGGATGGAATGCTCAAAGCGTTCTCAGACTCCCCAGAACCCTTCACAACTGGATTTGCGCCATTATCAAATATGCTACGGAACCTGTTTCTTCAAAAGACGTCCTTATGGCCAAGATTTCAAGTTACTGTTGCGGAATCCCTAGAAGGCCATAGGAAAGCCGAAGTTATCGAACTTGAGGTACCAATGACCGATAAAATGAAAGAAATACAAAACGCAGTATTAGAATGCGTTGAAGTGAATATAAGAGAACTTAAAAGAGCCAATACAGGCCTTGATATTGGGGATGATTGGACGGTAGACAGCGCGCTTCACAAAAATTTTGATGTCGCCATTCGTCGACAGTTGGACCCAGTGTGGCATCGTGTCTCTTTTAGGACGAGACAGATTGCCAGTGATCTCACGGTTCTTCGGTCTATTCTCCAGTAAGATTCCTCGTACTGGCCTCTCAAGCTATTCTAAGAATTTCATCTAACAAGGAATATAAGTTCTCTACTGACATTCGACGCCGTTTCGCTGAACAAATACCTTGACACTGTAATAAGTGCCCATTCGGCTCCTGCAGGGTCTACAAAACAAAACTACTCGCCCTGGTTATTCCTTGAAGCTGCACATGTACTTTTTGATACCGCAAAATCACGAGTATATAAAAAGAAGGCTTCAGATAAGACCAACATATCTTCCTCTGACATCTTCAATGGCCTTGAACCAATTTTGGAAGAGCAGCCTAAGTGGGCTGTGCTTGCTGAGGTATTGGAAGAAATTGAGCAGGATACATATTTAAATTCCGCGGGCCCTGGTTCCTCCAATAATGCTATCCTTATCATGTGCAGCGACCAACAAACCTGCAGACAAGTCCGTGAATATCTTTCCACCATGCATAAAAAGGAAAAATCTTTTGGCATGGATGAGGGTAATGAACGCGAAGCTACACCTGATGAAGATGACCATAAGCCATCTGCAGGTGTTATGATGCGAAGGAAACTTCGAGAATATCTCGTTTGGAAACGGAACCTCTCAAATGTGAACAACCATTTATATGACGTTAAGCCCAAAGCGAAGGGCATTGTTGAGGTACCGGGCTTTACATCAATCAGCAGCGCCGCGCCCCAAGGCCATTCGGGAAGAGGGCCCCCAAATAAAAGACGGCGAGTCCGTGGCGGTAGTTCTGCTGCTAGCACTTCTACATCTGGAAGACCGGCTCATGGAAGCGTTCAGATAGACACTGAGGACTTCACCGAGGCACCAAATCTTTCAGAAGAAGCCATCCAACAAGCGATATTAGAAGAAGTTCAGCACATCACTCTGGAAGATGATCTTGAAGATATGGATAAATATTATGAGCTTTATGACGTGAATGACTTGTTAGTTGTTCACCATTACGATGGAGATATGGACGAGCACGTCCTTGAGGAATTAAGGCCAAGGTACATCATTATGTATGAACCTGATGCAGCTTTTATTCGGCGGGTTGAAGTGTATCGCAGCTCCCACCAGGAGAGAAATGTACGGGTTTATTTCATGTACTACGGTGAATCTGTGGAGGAGCAGAGATATTTGAGCGCCGTTCGGCGCGAGAAGGACGCTTTCACAAAGCTGATTCACGAAAGGGGGGTAAGTACAGACGCAATCATTCCCCCAATGTTCTTAGCTAACTATATGTGTGTACCGGTAGACAATGGCCATGAAGTTGGTCCATGACAAGGGCCTTGAGGATCCTCAAGAACAATTCCTACGGACAGTGAACACCAGGATTGCTGGTGGTGGTCGGCTTGCGGCCACGGCGGCACCTCCAACAGTCGTTGTGGATGTTCGAGAATTTCGAAGCGCTCTTCCATCATTACTACATGGGCGCAGCATGGTTGTGGTCCCATGCCAACTGACTGTGGGAGACTATATCATCACTCCAGACATCTGTGTCGAGCGTAAGTCTGTACGGGATTTGATAAGCTCCCTGAAAAACGGACGGTTATACACACAGGCAGAAACAATGCTTCAGCACTACTCCCAACCGATGCTCCTAATAGAGTTTGACCAAAACAAGGCCTTCACGTTCGACGCGTTTACCTCTTCTGCCACTCCAACGTCCTTCGTAGCGGACAATGCTACCAGCTTTGGCTCTGGCAACATGATTAACCCAACAAACCCTAGGTCAGCACAGCATCTACTGGTGTTACTTACTCTCGCATTTCCTCGATTGAAGATAATCTGGTCGTCTTCACCCTACCAGACGGCCGAGATATTTGCAGAGTTAAAGAAGAACAACTCAGAGCCAGATCCGATTAGGGCTGTTCAAGTCGGACTCGATTTCAATATATCCGGATTAGATACGTCCGATGGCCAGCCTGCAGATATGATTCCCGCTGCAGGAATAGAGCACCGAGTATTCTCCCTCCTACCCCAAGACATGATACGAGCCGTTCCAGGGGTAGAGCCAAAAACGCTTGAGCGCCTTATTCTAGAGACGAAGAACATTCATGAGGTAGCCAACATGAGTGTCGAGCAACTTGAGCCACTCGTGGGAAAGGAAGCTGCAAGAAAAATATTCAAATTCTTCACCCGGAGCGTATTTGACGCAGAGACGGTGTATGAGTCTTGAGTAGATAAAGATATTGAACCCAATTTTATTGGCTAATTCAACGTCAACTAATCACTTGCATCATTCTATGTATTCAGTTTTCATCAAGAAGCATGACTAGATAAGGAGCAAGGCCCAACTGAAAAACAGAAACGTAGCAAAGTAAACGAAAAGCCAGGCGATGTTGAAGAAAAAAAAGGCGCAAAATAAAATCATTGGGGAAAGGGCCATAACCATTGGACACCACGCTTCAGCATTCCAGAGGAGATGGTATATGAAGGAGTAAGACACATCATAGTGGAGGAAGAGGTTAAAAAATAAGGAAAGGAAATCGCTGATAAAAACCGTCGGGTAGAGTTATGCGAGTACGGGTCTGTTGACCGTTGTAAAGTGTGTTGCGGCCCCTTTCCGAACGAACCATGAATGTAGCCAGTAGCAACATCCGTTAGCCGCCAGATAGATTGTGTATATCAGGGAGCTGTGCATCTTCGGCATGGTAAGTTCGGCCAGGTGATTGATATCCTTTATCGATGGACCAATACTCCTAGGATCCAATAAGTGAGAGCCTTCATCAATCCGGTTTAGTTACATTGACAAGTCGCTGAAAAGAAAACCGTACGTCCTCGAGTTTCTTAATGGACAGTGGCGACCGGATAGATACCGTTGGTTGAACAGTAGAAGAAATCCATCGAGGAAGGACGCGCCGCTTTTGGAGGGAGTATGAATTCAGATCTCATCGACATCGATGTCCTTGTCGTCACTGCTGTCATCACGATCCTCGTCGAACTCGACGTTGTCTTCGATACCCTCGTGGCCATAACTAGAAGTCATGTTAGCAATACAGAAACCTCATAGATGGCTACAAAGAGAGAAACATACGTATCGGTCTCGTTGATCTTGGCGCTCTCTGGGAGCTCGCCATAGGCCTTCAAACTTCTGGCCTCATCGGCGTTGTACTTGAGAATGACATCTCCCTTTTCATCTTGGTAGTCTCGGAGCGAGAGAAGAATGATATCTCCCTGGTTGATCCAGACTTTCTTGCGAAGCTTTCCACGGATATGAGCCAGGCGCTTCTCACCGTCGAAGCAGAGAGCCTCTAATCGGCCGTTACCCAACATCTTGACGACCTGGGCATATTCTTGTCCCTCCTCCTTGAAAGTCAGCTCGCGCTTCTCGTTGTCGTTCTCGTTCTTTCCACGACGTCTGTTTTTACCACCCTATCAAATAGTTAGCATCAACATATCAAGACTGGTAAGCACAGTATCCAGATAGATCATAGGCAGATGTATTCAGCCCGCCATCCACCTGGACATGGATAGGCCTGATGCTTATCGCGGGCGGGCTATGCGGGGTCCAAGGAGTCCCGATAAAGAGCAAGCCATACCTTTCCCTTATTCTTCGGCATTCTGGCGGAGTCTCACTGGTTACTAGGTATAGGTATATTAAGTGTCTAGATAGCAGCTCGTAGAGTCCGCGTTGAACAGGAGCTTCGAACAGGTCTTGATGAGGTTGAGTCGAGAAAATGAATCGAGTTTATGACTTTTTTCCTCTGGCTTTTTTAGTGGGGGAAGAAGAGTTTGCCACGTGAGTTTGCCCCTGCTGACTCAGCTTAGGCATTCATACAGCAAAAAGTTTTAATTTGATAGAAAGAAGAAGAAAAAGACGACGAGGAGGACGAAGAAGAAGAAGAAGAAGAAACGAGAAGAAGGGATAAGAGAAGGCGGAAGAAGAAAAGAGGCCGAAGAGAGAGAGTGAAGCCGTGATATGCGAGCTGGGAAACCTAATCTCGAAGTGCGCCTTGCCCTTCGAGTGCGCAGCTTGTTCTACAAGGCGTCCTACAGTGAAACAGTTACTGAACGATCCAGAGGCGGCCGGACAATGGACTACACCGGACCCTATAAGTGAACACTCAATATCAAAACTACAAGGAGAAGGGGATTATGCTAAAGGGTCATTGATAGCGGCTGGATTGACGGAGAAACGTTGATCCAGCTTGATGCTTTGAGAGAATGAAATTTCACCCGCCGGCTCAAGCTAAGCTATCGACGGGCGATTGTGAAGAGACCTCCAATTCGCCAGCATCATGAACAAAGCGAAGAACCTCAGGCCATTCGAATGGAACCTAGGGTTGAAGAAACTAAGTGTCAAAGCTCGCTGTTTCGCGGTCAAGTATGCGGCCGGTAACATCGAGTCCCCGTTCACCAAGAGATGCCGATTGACAAAGCCTATCCTCAGCCCTATGTTCGACTATAAATTCAAACAGAGAGAGAAAGACATTATATGGAAGTCCGTCTCCCTCGGCAGTCCGGCAGACACCCCAGCAGTTGGCCGTTCCTTGTACGCTCGAATGTTTCGGTCTGCCTACTACGAAGCCTTAAAGAAGCATGGCTACGACGAAGACGGCAGAAGGCTTGTCCTCGATGCGGAAGGGAATGTTGTTGGAAAACGGAAGCCGGGCCTATCATGCACAATTCAAGTGATCTTGAATTCACCTATAAAAACAGTCAAACAAGAGGATCTCGTCATGGAAACCGAGCGGCTGGTCCAGGAGCTTGAGAGACAGCAAAAGAAGCCATGCCCGGCCGGAAACGGGAACCAGAGACAGAAGCCCCGGAAGACACAAAAGCCGACAGGATAGCTTGCATTTCTTCTGGGGGAGAATACACCGAGCTTCCCCTATGTCAGATGCATCAAATGAGAATGCCATGGTTTTCATCTTGGATGCCACAAACCATTCCGACTACACATCGACGGATCCATTCAGCCTAGGTTTTTCCAGTTTGAGGCGTTGTGTTGAACGAAACAAAAAGCGTGGAAGAGTAACGCCTTGGACCCAGATCTACTGCAAATACTCTACACCAAGTTGAACAGGACCACGCTGTCGACAACGCTGATCCAGTGCGGATGCAGTGAACCCTCCCTGACATGCTGAGAATGCTGAAGGAGCTGCAATAAAACACAGATTGGTGCGCCTAAGTCTGCGTTCACCATCTATATACTACTCCTTGTGCCCAACTCCCGGCACTAAAAGATGGGTGAGTACACTTACTGCCCTAACACGACTATGCCAGTGATATCTATCTATATCCTTACCAACCGCCTCGAATAAAGAATGTTGTAGCCTGCTCTCCTGCCATGAAAAAGCATATAAATAGATACCATTAAATAATAGTCAAATATAGATCAATTAACACGCACGCATTATAACTTTCATTCACTGCGTAATCGCCCAACGTCGGCGGAGGCTTGGCGTCTCTAAGCCTCTTGCTGGGGCAAAAGACGAACAACACCTCGAGGATGGACACTTTCAGCCCGAACAACCGAACGAACAAGACAGCAACTCCAGGGCCCAACGGTGCAACATCTACGAGCCTGCCAGGGGAGCATATTCACGCTGAGGATGAGACTGGATTCCTGAAGCCGTCTTCGCTATCGCCAGCACCATCCCTCGCACACAGACACACGACCACGTTAATACCGATAACTCCCTTGGGCCTTTGAGCACTCCACCATGCCATCTATACTTTCTGATGCCGATAAAGAAACAGTTAGACGAACTGTTCCAAAGCCGTCGAGCAAGATCCTTGCTGTTGCCGTCGCCAGACTTTACGTTGCGCTGCCGAATACTCACAAGTGGATATACACCGGCCTACAAGGCGCCGCAGTTCTAGCAAATGACCTGGTTGGGCATACATTCTGGATAAAACTGGTAGACGTCTCGGTATGTCCAAGTCCTGTCTGATATTACCCCGTTCATATTGCCTGTGATATTGTTATTGCTAACATATGCTGGTTCCCGTTGTCACGTATAGCCTGCAGGCAGAGGGATTCTATGGGATCAGGAAATCTACGATGGGTTCGCATACAACCAGGACAGGACATTCTTCCATACGTTTGAGCTCGAAGACTGCCTTGCCGGCCTCTCCTTTGCAGATGAAAAGGAGGCAAAGACGTTTCTGAAAAAGGTGACGGAACGGGAAAAAAGCGCCAGTAAAGAAACCAAGGCTACACCTTTCTCAGCGGCTCGCGGGCAGACACCAACGCCGGTATCGAATGGTAAAAGCCATGGCCGCTTTGGCAAAGTAGGAAGCCTACTACATGGCCATAGGTCCTCGTCAGCGCCAAATCCCCCAGAATCTATCATTCCACCGAGGCAGCCGCCCGCAAATGCTGCTCCGCCAGCGCCCGCCTCCCCTGCAAACAATGAGAATGCATCCTCTCCGCTTGACACCGTGGACCCCTCATGGCGAGGCCTCCTTGATGAGTTAAAGGCAATGGGAATTACGGAAGAACAGATAGCAGAGAACTCAGACTTTATCAAGGCTTATATCGAGCAAAAGCAGCAAGCCAACGAGCTTGACGGCTCTAGCACAGAAACGGCCTCCCAAGATACCACAAAGAGGTCGAAGGCGCCTCCGCCCCCGCCGCCTTCGGTTCCTCCACCACAAATATCAAAATCGCAACCTATCAGCCCGCAGAATACCGGTAAACGGGGAGCACCTCCGCCTCCTCCCCCAGCCAGACGGGGCCGGCCAGATGCGCCTCCATCCCCTCCACCTCCACGGGAGCCATCCCCAGCTCCATCCCCCAAACGAGAGCCATCGCCTCCACGACCCAGATTCCGAGCTCCCCCTCCGATCGCAGATGCCGGAAAATATGCCCATCTTCCCGGGCCCGGTTTACCATCACGGAACCGTGCAGCATCAGGCTCGAATTTAGTCAACCCGGGGCCACCACCACCCCCGCGGCCCCCGAAAACCCCAGAAGACAACCGTGCTTCCATACAATCCAACCGCAAAATATCAGCTCCGGTTCCTCCTCCTAGCCGGATGCCTGCTCCTCTTCCGCCCAGGAACGACTCTAGCTCTATATCCCCACCACCATTACCTCCAAAGACGCCGCAGAATGCCCATATGCTACCACCGCCACCACCACCTCCTCCTCCTCCTCCTCCTCAACGAAGCCCAGCTCCCCCCTCTCCACCACCACGTCAGTCTCCTCCAGTATCTGCACCACCTCACCTT